TGGGTTGGTATGCGGTCACTGTGGTGGAGCTCATACGGTGGTGATGTCTGCAATGGATAAGGAAAGATTACAGCAACTCCAGGTCGATATGCAACGGTTGCATGCTATTGAGAAGATGCTTGCTACTGGAATGGACTTGTATTACAGTTATGGAGGGGAAGGAGTATGTTGAGTAAGCCTACATCAGTAAATTTATACAAGATGAGATTTGAGGTTTCTTGAGGCAAACACCAGACAGAAAGAGCATTTCAAAGTCTTGAGAACTTTCAAATTTTCAAATTTGATTTTGGAATTGCATTTCTGAATTCATTTCGAGAGAAATCCAAGAATTTTCAGTTTTATTCACTTTTTTTCGAATTTATTTCCTGACTGCGAGCTCCTTTACAGAAATGCTTACTTTTATCAAAAATAATAATTTTCACACATCGCTTTGCTTGTTTCTGAAATTATGTTCTGGCGACTCTAAGACACCGAAGAAGACACTTCGGACGCCGATGAGGATGGTGCGCTGAGGTTTCCCGAAGCGATGTACTACCTGTCGCCGGTCGATTCCGCCACAGCTTCCAACAGAAACTGCGAAATGCTAAATGCCGAAGATTTTGTCCCTCTGCAGCTCCGTAGACTTCGTTTGGGTGTGTGTTGTTTCGGACAGCTCTCCCTACATGCTTCGAAAGAGGATAGGGTGACGATGGGACGTCGCACGCAGGAGAGCGCGTCTAGCTGTACTAGTTGGTGTGATGCTGATGGAGGTGTAGAGGGAGATAAAGTTGATGTAGTAAAAGAGGGTGTAGAAGAAGTAGTTCATGTAGCAAAGGATGAAACGGATGTTGTAGGGGAGGAAGCGAAAGAAAAAACGCTCAAGCGTGTAACTCTCAGCCCAAAAGAACGTATGCAACTGAAGCAAGACTTGAACGAGGAATTTCTAGATGCCATTGCAGATTCGACGATGCCCAGCCATGACACTACCACGTCGCTTCTCAGAAGATACATCCATCATAGACTGTTGTGGCTGTTAGTGAGTCTCATCTCCATCTGGAGCAACGCGGTGGTTGCGGTTGTGGATTGCGTAGTCTATTAAGGCGCCAGAAAATTCATCTCGTCCACGACAGAATCAGTAACTGCGTTTCAGTTTGATGTTCCTTCGTAAATTCTAATTCTGAGACAACTATACTAGAGTACAAGTAGGTAGAAGATGAATAGTTCTTTTGGTGTCCTCGCTAAGTCAATGAAAGCCCTCTGACGCATCCTTTCGAGAGAATAGGCCACACTTTATCCAGGGCTCAAGACACAGGAGAAACGCTTATACGACAGGCCTATCCAAATCTTTTTGCTGCTCTGGGACTGGGAGAATATTGTGCAAGAACGAATCATGGAGAGCCGCAGCCAGGAACTTTTTGTACTACCGCTCCTCCTGTTGTGAAGCCATGGTCTTGTCCGAGCAGCTCCTTTGCTTCAACTTCTTTCTACACAGGAGCAGCAGGTACTGCCTCAGCAGGAACAAGTGCACCAACTCCGGCACCTTCCATGACAGCTCCATATCCTGTTCCTGGCTCTCCATACGGTTATGCCGGCACAGCATTGCCTTCTTTAACATATGAAATCTATAGAAATAACGGAGCTCCTGCTCCACCTTCTGCGACGTCAAGTGCTACTGAGAACGAAGTACCTGATTCCACCTCGAGTACTTCTCAACAGGACCACTCATCTCTCCTGCTACGATCATTACAACCTCAACGCGGAGGTACCTCCAGTACTAATATTAAGGGAGTATTAAGTTTACCCTAGACCTAATCAATCTTCAGACGCACCATCTTTGAATCCTTTCGGTATTTGGAGGTAACCTGAAGAACTTGATCACAGGGATTCTCTTCTTGTTTTCCCTTATGATCAAACTCAGGCTATGGCTCCTACCGAATACCAAAACAGTACAATCTTGAGGTCGGACATTTTCAAGGGGAAAAACAAAAAGGTGTCAACAAGAGGTCATCTGCGAGAAGATGGATTAGGGTCGGTGGCGAGCTCTAAAAGTAGGCGTGCTGACAGGTATCAACATCAACAACATGCAGGACCGTCTTTGGAAACGCTGACAGGGACGAGTGGAGTGCTATTGCCTGAAATCGATCGTAACGGAAACGTGGTTTATCCAGGCCCAGCACAAGATGCTACTCCTAATTCTCCTGCTTTTGTTGGTTCTTCATCTACTTCCTCTACAACTAAACAGCACAAAACTACACAAGTAGAACATGAAGATGAAAGACTGGTCAAGGATCCGTTCAAATCTCGTCTAGAAAAGGAACTATTGGACGAACTGGAGCTCGATGAGCGTGTTACGGTTTCAATTAAGGGAGGTTATTTTCACCAAATTACATTCCCCAGTTCTAAACCATCCTTGGCCTTTTTTCTAGCTAGTAGAAAGAGAAGCCAAGGAAGAGGATGTAGTTCTGAGGAATGATGTAATTCCGCAACGCTCTAACTCAAAGGACGGAAGCGGCAACATCGTGCACGCAGAGGGCTTTGTGCCACGAATGAATATGAAACAACGAAAGGCACTCGCGGATGCTGCAAATAAAGCTGCTAAGAGACAGCAGGTGCAGGATATGAAACTTCCGGCGGACAAAGAGGACAGTGAACAAGAACTGAATGACGCGTTAGACCCGCAAGAAATAGTAGAGCGACAAATTCAGTTCTATCGAAAAATAAATGAAGCCGCCACTAGCGCCATAAGCAGTACCGAGGACGACAGCGCCACAAGCAGTACGAAGGACAGCATCTTCGACGCCAACGCCATTAGCGTCACTGAATCTGAATACCATGATTAAGGCTCAGCTTTCAATGGTCATTGGGGTTGGTCACTGAGATCCCTCTTGAGAGAACAGGGGAAAATGAAGGAAAAGCAAAGGGAGAGGCATGGGGCCCATTTCTTTCAGAGTCAGTGACCATTGAATGCTGAGCTTTAACATGAGGAGCATTCGTTTTGTTCTTTGCTCATGAATCAACCGATTCTTGCAGAATGGCGGTTATCCGACACCACGCCAGCGATTTTCGATGCGACTGCGAACCGAATTGTGCACAAGGTGCGGAGAAAGGACGCAGCAAAATATGAAATGAATCTGAGGAATCGCAATTTTTTTCTTGTAAACTTTTATGAAGAAGCAGAACTAAGGATGGAGAAAGCAGTGGAAGCGAGAAGAAGATCCCTGGTGGACAATTAAGGGTAGGCTTTCAGTGTTCCTGTTACAACCGCTAGTTTTCTTACCTCTCTCTACTTCAGGGACGAGAGCAGCGGCATCCCTAACGGGTTTGTAAGCTAACACCAAAAGCCTACCTCTAAGACAACGAGGAGGAAAACCCGACTGACTGGCTACGCAAAACTTTTTCAGAGAAGGTTGGTCTAGGAGAAGCAGCAATCGAGAAAATCTTGCAGCTGAGTGGCGATCTCCTTATGAAGAGAATTGAGAAGGTTTAGGTTTTTTCCATTGATGTACATCTACATACTTCTACTTCAAAATTTAATATCTTTTAGACCACAAACTTGAGACCCATTATATCGTGGCGGGTGGATTTTTTTCAAGAAGATGAAGACTCAACCCGGATATTGGTGACGGTCTGCGTACAAAGTATAACGATATGTAGACTACTGAAATATTAATTATTATGATAATACTTACACTTAGCGTTAGCAGAACAAGAACTATAATTTATAGAAGATGGGAAAAGATGAATCAGAATCTTCAACTTGTTCCACTTTCATTGCTATGAGTGAGAGGTTACCTCCTGAGCACCATGAACGCTTTTTACGGGATATGATGGAGGAATGGAAAGAGGACCAGAACCACAACCAGGATGATCGAGATGGAGTGGGGAGGCTCAGGAGTACAACAAAAATGGATATGCGTGAGCGAATGAAGATACGAAGAGCTCTATTTGGTAACCTTGGCGGTGCAGCTGGAGCAGAGGAAGGCGAAATTTCGACAGACGACGTCGATGAATCTTTAGCCTCCAGTTTCCGCGATCTGTCTCTAAAAGCACGAGCAGAAGATACAAGCACACAATATGAAGATGATGCCAACATACGACCCTTACTCCGACGCCCTACTGCGGAAAATGGGTGCGGTTTACAGGACGTTTTCGATATAATAGAACACTATTTTTACGAATCTACAACAGTAAGACGCTACTTATCTGAGGAAGAAGCGATGGACGAAGATGAAGTAGATGATTCTCATGGACACGAGGAGAGAGAAAGTATTGGCTCTACAGCTTCCACTTTGCGAAAATTGAGGAAGGAAGGTGCTGAACGAATCACCACTGTCACTTCTCTACTGCAAGAAGTTTTTGGTGCTATTTTACAGCAAGTCCACTGTTTTGCGCAGCATGCACCTGCAGCATTACTCCTCATGCACACCATAATCGGAATGGCTCGACTCAGCCGTTTGAACTCTCTGCTTTGGACCAACCGTCAGGGTTTTACGGACAGCTACAACCGCGCGACCTTAAGGCTGTAGTGGATGTAGAGCCTCTAGTAGAAGTAGAAGTAGATTAGTAGAAGTAGAAGTAGCATATTAATCAGTAGCTCTCTCATTGTGTTGAAGTATCGTCATGTCAATCTACTTAGACTTAATAGTAGCATTCTCGTCTCCAGGTCGGACTCGGAGCAAACATCAGTCAATTCAGGTCGTGTGCTCTTTCTTGCCCTTAACCGTTCTGGCACTTATCTCACGCGCGTGACTTATTGGACGATTCATCATCCAGAGTGTGAAGTATCTAGTACTCTACCTATTCGAAAACTCAAAATAAGCGAGCTACTGAGTGAAATTAATAAGAGAATCTTGACTATATTCCTCTTCTTTCAGCATCTCCCTTATTTTCAATAGTTACTCGGTTATTTCAGTTTTTCGAACTTCTTAGTCCACAATACCAATACTCGTAGTCGTCCTTCTTCTAAGTTCAGTCGATTTGGTCGGGAGTGCGGGCGAGACGATCAGGGAAAAAGAGTATGAGCAGTCTATGAACAGGTCCGCCGGCGCCGCTTCTTCCTCTGGAGGTGGGACAGGTCTACGAAATGGAAGTACTGGATCTGGAAGTACTGGAAGTACTGGAGGTAGCAAGCAAGCACCTCAGGCCTGTGATCAAAACGCAGTAGTTGCTCCTGAAAGTGCAAACTGGGGCTCTAGTAGTTGTAGTGCTAGTGGCAGCCAAGAACAAGAACCATCAAGAAACAAGTGCTCGACGAAGGAGCATCAGATGAAAGCAAGAACAAGTTGCACTCTACTACATCATCTGCAAGAACACGATGAAAGAGCTCTGGACACGATGAAAGAGCACCAAAAATTCTATCGTACAGTCCTGCTGGAGCAGGAACATGGCATAGACGTCGAGGAAAGACGAAAAACTTTTCCACATGGCATAGATCTCAACAAGGAGGGAAAGCCTACTAGTAGCTCCAGTACGACTCAAGAGCAGGAGGAACAAGATGCAGCAGCAGCAGCAGCAAGAAATAGTTCTCAAGAACAACCTTTACCTTCCTCTTCAAAAAGATCATTAAGGCTACCGCTCAAGAAGCATCCTCAACGTCCTCCTTGCTTGGTCGGTCCTTTTTCTACTTGAAAAAGAAGCCAAGGAAGATGGCCCCAGGGATGCGAGCGCGGCTGCTCTAACAAAAACTGCGTCGGAGGGTCCTGCTTCTTCATCTGCCAGTCACTGTCGTGCTGAGGGTCCTTCATCGCCTCAAGCGCCAAGTGGAGAATCGAGGCCCTTTATGATTCAAGAAGGAAAAGTCTATGTATCTATAGGTACTATATTTTTTATGAAGCAGGGGGGGCCCAGGGGCTCCTATTAAATGATAATAGGAAGAAGAATGCTGATGCTATTCCTCGCCTACTAGAGTGACCTCCTCCTTACACATACTACTAATTCTTTACAACAGGTGCTGCAGCTTCCAATTCCTTCTCCTTCTACAACCACGCTCGTCCCCTTTCATTTTTGCATCCACCACCCCCACCGCGACAGCAAGAAGTGCAACAAGCAGTGATGTGCAGTATCATGTAACATCTTCAACGGACGCCGCTACACCTGCTTGTCGTCGTTTAAATCGGCTGATGAGACTTTCTTTTGAAATGCGCACCGTTCTCTCTACTGTAGATCATCTTGTTAAGGGCTTCCGAATTGCATTCCTCACTGCCATGATAGCAACTGGCTCTTTTCCTAGTAGAAAAGAAGCGAAATAAGAAGCGGTGTTCTGAGGAATGCAATATTACCGCTGCAGCCTCTAAATTTGGCTCTCCCTTTCGACGGGGCACCTCCACCTCGCTGTTGGGCAATGAGCTTCTCAATTCCCTGGAACGTCGCAATTTGGACCGTCGCAATTCGGAGCAACGACTTCTAAACAAGAGACGAGGCGGAAAAGATCATGGTGAACAAAGTTAAGCAGGGCTCGCGTTCGTCTTGCAACTATTGGAGTTAGACAACTATCTTCATCTAGCTCTCCAGCTCGCATAGAAGGCACATGATCTTTATTTCTTAATTGGACTATCTTCATCTAGCTCTCCAGCTCGCATAGAAGGCACATGATCTTTATTTCTTAATTGGACTATCATCTAGCTCTGCAGCTCGCATAGCAGGCATATGTTGATCTGTATTTCTTAACTTCCTTAAGTACGGTAATGGTGAGCAGTACGGCACTAAGTTAGTGTAGGGGATGTCAAGCCTCTATAGTTGTCAGATTGTCAGACTTCTACTTCTTAACTTCCTTGTTGACATTCACCACTCTCGCTCTCCTCTTCGTCCATGCGCCAAAGCTTAGTGAGGAACATCCAAACCTAGTCTGGTAGTTAATGATCACGACTAAGTTGAAGAAGGGTAACGAAGAGCAGCATAGACATAGATACTATGCGACTAATGACGAGATTATATGCTTCCGGTATTTGGTAACCTGAGTTTGATCATAAGGGATGAAAACAAGAAGAGAACCCTTGTGATCGAATTCAGGTTACCAAAGACCGGAGCCATTTAGCGATAAGGGTGACCACGAAGAGCTAGATTATATATAGAAGATATGCGACCGACTGCGATTATACATAGATATGCGACTGCGAGCTAGATTATACATAGATATGCGACTGCGAGCTAGATTACACATAGCTCTTCAACTTGATGAAAGCCCTAAGACAAAGCAGGGAAGGAAAAATCTGGCGCTGAGACTCGTGGAGGTGCTTCCAATACTGCCGGAGCAACAGGAGGCTCATCTAGTTCCTCGCAAGTGACTAGCGAAGGTGGAGCATCGTCGTATGTTAAGACTACCGCTAAAAACAAAAATTAGCATCCCCTATGATAAATATAACTAACACACCATGAAGATTGATCATGATGATTCTTGGACGAGGTTGTTCTTTTTCTACTTGAAAAGGAGTAGAAAAAGAAGCCCTCGTTATCAACATCATCAAGGATAATATATTATAATTTCCCTCAGAGAAGATGCAAGAAACACGGTTGTAGGTGTAGCTCTCATTCTCAGACAACATCAACAGAAGCAGAACCGACTTATATTATAATCCTACTTATCTATCAATCCGACTTATATCCTACTTATAATCAATCCGACTTGTATAATCCTACTTATAATTATCAATCCGACTTATCCTACTTATCGTTATCCTACAAGCGCACTCTTCTAATGTTGGCGGAGGTTCCTTGTGGCGTTGGGCTATGTATGGGGATGTGAGTTCTGTCGGTTGGTGCCGATTTTGGATCCTGTGGACCTCCCTTCACATAATAGCTTCTTTTTTCAGTTTCATCAATGAGGTTCAGTACGGATCGAAACACGATCTTGGCTTGGGGATGGATGCAGCATCTACTTCAATTAAGAATATCGGACTGTTCTGGGAATTTTTATCCATCTTCAGATTTTTCAGAAGCATCTATGATCTTGGGACACCCTTCAATCACCTTCTCTGGGAAAAAACGGAGATGATCCAAGAAGATGCCCTTTATAAATGTAAGATGGACGATAATATAGGAGGTCGTAGCTGCCGTAGGGTCTAAAACATGATCAAGTGGTGGCAGTACAGCAGGTGTGGACGAGGGAGCTGGAATGTCAGGAGGCAGTAACGACGCTGCAGTAGGTGCTTTTAAGAGGATTACTTGATGTTCCCCTGGTGAATGATCATGTATCCAAGATGATCTGCAGAAGCATGGTCCTGAAGGGCAAGAGGCTTTCGAAACTAACAGGGCTAAAGTAGTACAACGGGGACCACAACGGTGGTCCATCTTATTTATCAAGGACCGTTGACCTGGTGGCCTTATTTATCAATGACCCTGGACCTGATGGTGTTGACCACCAGGTCCTCCAGGGTGCTGAGAAGTCCGAGCAGCTCTAATATTCGGCTTTCACAGCTCGAAGCGGAATTGATGTTCCAAAAGCTTGCGTCGATTTGGATTGAATTTCTTTTGTTCTTCTGTCTGCAGGTTGTGGCCCGGGTCCAAGACTCTATGTCTGGGGTCGCTGATTCAGCTACATTTAAGACCTCACTTAAAAATCCATTTTTTCCTCCATCCATTTCAAGTACTCGAAAACTGAAAATAACCGAGAAGTTACTGACTGAAATAAGGGAGGCAGCTTTGACAGGGCTACTTGATGTCCTTGTTCAGTGTCTCGCTTATTATTATTTTATGTAGTCTCACTCGCTTAATATTTCAGTTCTTTATCGAATAAATAAAAATTGGACACGGTCGGATGTTGAAGCAAAAGATGGACCACTGGAGATGAAGTGAGTTCTAATACATTCGGCCACGCTTTGCGAAAACTAACGAATTTGGATTTTAGTGGTGGTCAAGCAGCGGAAGTGCTACAGTGGATTTCCGAGAATTCGCAAGATATTGATCTTGGACTCGATTTGGCTGCGATTTCTCATCACCTCCTGCACGACGAGGAAGGAGGACGGCCAGGAGCATCTTCAAAGGTTCAACAAACAGGTCGTGGAGCAGACCGAGATCAGGACGATGGAGGTACAACAACTTCTAAGAGTCGGAGTCGAAGCAACGAAATCTGGACTGCTCAAGAAGACACCAACAAGGACTTCTCACTCTTGCAAAAAAGTCTTTTACAGAGAGTTGGGACTGGAGCTCCTAGGGAAAGACCTTCAGCTTCAGCGACGTCTAGATCTAGAATGCCACGAGAACAATTAAGGTTTTTCACCAAATTAATTAGAAATAGAATTACATGATTCCCCAGTACTAAAACTAAACCATCCTTGGGGGCTCTTTTCCTAGTAGAAATGACGCTCTGAGGATGATGTTCTGAGGAATTATGTAATTCCGTAACCTCTAAAACTACAACAAGGTCGTGGTAGTGCTCGTACTTCTAGAGCACAACAACAAGAAGCTAGACCATCAAACCTCCAAGGAACAATATCATCTGTATTCCGAGCACGCGGAGGGACCCGCGGAGATGAGGACAATTTCTTGTGGAATGCCTACTCGGCGTCGTCAGATGTAGAAGATCTTTCGTCAGACGAAGTAGATTCAGATGCCGCTAATGTTGACGCGGTCGAAAACGATGAAATCGACTTCGACGCGAAGACTGGCAGTAGAAGTAGCGGGAGTTCTTGTAAGAGTAGGGGTAGGGGAGTGACTATGAAACGAAAAACTGCACTCACACTCAAGAAATTGGCTAGGATTTAAGTAGGAAAATAGCCTCGCTTTTTGAGTGTGAGTGCACTTTTTTCTTTCATAGTGACGACGTCGCGCTCGCGGAAGACCACGGAATATCAAAAGAGTAGTGCCTCTGCTAGTACAACTAGTGACAAGGCCGCTAGTTGTAGTACTAGGTCAACTACATCTACATCACGTAGGTCTTCACGCTCTTCTTCCTTGATGTCCAGAACCGGGAAATTATTCAAAGAGTTCTACAGGATGATTCACTTGTTGTCTTCGAAGAAGCCATTACTATGTGCAAAGGCCAGCGAGACCATGATTTCTCGTGTTTCTCATGCTTAAGGCTTCAAAGAACCCTACCCCACGTGGATCCTGTTCTTCTGGGGCGAGTATTTTACCGGGATCTATTCACGGGATGGGTTGAGGGCAGCTCTAACGTGCGCTGCTAGATTACGTCCTTGACGCGCGAGAGTTCGTCTTAAAACACGAAGAGGAAATGGCAAAGCAGGAAGGAATTTAAGAACCCTCAGGAAAACTACAGGAGGATAGATTTAGAAAAATTTATTTGATAAGTTTAATCATCCTTCTTTTTTCTATTTATTTGGTAAGTTACTCCGCTGCTGGGTTTTGGCTTTCAGTCTACTGGCAAAGCTAATTAATATCCCTGTCCTCAATCGATCGCAGTCTAGTCCTTCCACCATCATAGATATTCGGCAATTTTTCGCTTTCTGTCTAACCAGAGAACCGGGAAAGAAGCGATTCCTCAGGTCCTCCACCCGCAGCAAAGCTTACCGCGGAAGATATAAATCTTAAGGGTAGTTTATCACTATCCCAAGTGAACTATGCTGAGTGGAGTCCTCCTTGAATGATTTAAAGGGGACGAAGATGAGGCAGAAAGTGGGCACCTCCCCACTCAACCTACCAGGGATAGTGAAAAACTACCTCTAAATATCGGGCGCAGACACAAAGTGTTGCCTTTTTGGTAAGCATTCCCCATTTAGCATTGATTCGTCGTTCGCAGAGTTATGATCCGGTTACAGATGACGCTTACTTTAAATTTTTGAAATCTAGTAGCTATACCTAAAGGTTCGTTTGCCGAGAGCTGCCAGTATCATAGAAATACTGTCAGGCCACGTCTCTACGGTCATCATGAACGATGGCAACAGGGACAACAGCATGCATGCCAGCTCTTCGCCCTCACAAGCCTAAAAATGCTAGACATCCGACTGATACGTTCTAACATTCCGTTGCCATGGTTGAAGATCTTGTCGGATCTTCCAGTTTCTACGACCTGGCTCGTGATTTACTGGAGTTAAGAGCACATCGGACGGGGCTTTTGCCGCTTAGCTTGGATTTTGACCAAGAAGATGGGACGAAGGAAGGTGTTATGACTGATAGATAAAAATATACTTATATCATGTACTACTTGTAAGTTATAGAAGAAAGAAGGCGTAGACGCGTTCTCGTTCTAATAGAGGTTCAGGTTGTTTCAAATACGTCGTTGTTCCTTCTGTATTTGAGATCATTAGCATGGGATGAATGACCATGATGCCTACCTCAACAGCTTCATGTGCTGATGAAACTACAATTGAGTGTAGGAGCTCCTGCGTTTTTTGAAATTTGCTAACTCAAATCCAGCAGAGCAACGGCTCGCTGAAGAAACGTGGAACGATTTTCTCACGGATATGGCTGAGGATGGGGAAAGTCCCTTCGGTCCAGGACCTAATTGCCTCTTCGAAAGGTGGCCTAACTGAACTGAAGAGGAAAGATGTCTAGTGAATACTTGATATTCGATATTGATTGTTTTCAGAAGATGCTTGTACTCATACTTCTTGGATGACGATAAATCTGGTGAAACCGATGTAATTTGCTAGTAAGAACTAGCAAAAATGAATAACATGAAGTTCTGGTTTCTAGCTAGTATAGGTTTTTGATATGAATACATGAAGATGAGGTTATGACATCACATAAAGAGAGACGGATGAGAAAGAAACTTAATCGCAATGATGCTAAACAAATGTTGAAACTTGCAATAAAATATCAATGAATATAATGTCGCCCGTGATGAGAACTTACGAAAAAACCCTGATGAGTAGAGTAGAATGTTTGACTTTGAGATGGAACCAAACATAAACGATGAAGCAAGAAAGCGCAAGTGGTGTCTTCAAGAACTTTTTAAATCGCAAAACTAATCTCCTACCTGAATGTTTTGTTTGAAAAATCCTATGGAAGATACGGATTCCTATATGTTCTTTGAAAAATCTCAAAGATATTTATTGATAATCCTAGTATACCTAATATTCATGCTTACGCGAGCAAGGGATTATGCTAAACATTGCAACTAAAGGTGCAGCGCTGACGCGGCTAAAAAGAAGTTCATCTCTATAAAAAATACGCATCGCACAGCACGTAGTTTTCGTTTATTCTTAAGCCAAGTAGATCGTGACAACACATGTTCACTGGTCCAGCGCCGTTGCCTGTTGCCGCACGAAGTTGTGGTGCACCTCCTTTTAGAAGCACCAAAAGATGAAGATTCTGATTCAGTCTGGTTGGGGATAAAGGATGAGAAAGATTACTTTCGACCTTGTTTCTTAGTTCTTAGTTAATGCTAATGTTGACGTTGAGCACCAAGGAAACGAGACTGGTGAAGTGTCGTGTACTATCATGTTTCTGGTGTACATCTTGCTATTGCTTCCAGGACGAGTACTTTCAGAAGTGTCTCAATGTTAGGTAGCCTTGCTATTGCTTCCAGGAGTACTTTCAGCAGTGTCTCAATCATGGTGAGTCTAATCAGAGCAAAAATAAGATGAACCACGCGGAATAAGAGGTGATTGAACTACTACGATTCGAGAGGTGAAGATTGACAAAAACTGGTTTGATTCTCGTCTCTCTTCTTCAAGAGCTTCAAGAGTTAGCAATGGCCGGCGCTTCCGTTTTTTGTTACTTCTGCGGTGTGCCGCACACTGGGAAGATGCCGACCATTATCCATAGTAATCCAGTGCCGTTGGATCCGAATTTAGAAGAAATCGTGCAGAATTGTCCGAATGCGAGATGTATTGCTACTACATTCTCTTTAATGATCAATCCAAGTCTTTCTCCAGCAACTACTCCACTTCATGTGTCTACTTTTTTTTTTTCGTTGCCTACTTGTCTACAAGTGCACCACCACGCGCCTTGAAACTCTTGTCCTCTTTCTCAGGTAAAAAGCCACTCCCACGGTGCATGGTTTGTGCGTTGCCGTTGAATTGCGTGTCGCACAAAGCAGACAAAGGAAGGCCGAACCCTCTACCTTTGCCGGCGTTCACAGCTTACTTTATGGAAGGAAAGATGTTGTTGATATGAGAATTGTTGAAGTCACAATCTTTGTCGCTCCTCAGATGAAGTTTGGGCAGAAGCTGGGCTACTTCATGCTACAATCATGATGTTGAAGCTACAGCAATATTTTTGTACAGCAAGAAATCCAACTACGACGCACCGAACTTCCCTATAAGATCCCATTAGCCTAACAGTCAGTGAAAATTACGTCCTCTAATCCACGCGCCAATTGTCAACACGGAGGTCACCTCGCTTGTCTCATGGAGTGGTTTTCCAAAGAAACCGTGTGTCCAATACCCGGTTGCGGCTGTCATTGTGGTGCCATATCAGCAAAGGAATTGGAGGACGATTATGTTTATGATTGCGACTTGTTTCATATTTGAGACTCTTGGTGCTCAATACTCGTCCTCTATTCTTGTTCCCTACAACCTGAAACATCTTGCAACAAGTATGTTGTCCAAGAAGAAGGATGATGAAGATGGTGCTCTTTCGTAAGTTTGCGACAGACCTTGCTCCTTTGATATTTTGATTTTTCTTCAAATTCAAATTATCGCAAAGAAATTGAGTACTCGATCTCGAACACAATATCTTCTATCTCTAAGCCACAGGCGATGAGGAGTTTATGCCCTTAGAACAGGGTCAAGCTTCACGTCGTCAAGATGGTACGGATACCATTATATGCAGAGAAGCTGGACCTCGGGGGGACCCTATTGCTGAGCAAGCTGGACAAGAAACTACAACATCGCCTCCAAACTACAGTAGTACAACTACTAGTGGCAACATGATAATGCACCAGACAACAATACCTAGTTTCGATGATAGAAGAAGTGAGGACTTGGATTTCTATCCTGGAAGTCCTACGAGTGCAGGTGCTCGATCATCTACAATTAAGGTCAGCTTTTATCCATCTTTCTCGGCATCTTCTTGGTACCCTCTGCCCTTGTATTCTCATGAAATACGAGGTAAAAGGGGTCAAGATGGGTGGACCGAGATGCATCCTAGCACACGCTAATGCAACCAGCGCAATGTCGTATCCACAGCACGCGTTTCAAGCGCCAGAGGGTACACTCGAACTCGACCTGTCAGACCTCAGCGACTAGCTTAGACCTTAGTTTAGACCTTAGGGTTCTATATCTTATTTTTCGCTTTAGTTGACCAACCTCTCTATCATGAGCATAAGTATCTACTATGGCTTCTTCAAGTAGCAAAGTTTCAGATCATAGGCGAGGCAGAAAGGCCCTCAGCTTTCAACGGCTATGGAGCTCAAGCAGGATTATTTCTGCGAAGTTTTTCTTCTAGAGTTAGATTTTTCTGACCCATATCGGGTCGAGTTTCTCGGGTTGCTCGAGTCACTCGAGTTGCCAGTGCATATTTGTATTAATAATAGCTGCTCATGCGATACTTCCACGAGGACTTCGTCTTTATTTATACTTCGATGCATAATCATCGTATTGATAGTTTCTTATGATTATGATAATCAAAAGAAACTATCAATACAACTCCTGATCATGATCTTTGGTGTGTGGTGGAACGGTGCACAATTTTTTTCCAGCTCCACAGACTACAATGCAGGTCTCGTCGGCAATACTCTGGTAGATTGTTTTATTTTTAAAAGGTCTTACTTAATGGTGGACTACTTTTGATCTTTTGATATTCTTGTACCTCATTTGTTGTAGCGTCTCGTCTTATCATCTAACAAAGGTGTTCTTGTGTCTTCTAGTTTACTCCTTCATCTAAGTACTTCAAAAAGAAAAACAAGGAAGATTATAGTAGACTAGTCAATTACAATTACAACTGCAACTCTACTTGCATTTCTGGTTGCTCAACGTTTTTTATCCACGACGACGCTAGATGACTCACTTTGACTTTTTCTGTAATTTTTACTTGTGGGCCGCTGAAACAACAAATGTTCCACGCGGTCTTGGTCATTATGTGAAATGTGGAGAAGAACTTTATTTTTTGTACCCCGCCACTTACGTGAACATTCTTTTGGCACGACCAGGGCATCAGGAGCTTCTTCAGTAGGAGAGAGCTGAATTTTTACAACGCAACATGTCGTGACGTATTAACTCTATGACGCCAGTAGGCAGTCTGCACTGAACTTTGTGCGAGATGAGTTCTATTGTGTTGCATTGTCGACGAAAGTAGAACGCGCAAGAAATATCCGCAGTGATGTTGTCCTCATCAGAGTCAGTACTAGTGTTCCAAGATCATTTTCGTCTAGTTTGGAGAGTGAACATCATCTCTGTATAATCTGTTCATGATAGAGAGATAGCTTTCATCTCTGTTAGAGAGTCCTTCGAGAGTCCTTCTAATTCATCTCTGTTAGAGAGTCCTTCGGAAGGTGATATGAAAAAAGTGCTGCCCTTCGGAAGTCGAAAGATAAAATGCGATGAGAGTGAGGTAATCTTCTATCAATCAATCAGTCAATCAAGTCAGCATGCTTCTAGTTATTTTCACTATCCTCTGTCTTCGTCGTCAGGTGAGTGGAGAATAGAAGTCGTCGACGGCTAGTGATATATTTCGTGTGACTTTATTTTGTATCCCCTCCATCGTAGTGGTATCCCCACAGGAGTCGACATTCGCCTGTAGAAGTAGCTGGTAGTTTTCCTAGTGCTACTTTTTGGAAAAATTTTTTCGTTGATTGAAGCAAGCTTCTTGATCTGTGTTTTGACATCAATGATATCTTTCTCGCGAAGTCACATGACCAACAGACCATTTCTTCTATTCATGTAAGTAATAATTTGACTTCTGCATCAACAAGATTTTTACTTAGCGTTAGCTACAGACCACTGTCTCAGCCCCTCAAACGGCCACGTTTTACTCAGAAAAGATGTCCCGTAAAGCGGCGGGAAAGGAGGTGTCGAAAGACGAAAAGTTGGTCGTCTTGCTGGATCGGGTTGCCGCCAACTTACTCGAGGAAAGACCAGAAGCAGGCGAAGCGGCGGTATGATTCACTCATAAGCTTAGAGATGAAACTATTTCTAGATCGTTGGTTCTTCGATGGATTATGTCCTTGTCCCCCATTGTTCTGATTCAGGAAACAACTACCACATGATCTAAAAAGTTTTCATCCACATGGTCCTAGTACACTTTTTCTTCAACTCCCACATTTTCTTCAACTCCCACAGTGGAAGAACGTCCTCGAAACGTTGTACGAGCAGCATCCTCTGCACGCTGGTCAGATGGAAAGGAAACGGCTGTTGCGGCACCGTGAGAAACTCGAACGAACTCTGGTCAGTGCGCGAAAAGCACTGACCAGTGTGGGGAATCAGTAAGGTTACTGAAGACAGATCTTTGTCATCACAGGAGGTCTTCACACGTGGTAGACGTGGGGAATCAGTAAGGTGATTCAAGATGTGGGGAATCAGCAAGCTCGTGTGAGCGGACGCAAGGTCGTGATGGACCACGGAGGGAGCATGGACGAGAGACTTTCTGATTCGATTATTCTCTTCGTTGTACTTGCATGGAAGATCATATCGTGCAGCAGCACGTTCATCTTGTCAAGGTTTTTTCACCTCATTCGTGTTTTTTGAAATTAAAACATCTTCAAGGCTTGACAAGCTTTCCCGAAATTAGAAGAACAAAGAATTCGTAAGACTACAACTCGTCTAGTACAGGAGCACCATATCAACACCCACCTAGGTCGTCCAGAATCGATCATTTTTCTAGTTTATCAACATCTGATTAACATCAAGTTCAACATTCTGGTTAACAACATTACAGTACAACAAGAATTCGTGGTTACACCGCTAGAACAAGGCATTAGGGTAAAGATTGCAGGAATCAACATTGTCAGTGACATTCATCCGATTTATACGCTGTCAACCCAGCAACAGCAAGAACGGATAGCGCTTTCTCTTATACAGTGTAGAGGGTTCCGAGCGGCAGTCGTAATCACAACTGGCAGAATCGGTCCGAAGATGAAGTAGTCTGTAAGAACATAGATTGTTCAGATCATAAAATCACGACATAATCTTGAAGAGAGCCACCTTCTTCTGTGGAGATGAATCGGACTTAATAGTATCTGTGATGAAAAGTGCCGTTCTGGTTCATGCGGTGTTGACGCTAGAAGATGCAGCAAAAGAGAAAAAAGTGAGACACGACGATGGCAAGTAAAAGGTGATGAAAACAGAATCCCATGCCTGAAGACAACAACTTCAAAAAAAAAACTACCATCTTCCTCCACATAAGTACATCACAAGAAACAAAATGCCTTCCTCCTCCATGACATCCTCCAATGCTGGCGTGCCCAGGAGGCCTACGCATGACGGCGCGTCAGCAGAGATGTTGCAGAGAACGTTGGAAAAGCTGCGAGCCGCATACTTTCGAGAATTGACCGATCTAAGAGGTCAGTTGCGGAAAGCGAATTCAGCAATCAATAAAGATGCGATTGAGGCAGTGGAGGAGGTGTTATGATGATCTTGCTGTACTAAATGGATCTCTATGACACTGACGATTTGCGGAGTAGCACCAGTAGCAGTAGTTTACTATCTATTTTATGACACTGACGATTTGCGGAGTAGCACCAGTAGAAGCAGTTGTAGTTTATATACAGTACAGCACAGTACGCCAAGGAACTCCCTCTTGTAGAGTCTACGGGTAAGGAGTGGTAGCGCTCCTGATATTGGGCGAGTCTGAGTCTTATTTTTTTGGCTTGGTGAAAGAATAATAACTACCTATTTGAAATGTTCCTTTCACTACTATTAACAGCATCACTTTCACCTCCACAAAATCAAGGTCCTAGTGGAGCAGCCTGTGATGTATTTTGAGCCATTGCAGTTTCTATCCGACGAAGAGGAGGCGACGAAGGATTTCATTCAAAACACGGTGGCAGAGAAGATGCGTTTGCTGTTATTGTCACGCGGTTATTCAAGTGGAGACGGCGTCCATGATGGAATAGCGAAGACAAAGGAGAGGAAGTACAACTGTTGTATCTGTACTTTTTGTCTCTGGTCCATGATGGAGGACATCAATGTGATGAAGAAGGAGATCTTCTAGAACGAACGAGGCAACCAACGAGGCTTCACTCTGTAGTTGAGACTGTTCTTCATCACGCCACAGATTAGAAGAGCAATGATGTCATCTTCAGCTGCATCTTTATAATCCTTATGTAATTTTTCGAGTCGACCTCAACCTAAAACACGACCTACAACAGCGCAGAGCTCGAGACCCTATTACGACAACAGCGAGAGAAGGGTGAAGCCGAGCAGACGGCATTGCGCTTAGAAATTCAACGCTTGACTGACCGGTTAGCAGATGCAAAAGAGGAGCACGAAGAAGTGAAACGTTCTCTACTCCTTATCTAGGTTTTTTACACATAGATTAGTCCACCTACCCAGGGACTGTTGCTGATGTGCGAAAGTCTTCAGTTGTAGTGAACTTCGATCGAAAAAGTGACGTCAATCTTCGATTGCAATACGCTATTGGACTGAATTATCTGAGAAGGTGTGTTTTTGCCTGCTTGTAGGCAAAGAATAGGGTACTCCGCTGTTGTGGTCGTATTCAACGTCAAGGTTTTAAATCTTTTGATTTTGAGTCTGAAATTTAGGAATTTGTTTCAAATGGAACAAAATCAAAATTTCTAGGATATTTCTTCATCTGCTTTCACAAAAATTTTGATTTTGTTCTATTTTTATTCAATTTTAATCCCGGCGAAGCCTTTGCATTCGACTTGGATTCATTCGTTTGAAATTCAATCCATCTCTAAATCTTGAACTAGTGGCGGGTCCTTCTGAATTTCATGTGAAATTCTTGACATGGAGTTAGAGTAATCCACTGAAAGGGTGAACTTCGATGAAAAAGCCTCATGCTCTAAAAATAAAAAATTCGAGGTTTTTCGTTTTCATATAAATTGTGCTAAAGCCATCAATTAGGGTGGAGGGCTTTTCAATTTCCTTCGAAGTTCTTGTAGATGGTTAGAGTGGAACATTAAAGAGCTAAATATTGATCAAAAAACCTCATGCTTTAAAAATTCAAAATTCAAGGTTTTTCATTTTAGAGCTTCATGTCTGAAAATTTGGCTCCAGTTTTCACGCGGTGGAGACAACGTTTAGTCCTATTTCATGTAACTAAAACTAATATGCAAACGCAGCTTTGATTCTAATTCAAATTTCATTTGAATTCACAAAAATTTTGATTTTGTTCCATTTTAATCGAATTTAAAGCCTGGTGACGCGTTTGAGAGTCATTCACGTAAAGTCTGGAATCTTTCGAAATCGTGTCCTTGTGAATTTCATGCCTAGTAGCGGTAGTACTATCGGATTTGATGAACAAAATTGCCCTAAGTACCTGAATAAGACTCAGAACAGGTTCTCTCCTCTCCCAGCACGCTCATGAGAAACGTGCCATGGTGACGGATTTTGAGCATGAGAAGGCTGAGATGCGCACTAGTTTCCGGAGTCAGCTAGACGCGTTTGCGCAGCAATTGATGCAGCAACAGGAGAAGTTGCAGAACATCGGTTTGGTGGGCGAAGAATTCATAGTTAGTGCTCGAGGAGATCGACGTCCGGGAAGTGCACCTACACCGGAGGCAGAAGAAGATAGGAATGGACTACCGTCAGCTGAAGAACTGCAACAGGATCTGCAGAGGCCTCCTGTGGGAGCAGCAGCTGACGAAGCAACACCTGCTCAGGAAGAACTTGCTCCGCAGTCTAGTGGAGGCCTTGTTCTTGTCCCGACAGCTAGAGCTGCTGTATCAAGTAGAGGAAATCATGCTCCTTCGGCAGGAGGAAGTGGCTCGAAGAACCTGCCTGCAGTTTCACGAAAAGAGCGCACTAGGATACTTCTGGGCAAAGACCACGCTGTGGTAGGTAGCAAGAAGACACCTTCAACTAGTACAACTTCATCCTCCTTGGGATCTGGAAGGAGCAGGAAGAGCAGTCCTAAAACTACAACAGCATCTTCAGTACAACCCTCTTCATCATCTAGTACTAAAAAGACTCCAAATTCAAGTACATTACCACCGGTCGTTGTACCTCCAACCGCAGTTCGAGCTGCGACAACAAGCGATGGTACTTCCAAAGTCAAAACTTCTATTAAGAAGCAACCTCCAGTACCAGTAGCCCCTGCAAAGAAAATTGTCATTGCTTCACCTGCGACAACCACATCCACAGCAAGCCCTCTGAGCAGTATCGCCACAAGTCCTTTGAGTGTATAGAGATCAGTATACATAGAGATCAAGAGTTCTTCCTGTAGTATTTAGCGATATTTAGACAATAAGGTACGTGTAAGTATGTTTGTGTGTATGTATGTGTGTGCGCTGCACAGAAGAACAAGAAGGCGCTGCTCTTCTTGAACTTTTTCACTTTCGTTTCCTATCATATGCTGAACTGACAGTGTACAGTAAAAAGATATCAACATGATCGCTCCGTTCCAACTTTCACTATCCACGACAAACGACTCACTATCCACGAGTTCTTGCTGCAGCTGCTCATAAGCTTTATCTTCGAATATGCTGCAACGCCTCCTGCGATGACATGATGATCTTCACAACGCTTCAGAAACCGTGTTTGGGGGGATCCGAATAAAGGCATGAAATCCAGAGGCAGTAGACAGGTCATGAAAAAAGAGATCAAGATTCAAGATCCGACCCGAAGATCATCTTTTTGGGCTGACACACACAACATACTTTACTGACTCACTTATTGAAACTGCAGGACCACGTAATGCATGCAATTCTCGACGTTGTGATCTTCCACTGTTACTTAGTTGTAATCACTCGTCTCCCGCGCATTAGTCAAACCTGAAAACCAAAAGAAGAAGATGGGCGGAAAAGCGAAACGTCGGAAGCCGCGCAGCAAGCACATGCGTGAGCATTTGGAAGTCCAGAAAAGCGAAGTAGTGCTTCCGTTGGAACAATCGCCAGCTTCTGGCGATCTTTCCGGTCGTCCTGTGGAGCGGTTACAAAACAACCTATGGAACAGCTTCGAAAATGTTCTACACTTCGACTCTGCGGATACGCGACACCAGTTCCGAGACCTGTGCATCAGACTCCATCAAACCAAGAAGCAAGCTTATTGGAAAGCTAGGGAAGCGAAGCCTGCTAACGTGTTTGAGCGTTTAGCGGATCAGATATTCGATTTTTACTGTCCTGCTCAGGAATTATCGGAAGATGAAGGTGCAGATGGAGTAGATCATGTAAGAGCAAGCGGTAAAAAAAGCATCAACAGTTCTCCTGGTGCTCCTGCAGGTGCAGACGAGGAGTCGTGCGTCAAGAGCAAGAGAACCCGTGGCGGCGCAGAATGGTGGGTTCAAGTGAGGGAGATGGGCAGTAGGTCCAGATTATATGCCGGTGAACAGAATGATGACATGTCGTTAGGGTTCCATTGGGATCTAGATTATGAAAACGGAACTTGCCCAAAGTTCGGCACTGTCACTTACCTCGACGACATCGGAGCGCCAACAGTTGCCCTAGAATTGGGAAGGGCAGAACCAGAAGCTGTAGAAGCCAAGAGAAAGTTGGGAAAACGAAAACCTTCAGCGCAGAAAAATTCGCAACATTCATGGAGCGTTCCATCTGCAGCGGTGAGTCATCCTGTACTGGGGAAACATTTCGTTTTCAGAGGTGATCTATTACACGGTGTGCCAATCGAATATGCAAGACGAAGGGAAGACGGGTTCGTAGTTCATGGTGGAGGAGCTGGAGGGGGAGACAAAGTAGAAGAAGATCAAGTACTAGATGAAGAACAAAATGACGAACCCAAAGCTAAAAGAGCCAAAAAATGCGGTGTGGTGTCTTCAGACAATACGAAGGATGCAGCATCTACCTCATATTTTTCTACCCCTTCTACTTTTACAAAGAGAGCTTGTTCTACGAGTACGACGCGGGTTACCTTTTTAGTGAACATTTGGCCGGATTCTGAAGGAATTGGTGGCATTCGTAGTTTCGCAGACTCAAAACAAGAATTAGAGCAGGAACCAAATGGATCATTACTTCTACAAGAGCTCCTTGCTGAAACTACGAGCAGTACGTCCTCTACTACTCGGAAGAAGTCCTCGAGTTCTTGCTCCACCTTAGATGAGAAGAAAGTATGGTTTCGATTTCCCGGAGCCAGAAGTGAAGATAGCACCACGACAGGTGGAGCAGGTACAACTACTTCAGTACTAGTTGAAAAAGATGAACCTCTCCCAGTGCACGCAAGCAATCGCAACACTGTGGTCTGTGGTCTATCCTTCGACAATGGGGAAGCAGAGCAGTACCAATTGTGGCTACCTATTGTCGAAGAAGCCACAACTACGACAACGACTACTGCTTGTTCTAGTATAAGGAACAGAAGTAGAAGTAAGAAGATGAAAAGCACATCTTCAAGAGACAACGCGAGTATGCAGGACAAGGATGCCGAAAACCCTAGTCGTCCTAGTGGCAGTCATTCGTCTTCCAAATCCGAAGCCGCTTCTTCTTCCATTATTCTTTTCCAAGGTGGAAATCAAGCACCTTGTAAAGTTGTACGACACCTCTGATTATCAACATTGATAGATGCTGGAGGTGGAGGCCGTGTTAGTTTTATTACACCCCAATTAGTTGACTGTTGTATTGATACTTTTTACTAAGGTTTTTTTTTACAAAGAGAACCCTTTTATCCTTATCTCAACGCCAGACTTTGAAGGAGCAAACGTAGGATACTTTCACGGTGAGAAGGTTCGATGAAGGGTGATTCTTGGTCCGGCTCAGAAAGAAAGTGCATATGGATTACCCACCGGACCAAACGATCCAAACTGAGTCGTGAACGACTAACACGACTCTGATATTGTTGACCACGGAAGTAGCCTCTACTGACAACATTCTGAATAGATCGACGACTGCATTATGTGCTAGAGAGAGAGAGAGGGAGAGCGGACCCAACGAATTACATTCATCCGCACTGGAGTAGAGAGAGAGCGCACCCACCTAAAAAAATCAACATCATGATCCGTAGAACAATTATTCTTGAGAAAGAGCACATGCTCCAAATTTTGACGAGTCTAAAGAGGGAGAAGAGAGACAGACATGACCAAAGCCCTGTACCGGCTTTATCTGTGGCCTTCGAGGATATGAGAACAAGGAACCACTCCTATTCTGTTTACTAGCCGCGGAGATGAAGGCTATCTGTCTCGAAACAGAGAGAAAGAGGATGCTGATGCATGTGCTCGTGAAATGACGAGTCTTCAACCTTCATCTGATCGAGAATTTTCTCGGAATTGGACTAAGTAGAACGATGAAAGTCAAACTGCAAAATGTACTGAAGAGTCACTTGTTATTTGAGTGCTGCTGAGTCGTCAACTTCTGGATAGTACTAGTTTTTGACCCCCGAAAGCTCCTTGAACACAAAAGGATAATAGCAGAGGTGGACTTACCTATACTTATATCTTCACTTATCACAATATATTACCTTAGATCACTGCTACCACAACAACAACAAGAACAACAGCTAGGGCAGACGAGTAGAATCATGATTTTTAACCTCCGCAGTGGCGCGGCTTTATTAAAGCCCATCTTTCGAGGGCAGCTGATGCCGTCTACTGCACTGAATGTATGTAGAATTTGAGAATGTATGTAGGATTTGCATCCACAGAACAAGGTAACCCTGGGTCTGTTTTAGTTCCTCCGTTATCCAGCGCCGCCGCTCGTTAGACGGCCGCACACAGTTGAAAACTGAGCACCAACGCCAAGACTTCCTCGACGAGCTCCTGACCGAGTATGCACCAGTCAAAATTGTGGCACTTGTGGTGCGAGGAGAGTGCTCACTTGAAACGCATTCGTGAGGAGATGAAAGCAGAGACACACCAGGTTGCTTGCTTTCTCTGCGCCCACCCGCCATGTTGGTGCGTCGAAAGAAACGTGGGTCGTGCTCTTTCAGTGTAGATACCGCCGGCCATAATCAAAAAAAATATCGGGATGATCCAGATATTGATGAGACATCTGGTCTGCTTTGAGGGAGGCGTCGTGATGTTGATGAGTCATAGTCATCTTCTGTAAAAACAGGATCTGGCAGGCTTCCAAGATGCGCTGTAACAAGACGAATCTTTCTGTCTGAGTGACGTGCGAGAAGATGCAAGAGTGAGTTTGGTCTCTGTCTGCGTGAGTCTTCAGCGGGTCTCTAGTACTCTGTTTGAGTGACGTGCAAGAAGCAAGAAAGGCATCTTCTGTATTGCGAGATGAAGTATAGTCGGTCGTGTGGCGAGAGCAACAGTTGATGTACTTGTACCAACATATCTTCTTCTCGTGACGTATCTACTGAGGTGTTGAGATCGATGATAATCTTAATCATTATCTCAATGTATGTCCTCTCACCTCTCTAGTGAATAAATGTTGCAACTTAGCTTATCTCCAGCAACATTAAAATCATGATCATGTCTTGTTACCAATGATCATACCTATGCCTTCCTACTTACCTTTAACTTATCATGATTATTAACTCCGCACCAGCTTCAGGTTTAGTACGTTCAATTGAACTCTCTCTCCCCATTCCGACTTTTTCTATCCCAACCTTATACACTTCTAGGCTAGCGCTACTTGTTATTTGGATATCATTAGAGGAGATTTTCGAATTATATCAGATTCAAACATATTAGTGATACTTTGAATTTCATTGGCCTCGCCATATTATTATTTATTTGTTGTAAGTAAAACTATGTACAACTAATATATAAGACTAAAACAAGTCTTTTTCTCTCTCTCCAGACATCAACTATTGAGTTATTGTGCTAACTTGCACGTGAGTTCAAAACACTTCTTGCTGTTCAACACATTGCTGGTCAAAATGTCGCTGCCGGCTGATCTAAAGCGCAGCGCGCTGAGGGCGGTTGTCATCATTTCCGCCCGTTCTCTCATGGTCCCCAACGCCAACGCTGTGGCAGTGCAGTTTCTTCATACAAAAGAGGACGATCCTGCGCGGCTGGGGACACTGCTTCAGATTCATAGCTCCAGGACTGCTCCTCTGGTCCCGACGGGCAACGGCAAGAACGGCATGAAGAAGGATGCCACTACGCCTAGGAAGCAGGCGGACACCGAAGATCGTCGTCTTGGCCTTGAGAAGGTGAAGCCAATGACTCGTGGGGAATTCGCAGACCTGATGAAGAATGTGCAATCGCATCCGCATGTTGTTGATATCGCGGCCGCCTATGTTTTCGATATCGCCGAACAAATCGAAGCTTTTGGGCAGGACATGAAAGCCAGACAAGTAGATTCTTCTCGCGGGGACGGCTTGGTGACGTCGGCGGGCGAGTTTATAAAATTGTTTCAAGCAGATATAGGACATCGTGACGAACAAGAGGACTATGATGAAATTACAGCCGAAATCACTTTGACTCGAAAGGCGCAGGCTCTCGCAAACGCTGTTCATGAACTCCACGAGGTAAGACTGAAACTGTTGATTAATCCCGACGAGTATGACGCGGAGAATCAACAACCATTTTTGCGCTTGAGCTTTTATCAGAACGCGGCTACCTTCTCAATTGCATCATCAATCAATTACCTCTATAACCCGTTACACTCGTACTTTTGGGCGAAAAGGGTCCTTCGCAACAGGCAGCACAAGGAGGAGGTTGCCGAAGTGATCAGGCGTGCTGAAGCCGCGAAGAAGGCAGTCCAAAGCCTGCAAGGCGCGCTGAATATTAAAACGGATGAGTGGGCTGCCCAAAAGGGGGGTCTGGATAAACAAGTGCAAGATCTGACGAAGGAGGCTGCAGAAGCGGAGAACAAGCTGATCAACCAGGTTGCTACAGCCAAGGCGCTGGCTACTCAAAACGCGGAGCTCGATGCCCAAGTGCAGGCCGCCCAAACCGAGGAGAAGGAGCTGGCTGCTCAAAAAGCGGAGCTGGAATCCAAGGTGCAGAATTTGGAGCAGAAAGCTACTACTCAAGCGGAGGAGGCTACGAAACTGAAGCATGAGGTCGAACGTCTGCAGGGCGAGCTCAATGTTGCAACAACGAAGTTGGCTACTGAACAGACGCAGCTCACTGCTGGAGAGCAGGAGCTGGCGGCCGAAAAGGCGAAGCTGGCTGAAGGCATGAAGAAACTCGCTACTGAAGAGGCCAAGCTGGCTGAAGGCATGGAGGCGCTGAAAGCTCAGGCTCAAAAGGGCAAGGAGGAGCTGGCTTCCCAAAAGACGAAGTTGGACAACGAGGCCCAAAAACTGCAAGGCGCACTGGCTGAGGTGGCTGCCCGGGACGGGAAGCTGGCTTCTGAAAAGGCTGAGCTGGCTAAGCAACAGGAGAACCTGGACAAAAAAAAGGCGAAGCTGGCTGCTGAAGTGCAGGGCCTGGAGGACAGGGTTGCTCAAGAGAATACGCGGGATACTCAATTGCACGCTCTCGGTGCGGAAAAGACGAAGCTGGACGCGGAGGTCAAACACCTTAAGGACGAGCTGCATGCTGCAAAGGCGAGCCTGTCTTCTCAAAAGAAGGAGCGGGATGACGAGGTCAAAAGTCTGCAGGCCACGCTGGCTACTCAAGAGACGGAGTTGAGTACTCAAGTGCACCATCTGGAAAGTACGGCCGCTTCTCAAGCGGAGCTGCTGAAGCGCGAGCTGGATGCTGAAAAGGCAAAGCTGGAAACTTTGGTGCACAATCAGGCGGAGAAAGCTACTCAAGCAGAGCTGCTGCAGAGCCAGCTGGAAGATGAAAAAAAGGCTGAGGTCAAACAACTGCAGGACGCGCTGGATGCTGAAAAGGCAAGGCTGGAAACTTTGGTGCACAATCAGGCGGAGAAAGCTACTCAAGCGGAGCGGCTGCAGAGCGAGCTGAAGAAGAAAGAAGCGGAGGTGGAACACCTGGAGGGCGAGCTGGAGCATGCTAGTGCTGCTCAAGAGAACAAGCTGGAGGCGCAGGAAAACGAGGCCCAAAGCCTGCGTCTCGAGCTGGATGCTCAAGTGCAAGATCTGGGTCATAAGGCTGCCCAATTGAAGGAGCTGAGTGACGAAAAGGCGGAGCTGGCTGCTCAAAAGGCGGCGATGGAGGGGGAGGTCAAACGCCTGCACGACGAGCTGGCTACTCAACACTCGGAGAAGGCTACTCAAGCGGAAGAGCTGACGCGCGAGGTAGATACTCAAAAAGCGGAGGTGAAACGCCTGCACGACGAGCTGGCTACTCAAAACGCGGAGCTCTCTGCTCAAGTGCAGGATCTGTCGGCGCGGGCTGCAACCGCGGAGCAGAAGCTCTCTGCTCAAGTGCAGGATCTGTCGGCGCGGGCCCAAACCGAGAAGGCGGAGCTCTCTGCTCAAGTGCAGGATCTGTCGGCGCGGGCTGCAAGCGCGGAGCAGAAGCTCTCTGCTCAAGAGGCCTCGTCGGAGCAGGATGCCTCACTGTCGCAGAGAACCGCGGTTACGGGCTCTCCCGGACCGTGTTTCTTTGGATCGTGCTAAGCCACTCGGTGGTGGTGGATGCTGATTAGCAGCATTCTGGTGGTGGAGGTAGTGCGTCCATCTGTCATGGAGCAGATGGAGGTAGTAGGATGAGGAGTATCATAGAAGACGGACGTGGGGGTAAAAATAGGATGTCAGGAGTATGGAAGACGGACGTGGGGTAAAAATAGGATGCGGGGTATGGAAGACGGACGTGGGGGTAATAGGATGAGACGTATGGAAGCAGGACGTAGGGGTAAGCGGTAGGATGGATGAGACGTACTGAAGGCAGACGTGGAGGAGGTACTAGTACAGTAGGAATTTATTAGCAATAGGAATTTAGGATGTTGAGAAATTTAGAAGGTAGAGATGGTAGCTGGATGAGGAATACGATGTTGTACTAGCTCCAGCTATGATGAGAGGATACACAGGACCAAGGAACAAAATTCGAAAAGGTGTCCTTCTAGTAGTAGTTCTTTGTTTATAATATGTCCTTATTAACTTAACACATACACGTCGATCACGACAGGGCAATGGCGGGTTGGATCTGGTGCGTTCACTGGTAATAGGAGGATGAGATGGCACATCCTGGATGGAAAGAAGTACACATCAGTGGCGGATGAGAAGTAGAAGTACACATCAGGACGAGAGGCGGATGTATGTGCTTGTTCCCAGTCTAAAAGGAGAAGACGTGGGGGACGGAGGAGAAATAAGACATCATGACGTGGTTTCCGGAGGAGTTGCAGGTACCAACTATATAGTACTCTTCGGAAAATTCAAGTAGTTTTTGACTTCGACCACTTCGTGCTTCTAGTATTAAAAATTCAGGTACTACTTAAGTTCTTTTTCTACTAATATCCGGAATTTTCAGCACAATAAAAAAATATTAGAATTTGCGTTGAACGAAAACGTCTGCAGCTGCACTTTCCCAGTAATTTTTAAGTCCTCTTCTACTTGCATGCGCTTTCCAATTCCATGTATGATCAGGGCGCCACTGGAGCTTGTGCGTACACTGGCAAGGAGAGCAGAATGAGAAGCACACAAGAGAGGCGGATGCTTGTGCTTCCAAAAGTGGTAGTGGACAACGCACTAAAGAAACAAGTGGAGGCTTCTGGTACCAACTGTTTTTTATCTTCATCATGCTTTAGAAAAGTAAAATTTTGATTTTCGATTCCTATAATTAGAAATCAGCGCCATTCAGATTCAGTTTGCCTTATTTTACGTTGTTCGCGGCGTCGACTTTTTTTGTTTTTTCCCGATTGATTCATCTACTTCTACAACTTACAGTTACAGTTACATCTACTTCCGCACCTTCCATGTATCATTCGTATCCCAGGTCGATGGCTGGTTTGATCTTGTAGTGCTTCCAGAAGTGGACAACGGACTCAAGAAACAACTGGATGGTACCAACTGTTTATCTTCATGCTCGTTTAGTGGAAACAAGGTACTACATATAGTTTAGAAGTACTTTGATTTTCGATTTATTGGTACTGCATCTATCAACTACTGATCATGATTAGCGCAATACTCCCACAGGGCGACACTGTCCATAAGAGGAGGATGCGAAGAAGTACGCATCAGAGCCAGTGGTAAAAATATTGAGACGAGGAGGATGAGAAGAAGTACGCATCAGAGCAGGCGGATGCACAGAGATGGAGGCGGGCGATCATGCTCCTTGTGCTTCCAGAAGCGTGGACAAGCACACAGTTTGAACGGAGAAGTGGGCGCTGGACTGTGGCCTCGTCTGGAGGTACTAAAAACCGTAGAATATCTTGCACATGCTTTAGTAGAAGAAGAGTAGAATAAGTAGAATTTTTTTAATCATTTCGGTTTCGTACTATGCATTCTTTCTACAACTCTTTTTATAAATATCAGGAATTCTAGCAGCTCAAGCTCTTCACAAGAAGGCCATACTCTAGCAGCTCAAGCTCTTCACAAGAAGGCCATACTCTTACTCACAAGTAGTCTATCTTCACACTCATCACTGCAGGACGGTAGGAGATGAAAGATCGCCATTCTTCGGTCTGGCTCTGTTTAAGGAGACGACAGAGGTGCAACTGGGAGACGACGGAGGTGCAACTGGGAGACGACGGAGCTAGCCTGAATCGACTGGCAGAGGCGCTTGTCAGGATCGATTGATGAAAGAGGCAATCGGTGACTCCGAAAAAGGGTTTCGTAGTCTATTGGGTTATTCATCGACACTAGGGGAAGGGGTTACGATGAATGAAAGAAGTCGGGGTGAATAGATGAAGAGCGAGTCGTGCTCGTGGCTCAGAAAAATATGAAATATTAACAAGTATTATAATATAATATGAAAATGAATGTAATTGGTGCGATGAGAATGAGACTTTTTATTAATTTTTTTCAACCGAAAGACAGTGAGACACGAAAAAAAGCGACGAAATATGTAATTGAACAAGAATCTGGTGATGAAGAACTAGGATAAAAATATTAAGCAAGCAGCGTTGTATTATCGAGATTTTTTCAAGCATCATGAGGCATGAGGGACAGGGAGATAGCAATAGAAGAGATCATCATACTTGTTTTGTAATAGTAATTATTAATTTATTAGACTGACAGGGACTAGAACTACAAATAATTAAACAATAAGTGAATTTCCATGCAAATTAGTAATGCAAGAATAGAACAACTGAACGGAGCCTACACCTACAGAAGTTGTAGAATAGATGCTAGATTTTCAGATTTAGAACAGCGGACCAATGCCATCCTTGTTGACGAAGCAACAGGAGGCGATCCTTAAGTTTAGCATCCTATTTGCTTTAGCAATGAATTTAGCTTCTACGTGGATATCCATGCGAATTAATAATGCAATAATAGAACTGAACGGAGTCTACTCTCTACAGAAGTTGTAGAATGGATGCTAGATTTTCAGAAGATTTAGAAACAACGAACCAATGCCATCCTTGTTGACGAAGCAACAGGAACCGATCTTTAAGTTTAGCATCCTATTTGCGTTAGCAATGAATTTAGCTTTTACAACATTTTCACTGACTCGTCGTTTGCGTCATCATCTAAGTCTAAAATCAGCTTCGATGTACAGCACACTTTGCCACCTGCACCATTGGCTAACGCTGATAAATTTAGAATCCACTTAGAGCACCACTTCTAACAATTCTGTCTATGCAATTGATGAAAGTACCTGAAGAATAGGAGTATCTTCGAGGTGAACGAGGCAATAGCTAGCTACTGATACTGAATTGTAACTACAGATGAACCGGCACGAGAGGAGGTATGACACTGACTCGAAAAAAGAACAAGAACTTGATGTTGATGAACGTAATCGTTAATACTTCTTATGTTGATGAATTTGAAATAATTCTACTTTCTCAGAGGAGAGGCACGACACGAGACGCCGGTTTCGATCTTGTTCAAGTGTTCAGGCGAGATCCATCTTTCTATCACGTGTCCCTTTTTGCCAAATTTGGAGGTGATGAAGTTAGGCTTCTACCCAGCCTTGAAGATCGGTGAGCGCAACGACTAGCTGGCTCATGTGGGAAAGCGAGGAGAGTGTGGAAGGCATTCACGTTGAAGAGACCAAGGGAAGAGGACGAGAGCAGTTGCAGATAGTTTACATCGGAGCAGTGCTGGATACTGATCTCGAGGTATTCTTCTCCAGAAGCACTGATATAAAAAATTGGAAAATGCTGGATGAAGAATATACGACGTCACTTTTATGCGAAAAGGCTGAGCTCCCCGTACCCGACATGTCCCCCCGTGTTGCATGCCTGCTACATTTCTTTCATCATTTTTTTGAAACAGACACCACGACCTCCCCAAACAAGCCTCCTCCAGTTTTCACTTGTTTGAATGATTCGCGTCGATCAAATACCATCATTCCTTGTTGATCGCTCATTGTGGTTCGACTCGTATGCAACATCCTCCATCTCGTCTTCGTCACTTACTTTGATCAGCAACTCTCGTCACCCTTTGCAAATAGAAACTCTTGCGATGGATGAAGAGCAAATCCGTGAGTCCCACAGGAATTTGCGACCAGCGAATCCACACGTAATCCCTCGTCATAAACCATCGGATAATACTGAGGTCTTTCGCGAATGAAGAGCAAGACGAGGACAAGAACAAGAAGATGTTGGGAAGAAAGTGTATTATAATTATAATAAGTGATTTTTGTTGTTCTTCTTGAGAAGATGAACATGAACGCTTGAGTAGTTGTGGGTGCGATATTGATCTATACCTGTAGTAGGTGGGCGTGGGAACTGCTTACTAACCTTTTGTACTTTGTAGTTGTACTACTTAAGGGAAATCACTTATCGATTTTTTTTTCATTTTTTATCACGTTAGTTGTACGCGCGAAGAAGCTGCTCCTCCTCCTGCACCTCTTCCCTGACACTAACAAGTAAAGAAAGTGAAAGAGCAACAACCACATCATAAGGATGAGAGAACCGCACTCGTCGTGCCAACGCCATCATCTGCGTGTGTACTACTTGCTCCATAGCCATACCGTTTGTGTGCTTCCTGGTACGAGGAGTAGAGATGAAGCTCCTGCTCCTCATGCTTTTCCGACGACGTGCCTGTCTCCAAAAATAGCGGAAGTACCACTTCGGCCATGTACTCTTCCACCGCGCATTTTAGAGCACTTTCTTAGTTATGTAGCAGTCTTTGCTGCAGCAACAACTACGCCCCCGTTGTTCTCGTTATAGGATACCCAGAAATAAATAACTCAAGAAGTGAAAATCAGAGGAAATAAAGCAAACTCACAGTGTAGAAACAACTTCCTCGCTCTCATTAATGTGGTTGTATAAATAATGATGTTGTGCCATATGCTTTGTATTCTTGATCCGCTATCGGCCTCGTCCTCCGTGCTTGCAGTCTTGTCCTCCCTGCCCTCTTCCTCACGCGTTCGTAGGTCCTCTTTGAACTGCTCCCTCATTTCCTCAGCCATAAAATGTAGGCCTTTGACCTCCACCAGAGCCATGTGAATAAAGGTTTTGTCTGTATCTAGAGACCGCAAAGTCTCAAGCTCCGCACCCTCTACGTCCAAACTCAGGAAGTCGATCTCGATCTTCTTCTCATGCCGTACATAGAGATCAAGAATACCCTGTAACGGTACGCAAGGAATGCCTTCTTGCACCAAAAGGTCAGCCAAGAAGTTTGAGTTCTCGTCTGCTCCTGCTTCGGCTTGTCTGCCTTTGATAACGTAGTTTTTTCTTCTCCCGCTGACGCTCCTTGATGTCGACGTACACGATGAACAATGTTCTATGTTATCTTGTTGTTCGCCACCACGACTGCTGATATTGCTGTTCGCACTCCTCCAGCCAGTACTGCGCTCAGCCGCCGCGGGACTTCCAGCTGTCCCTCCTTCACCATCTGCTTCGTCCAAAACAAGACCGGCGCCATCTCCCGTAGTACTTGTATCCGTATCTTGCTCTTCACTTCCCGTAGCTCCCGCACGACCCACAACGGCCGGGTACCATAGTTCTTGGAAAGATTTTTCTGCCACAGCCAGGTTGGCACTAATCTGTCCAGCACGATATCCATCCTCACGCGGAGCGTGAGAGTGAAGGGTGATCCATCTAGGCTTTTCGCAAACACCTGCTTGGACTAGGTGGACGTCGGGTCGCTTGTGGGATGGACGGTGAAGACCTTGATGACCTTGTTTGAAGGTGGTATCTTCGACACTGTATAATGGTCTGCTTTGCCTTTGTTGAACTTGATCCTGATCTGCTCTACGTGTAGTTAATACGGTTCTTGAGATATCCTCTCCAACATCGCCATTGAACATCTGCAACCCACCAGAAAGGATGTCCTTCTCGACCCGCTCTTCATTAACGACGTTCCGAAACCCACGCCGCCATCTTGGGGTATTCGTTACTAGACTCCGAAAGTTCAAACGGTCTGGCTCGATCAGCAGCCCAGTCCAATTGTAGCAGCTGTGCAATCGCAAAGTATTCGAGTACTGCAAGCCATCCAATGCACCCAGCTCTACGTAAAACGGTCGTCTGCGACTGTCTGAGGAGGTTGTCTTGTCCAAACCGAGACTCCGAATCAAAGCATCCTCATCGCCATGTTGAGACTGAGAGGCGTGACATGTAGTTGATGGAGACTTTCGTGCCCATACTCCTGGTCGCGTTGTGATTGATGTTGCGAAAAAGATGACGAGGTATGACATCGACAACATGGTGGTTCTTCGTGCTGCGATTGCGAAGGATCATGGAAGTGGCTGTTACTATCTTTCACACCACGCCTGCTGCGCATCCTCATCTACATCTCCTAAAGAATATTCATATCCTTACTTTTCGTGTACCACAGAGTATCAATCTTGCAAGAAGCTCCTCACTCTTTCGCGGATTTCCGCTCGTATTTGACTCCTTCTTTTGAGCTTACATCTCTCCTGTTTCTCTCTCTCTCCGTGAAGGTGCTGGAGGGCCACGGCCACCTTAGTAGCAGTAGTAGTAGTAGTAGTAGCCGTAGTAGTGTGCCTATTCATGTTGGGGCATAATCTTCCATCCAGTATCTTTAAAGAAGCGATGCTGCCATATCTGCACTATCAACATGTTCATCATGCTGGCTTCTTTGCAATGCGGGAAATCAGGTGCAAGACTGTTGCTGTTTCACATAGCATTGTGATACATTTAGATATGGTTATGAGATTTTCTGCGTTGGCGCTAGTTTCTTGTAGGGTCTGAGGGGCATGGACATTCGTACATTGTGTTTGAGGGTGAGGAATAGGATGTTGACGTCTTTATTTTTCCTCATGGTTATCAGCGCCGGGAATAGAAATTCACAATCACATGGTCTTGGTCACCTGTATAGCGGGATGTTGGGAAGATGTAGGGGATAAAAACGACATTCTTTTTACAGCATCATCAAATATAGGGTCGAGCTATGTCGTGTATATGGTGAGTATTTTCTTCGAACTACAATTTCATCACGATCAAGATGAATCAGAATTCCTGAATCATCTTCATGAATCCTCACAAGAACTTCAATCATCGTCTAGTAGAGCTTCCGCCCTTGCTTTTCCCACTACCGCTTTTGCCTCCTCCCTTCTTACCACCGGAGGAACTACCACTCTTGCCACCCGAAGAACCACCACCTGACTTGCCACCACCTTTACTGTTGCTCTTGCCACCTCCGCCCTTGGTGTTTTGGTCACGACTGTTGTTGTAGCCACCACGGTCGCCACCTCCGCGATTGTAGGTTATGAAAGGTGCTGGTTGCGGAGTGGGGGTTTATGTGTATGGCTCTGGCATTTGGTAACCTGAATTGGATCACAAGGATTCTCTTCTTCTTTTCCCTTAGTTTACCGAATACCAGCCCGGAACAATGCATTATGCATAGAGTGATAAGGGATGGGAATCTAGTACAGAAACATCTTCACGTTCGTAAGTCGAGTCTCCTTCTACGTAGGTACAACTAGGTCTAGGTCTACTACTTCTAGAATTCGAGAAACTGAAACGTAGGTACAACTAGGTCTAGGTCTACTACAACTTCTAGAATTCAAAAAATACTAGAAGAACTTAATATTAGAATACAAGTATTTATTTCTCGAAGCATAACACTTCCACCACGATTAACAAAGTTGTTGTAGTGGCCACTTCCTCCACCTCCGGCAGGCGCCAAACGTTGAGTGCCGTTTTTGCCTGTCGAAATGGACGCCGCGCCTCCTCCGCCTCTAAAGGTCCCTCCAGGTCCCACTCTCAAGTTCGACAGTGTCTGAGCAGCAGGTTGAGCTTGATTCGCACTCATTTGATTCCCAGGGATGAGACTCCCTTGTCCTCCGGCGTGGTTTCCTACTCCACCTACTCTTAGAGCGGTCCGTAATTCGTCCTGCAAGTCCAAGTGCATCCTTGAAAATAAGTATGGAGGAGTCCTTTTCCCTTAGGTGGATACTCCTCGTCCATACATTTCATCAAGGATGCGTCCAAAGATGTACTAGGTACTTACAACAGCCTTAATACTCCTACAGCACCTGATGTGGTAGAAGTTGTAGTTGTTACAACTCCACTTGTTGTAGAAGGACCATGTAGTTGTCCACCTACTTGGCCAGCACCTTGCTGCTGTTGTTGCAAATTGTGCATTTGTCCTGCTAGATTGCGCATCATCAAAGAGTTCTGATTCAAATTCTTGTTCAAATTTTGTTGTTGCATCATTGCCTGCATAGACTGCATCATGCTTGCCATTTGAGCCTGCATCTGCTGAATTGTTTGGTTCCCTGAATTTTTGTCTGGGCCAGAACTTGTGCTGGTACTCGCGGCAACTCCTTGTTCTCGTCCTGTAGAAGTAGTACTAGAAGGAACATTCGCTCCACTCGGATTCCCAGCTGCCGCAACCCCCATTTGTGCAAAGTCAGGTTCGGGGAATGTCGTGCCTGCAGTGTTACTCGTCTGTTCACCAGTTTTTTCTTCTACTACTTCTGGGCCGGAAGTAGGTCCTCCTGCCCCCGGTGAATTCTTATTCCCTTGTTGTTGCCCTTGTTGTTGAGATGACAAAAGTTGTTTTTTTCGATATGCCAACAATTGCTGTTTTTCGAGTTCTCGATCTACAGGTGTTGGCTTCGTCTTGTCGAGGACGTCGAACTTCCTCAGCATTCTGGTTCCAGGACGACTGTCAAGAACTCCTGCCGTTTTTCCAGTTGTAGTTCCCCCCTCGTCCATCTCCAAATCAATCGGTCCGGGAGCATTCCTTTCACCAATCACCTGAACATCGTCCTCATCGTCCAGCACCTGAGCATTGTTCCTAACATCCTCAGCGATCTTCTTGAAATCGACAACTTCCATCTCAGGAGGTGGCGGAATCTTAGCCAAATCGGCAGAGACATCGATTTCATCGATATTCAAACGAGCTCCTGCTTCTCCCATCAGGTCGCCTACTGTGGCCTTAGATCCACGACCGTGACCATGTTCGTTCCCTTCTTCGTCCTCAAGCTCTGGAGCTGCAAAAGGGTTGTAGTCGTCTTCTCCAACATCCGCATTAGCACCATCGCCATGATCGTCGAGTGCGGCCTCTGCATCGCCCCAACCGTATTCATCATCTTCGACATGTGTTCCGCCCACAACTGTAGTATTTTTTGGAGGAGCCTTCTTGACCACGTTACAACTTGTGAGAGTTGCTACAGGGACTATTGCAAGTGCGCCAGGACCTGCTTTAGGCACAGGAGCTTTCAGAGCAGGTTGATGTTCTTGTGGAGGGTGTTGTGTGACTACTCGTCCTGTTGACGAAGGTGGTAGCGCCAACGGCTGTCGCGCATGGGGAGGTGGCAAAATAACTCCACCCACTGGCACCATGCCTCCACTAGCAACAGCAGAAACACCTCCAGGACCTCCTCCGGAAAGACCTCCCTCTGTCTTCTTCTGGTTCTGTTCGGCAACAACATCTTGCTTCTCCTTAAAGATGGACTCCTTTGGAGCTTTCTTCTGTTCTTTCTTTCTCCTACCTGCTCCGCGGCTTGACGATCTCGAGTTGTGACGTCTCGAAGAAGCACTTCGACTTCGTGCTCGTTTTCGACCACCTCCACGACGCGAACGAGACCGCGAATTCCTTCCACGTCCTCGCGTGTTTCTTGCTCGACTTCGGGGGGATCTCGAACGGGCGACTCCATGTTTCCGGTCTCGATCTCCGTGTTTCCGGTCCTTGCTTTCGTGTCTTTTGTTCTCTCGATCGCGCTCACGGTCCCTAGTTGTACTAGTGATGTCATCCTTCATCTTGCCTTTGATGTCCTCGTCTTTACTAGCCGCGTGATCTTCTGCACCTCCACCAGAAGTGGGTTTACTTCCGGCAAATTTAGGTGGATAATACTGTTTCTTCCACTGTAACCACTTAGAGGAAGTTGGTTCTGCCAATCTTGCTCGTTGCTTCCTGTCCAAGGTGACTAGACCAGAATCGTACGCTGCTGCTGTTGCCACTAATTCACCGCCATCTGGAGCTTTCAGGAGTGAAAAGTACTCGCCATTTTCGTCGAAGACTGCTTTCAGCATGGCTTTGCTCGAAGACAGTGCAGCCGCAGAGTTGTCTCCTTTGTTAGAGCTGACATATGGGCACCATCCCTCAGCGCATCCTTGGCTTCTTTTTCAAGTAGAGAAAGCGCCAGGTGGGATGATGGTGAGGATCCCTTTCGCATCGGTAGCCTTAACTTTGGAGGTGTTGTTGCTCCCTTTCGAATTGAAAACCACGAAGTCGAAGTACTTCTTCACTAAGGTTAAAGACTGTAATTCCGCAAGAGAACATAGACCGCCACGATTTTCGATCTCCGGACCCACGTTTTCGAGGAACTCATTCTTCATCTGATTTGGGTCGACTTTTTTCACCTTGTTGATATTGACACTCTGCTGAGTCTTGGATCCTACAACTGGAGCAGGTGGATTTTGTTTTTGTTGGGCCGTTATTTGGGCTTGTTGAGCAGTAGAAGTAGGTTTCTGTTGTTGTGCACCCGCCTTATTTACTGCTTGTTGCGGCTGTGCTTGTGCGGGCTGCTGTGGGTGCCGCGTCGTGGCGCCGCCAGTGCCAGGTTTATTTCCTGCTGCAGCTTGTTGACCCGCAGGAGGAGCCACTCCCGGAGGTGCAGGAACGCCTGGAGGTGGCATAATCAAAGCACCCATGTTGACACCATGCGGTAGTGGAAAGGTGGAAGGGGGCTTTGACGAGTTTGTTGATGTTGCGCTTGCAGGAGCTGCAGCATTCTTCTGCCCAGCCGGTACATAGGGCTGTGCTTCGGTGGCTAGCTTTGATGCTCGAGGCATGCTCTTCCTACCACTCATGATGGTAGTCGTTGCAGCGTTACCAGAAGTTGCACCACCAGGAGCACCTGTAGTTCCCTTAGGAGAGATTGTACTATTCTTATTACCAGAACCGGGTCCCGTAGAAGTTGATGCTGCACCTACAACACCTTGCTGTTTTTCTCCTACAGCAGATGCTTGTTTTGTGTTCCACATTTTCGCCGCAGTGTGGGAAGATGTTGTGGTGCTTCTCGTGTTTGTGTTGACGACTGTACTACTAGCAGTTGTAGCAGTTGATGGAATCGCTGTCGAGGTAGAAGTTTCTCGTCCTGCGAGACCTCGTCCTGCGACACTGCCACCTACACCCGAAGAAGTTGCTTTGTTCTTCTCTGCCGTGACCGTTTTTTGTATGCCCAAGTTCACTTTTTCCGTTAACTCCTTCATGGATATAGAGGCTCCTCTCTTGTATGCGATCAGTTCCCACACAGACTCGGCAACACCGGAAACGAGACGTGTTTGATCGCTAGGAGAAAGATTTGCGATGATTGAAGAAGTTGTAGGGGATAATTTCATCTGACCACAAGAAGCCGGTGGAGGGTTCTGAATCGCCGGCGGGGCTGGCAACACCGCTGCTGCGGTTTGAGACGGCATCACAGGCATCGGTAGTGCAGCTCCTGCAGTCTGCGTCGCTGCAGCTCCCGTGGAAGCTGGTGCAGCTTGCCAAGCATCAACATGTTTCTGGTTCTTAGCTGAGTCGGCAAAGGTCGATGTTGCCCCACTTCGAGCGCCAAATGCGTTCATGACTGGCGCTTGTTGCTGCGTTTGACCATGATGACCTTGTTTAGAATTAGATGTAGTAGATACTGTTTTCTGCAGTTGCTGCTCCTTCTTGTTGTTGTTTCCACCACCCCCTAAAGCCTTTTGTTCGTCTTCTCCCGCTTTCGTCGGCAGATACTTCTTCGGAGGTTCAGTAGGTCGGTTAGGAGGACTAGAAGAAGAGGCACCTGCTCCAGAAGTTGAGGTCGCTCCCCAGGCAGCACCATCGGTTGAGGACTGTGTTGCTGTGGAGACTTGTTGGGAGGTCTTGTTGGAGTCTGCTAGCTTGCATCTTGGTCCCCTCATCTCGACCCCTTTCCCCTTGTATTTCATGAGAATACAACCTGGCAAAAGGGGACCAAGATGCCGAGAAAGATGGAAAAAAGCTGACCATAATCTTGTTCTTGGAACTTACGACAGGAGCTGCGCCTGGCGCATAGTAGAGCTCATGCTGTTGATTGTTGACGTAGTTGTAGTTCGATTTATTAGATGGTGCTTGTTGATGTTGTGCAGCAGCTGCTGCCGCCGCGAGGTTTCGGTTCAGCAGGTAGTTCGTATTTCCTCCTCCAGGTGGCGGTGGGAAAGCAGGTTTGGGGTTGGCTGTAGTCGTAGTGCTATTCTTGTTTACAGCACCAACAGCATTAGCATTACTTTTTTTACTTGAAGAAAAATGGTTCTCATCGTCGCCTCCCGCTGCAGTAGTCCTAGAAACGTTGTGCTGTTGATTATGTCCTCGTCCTTTTTTGAACATACTTGACTGCTCCGTCCCACTTTTTCCCTGCTGCGGTTGAACTTGAACACCAGCACCACCAGAAGCGCTAATACCACCAGCAACAGCAGCATTTCCCTCTTCGTCTTCTTCTGGCTTTGAATTCAATGCAGATTCAACTTCCGACCACATATTGGCGAAATTTTCCAACAGGTCTGCACTTTTCCTAATCTCCGTCTCTGCCCATTGAGAGACAGCGACTTTAGCATTCATCCGGATACTGCCATCCGGCATCAGACTGTTCGCAGTCGCACACATAAACCAAGTCCCATTATGTAACTTCGAAAAAGTCTCCGGTTCTAGGAATTTGCTGCTTTTGTTGGCTGTGTTGACCGCTGCTCGAAGAACGTAGATCTCAGGCTCTTCGGATTTCATCCTTGTCTTGTTGGCAGCTGTGGAAGAGCCGCCTTGACCAGAGGAACTACAAAACAACTCCGATTGCATCACAAATTTCTTTACTCCGGGCTGTTTCTGGATACGCTGACAGACCTTGATGGCGAGTAATTTTTCTAAGTCTTTTTTCTCAAAAATGGCAGTTAAAACTTCGACTGCCGCTACTTCCTGCTGTTGGAGTAGTTGCGGGTTGCTTTGTGGTTGTGAAGTACATGTCGCAGTGGTTCCTGTATTTCCTATGGTTCCTGGTCGACCGTGTCCAACATGTTGACCAGCTCCAGCACTAGTCCTAGTACTAGCTCCTGCAACGCCTCCTACTCCTACCCCTACTCCACCTTTCGTTGCCGTTTCCTTCTCTACTTGCGCAGCTAACTTCTTCGCAAATTCAGAAAAAGATCCTAGATTCAAAGCTTCCCACTTGCCGTAACGCTGCTGGATAAAGGAAGCTAGCTTGGCGTTGACGATATTGCGATTGAGCTGCGCATGGCGGTCGGAGGAAGATTAGAGCAGGGGGATGTCGTCGGAGAGATGAATTTCCACTGGGTGAAGAGGTTCTTGAGGATAAGGTTATGAATGAAATAAGATGAATGAGTGCGAACAGGAGCATACTTGCTAGTGCTCCAAATAAGTGGTCTCCACTAGTAGCAAACGAACTTACACTATTAAAAAACTGGACTCTCGTTTTAAAAAGAGGCACGATAAAACCGGTATCCGAGGAACATAACTTTTAGCGGCTCCCACATTGGATTGCTGATGGGTTTGCTGTGTAACTTTCCGAAAGTGCTCCAAGCAGGCCCTCTCCATCTCCGCTGGCACATCCTCAGGAGGCGGTGGTGGGGGGGGAGCCGGGGCAGCGAGCGCCGCTGTGATGAATTTTTAATCGATTTTAAACTGAAATATTTTTAACCGAGGAACTGTACTTAGAATAATAGAGATGCCGAAAGATCAAGAGCAGCTGCAACGTGGTCAGTTACTTAGAATAATAGAGATGCCGAAAGATCAAGAGCAGCTGCAACGTAGTCAGTTACTTAGAATAATAAATAGAGATGCCGAAAGATCAAGAGCAGCTGCAACGTATTCTCAGGTACCTGCTTCAGTCCCTTCGTCTTCTGCAAGGGCGTCGCCCCAACCATAGTCGATATCTTCTGACATGTTCTTGTGACTCGAGAACAATATGAAGAACGTGAGGAATGATTGAAAGAAGTCCTGCTAAAAAAGTATTGGCGAACCAATAAAAGGAAAAGTGCTGATCTGAATTTTCACGCTAGTACCAAAGGGGGCCGACATCAACGTCAAGTATAATTCGTTATTTTTTTTGACCTCAAAAACAAGTCGAAATATTCACGCCACCGATCTTGTTCACCTCAAAAATGCCACTGCTCCTGCTTCACGATAGTACTCTTACTTTTTCTTCGCTGAAGAATGATGTGAAAAGGAATAACTATACAACTACAATTTGACTGAAGAAAGCTGGAAGTTATTTGAGAAGCATATTCAAAAGCAGAAGTCATGGTGGACTAGATTCTTTTCCGATCAGAAAACCTTCTAGCAAGCTGCAGATCGTTGTATGATCCTATCTTGGAATGTCTCGCATTCTATCTTGTTTGTGAAAGCAAGTTTCCATACGCATACAAGCGCCAGGCGGTGGCGGATGAACACAAGACAGCCACTGAAAATGCAGGATTTCGGATTTCAGGAGATCTCGCTTCAGCGTGGACGCTAGGTGCGACAGCTTGGCGAAAACAAGACCTTATTTATTACAGTCGACATAATCCATAATATCTCATCTTCGGTGACTCATTTTTTCGAAGTCCGTGAATATCCCGCTCCCCAGGAGAGTATGCTACCATCACCGCGGGAGGGTGGTCCTCGACTCGGTACAGATGTTTATGATGAAGTTCTGTTCCGAGTCAAGGACCACCTCCTTCATCCCGAAGTATGAAACCATCACCTTTACTTCCGATAATACGACCTTACCAGTCCTCTAACCGACACCTCCCACGAACATGCCTCTGAATTAGAAGAATTGAAAATACTTCCTTCTAATAGCTTACAACTTCACCTTCCTCAACTTCTGATGTTGATTTGGGACACCTTCTACTTTTACATGCTTGCCTGATGTCAGGCGACTCTTCGCGTGTGTGCCCCCATCTCGTTCTGTGTGCGACGAGTACCACGACCATGCATGATCACAAACTATGTGTAGGAGCTCCTTCTATACAGCCACTTCTCGTTATGACACACGACGCGAGGACCAATGAACTGAGTACAAGTGGTGTGACTTCATCTTATGCCAACATGGGGATAAACTAATAAAGCAACGAAACTTCTTACTCGCCAAGAGGTTGTGTAGTGACTACAAAGTATGCGAGTGCCGTACACGCAGACGACACACACGCAATGAATGGATTCCCAGTTTCATATTGTTGTTGTTCATTTAAGTTACTAATATGACTATGTATAAAAACAAAAAACATACATTGGGAACGTAAGACGCCCGAGCTAGCCCTTTACACAAAAAAAAAAAATTATGATAATGTTAACAGAATACGATCATCTTCATTCTACTTGATGATTCGAGACAGCATGGCCTTAGACTTTTGACATTTGATACATTTGATTTTTGACATTTACACTTGTGAAGATGGAGGATGTTTGATTACACTTTCGTATCGTCGATCATAGAGGGGCGAGCATGATGACGATACTGATGATAGGGAATGATCTCTATCATGTCTGAGACCAGCATAAAAGATACATACGATTAACAGCAAAATCTGAGCAGCAGAAGCGGCTGTGTGTAGTTGCAGTGTGAGAGAGAAGCAGGCGCTAAGAACCTGTACAGAATCTGTATCTGTTCCAACAACATTTTCATTTAAGTACCTCGACGGATGTTGAACACCACATCGTCTTCCCGACCCCGTGGCCCAAACACTGTAATTCTACCTCTTGTAACAAAAACCTTGTTCTGTAGCTTCGGACTAGGAGCAGCCTTAAAAAAGATAGCAAAAAGATGAGTTAGTTGCATGGTGATGTTGCTACATCGATGCCCTTGCCCTTCTGTAGTCTCATCTGCACAACGATTACTTCTAGGCATACAGAAAGGGGTTACATGCATTCTTGGTACATTTTCACTAGGTGTTTTCCATGCTTCAATATCTATGTTTGTTTTCTTCCCTAGTTTCCGCCTGTAGTAAAACTAGAGGAATCATCATGGCCTTAGATAGTGAATCAGAGAAAAAGCCCACATCAAGTCAATATCGAGCTTGTAGATCTTTACTTGAAGTCTCCATTGGAGAGTGCTGGATTATGGTCAGCGCTACAGTTTGCCTCAGGGCTGCACGACAAGTTGTTGCTCGCATTCGACCGAGTGTTGTAGTCCAGCTGCACATGTTGGTGAAGCGCCACAAGCAGGTAAGCAATGCCAATGGTTTGAAGGATCACAATGAAGAATAGTAATGCAAGTAAGTAAGAGGTCGCATTCGGGTGTCGGTGGATGAAGGCAGTCGTGGAAGCTGAGGGTGAAGGTGAGGGTGAAGGTGATGGAGAAGAAGGAAGGGTGCTCTTAAGAGTACTAATGGTGGTCGCGTTGTAGTCAGAAGATGAACAAGAGGTGACGGTTGTGGAAGTAGAAGATGAAGTAGGTGGAAGCAATGTACCTCCAGCAGCAGTGCTGGTGGACAAGGCTAATGGTTGTAGCGGGTGCAGTTCAACAGGAACAACAGGTTGGGACTGCTCTGTTTTGTGAATGAGTGCTGGGCTCCTTGCTGGTCCTACAACTGGCGAAGCAGATGGAGAGGAAGAGAACGACTTTTTCAGTACATGTGTCGAGGATCTTCTCCTACTCGCATTCGTCTTGTTGGTCTTACTCGTCCCTGAAGATGCACAAGAACTAAGTAGCATCTCCTTCTTCTTGAAGACTAAATCTAGTTGTGCCTCCCATTTGCTCGCCCAGCTGTCGAAGTTACCGAAGCACGTGGACCGAATCAAGCCTGCCACGAGGCACCACTTGATCCACCGTACGTCGAGCCAACTTTTCACACGGAGACGAGGACATCCATCGTTGCTAAGGAGCGGTGTGATTTCCAACTGCAGGTCGAGTCGGAAACTGTCTACGGTTGGTGCGTCGTAGGTTACGAACAGGATGCTCACAAAGAGAGTGCCCTTTGCGTCGCGAAAGTACTCGATGGAGGTGGCCATCTGAGAAAAATAAAGTTGTTCGTGTTGTTTAGAAGTACAGATCAAGATGATCAACATTTGGAGGACTTCTAGAACAAAGTCAACAAGAAAAAAAGGTACGTTCGCTTTTTTCGGTCCCACTTTGTTCGGTGTCGGCACGACGTATTGCACGTACCGTCTGTAGATCTTCGTGGGGCAGCTTTCCATTGGGTCGCCGACGGTGCAAAAAGGCACTTTTGATCGCACTAGGCTTGGATCTTGCTGGCTTGCTCTCTTGCCACTGCCTCTAGAAGGATTCGGGTTCCGAAGGAATTCTGCTTCGACAACATCTTTCGATGCAGTCACCGCATTTCTTCCATTTCGCAATTCTTCTTGAAATCTCTTCATCCATGGTGCATGCAACTCTTTCGGCGGGTGCTCTTGGGAAGAGACGCCGGAATCTGTTTAGTGTTCTTGAGGTCGATTGTTGTTGCAGACAAAACAAAGTAGTTCCCATTAACATTGATTTTGATGCCCGAGGCAGTACACTTACTTACAACATGCTTAATTGAAGTTCTTGTGGGTCTTTTCGAATGAAGCAAATCAATACCAGCAAAAGAACAAGATATAGATGCACATGTTGCCCAGAAAGCGGGCCCATCAAGGGCCCGCTGCGCCGGGCATAGGTTAACAACTAGACAGATTGACTACTAGGAGACAGAAAGACAAACGAAAAAAGTCGCCAAGTCTGCTCGCCAAGGCTGGGAAGGTGGCTCCCACTGTGTCAAAGAGAGGAAGGCTGGGGAGGCGACATCCACAACGGCCCCGATTTTCAAGCACGGAGATGGATCTCTTTGGCCTTCTCATGGATATGATGACGCTCACCAGGGTCCACCCTTCAGACATGCAAGCGCTCACAGCTATCATTCTCACAGACATCGACATCCTCAACGGCTTCGACTTTCACACACAGAGACGCACATCTTTGGCCTTCTCATGGATATAATGACGCTCACCAGGGTCCGCCCTTCAGCCATGCAAGCCCTCACGGCTATCATTCTCACAGACATCGACATCCTCAAGAACGGCTTCGACTTTCACGCGCAGAGATGTATACCTTTGCCGTTCTCATGGATATGATGATGCTCACCAGGGTCCACCCTTCAGACATGCAAGTCCTCACGGCTATCGTTCATTCTCACAGACATCGACATCCCCAACGGCTTCGGCTTTTCTTTCACGCACAGAGATGCGCACGCATATCCTTGGCCTTCTCATGGATATGATGACGCTGACAAGGGTCCACCCTTCAGAAATGCCAGGCCTCACGGCTATCGTATTACTCTCACAGTCATCAACATCCTCAACGGCTTCGACTTTCACGCGCAGAGATGTAATTCCTTGGCCTTCTCATGGATATGATGATGCTCACCAGGGTCCATCCTTCAGACACGCGAGTCCTCGTGGCTATCATTCTCACAGACATCGGCATCCTCAACGGCTTCGACTTTCACGCACACAGATGTATATCTTTGGCCTTCTCATGGATATTATGACGCTCACCAGGGTCCACCCTTCAGACATGCGAATCCTCATGGCTATCATTCTCACAGACATCGACATCCTCAACGGCTTCGATTTTCAAGGACGGAGATGGATCGCTTTGGCCTTCTCATGGATGTGATGACGCTCACCAAGGTCCACCCTTCAGCCATGCAAGTGCTCACGGCTATCATTCTCACAGACATCGACATCCTCAGCCGCTTCAATTTTCAAGCCCAGAGAAAGAGATGTATATCTTTGGCTTTCTCATAAGTATGATGATGCTCACCAGGGTCCGCCCTTCAGCTATGCAAGTGCGCACGGCTATCATTCTCACAAGCATCGACGTCCTCCACGGCTTCGATTTTCAAGCGCAGAGCTGTAAATCTTTGGCCTTCTCATGGGTCAACACGATGACGCCCGCCCGCCAGCCTCTGCCCTTTCAGGTGCTCACCCTCTCCCCTACAAGTCTCCCACTTTTGTGCTGGTTAAAAGTATACTGGTTAACCATCTCCAAGGGCTGCCGCGCGCTCCTGTGGTCGATTGCTGTGTGCGGAAGGTAGTCGCGGAAGGGGAGCGAGCTAACTTTTTCACAAAAACTTCAGGGAGGTCGTTCCGTTTTCTCTGTATTTGAATGACCTCCCTGAAGTTTTTGGAAAAGAATAAAGGCGCTCGGCGATAAATGACAAGGGTAGCGGCTGGAAGTTCGTTGGGGCGATTCGCTAAGGGTGGGCGCGTAGTGTCCTGCTGCAGATGTGGCTGGGTACGTGAGTAGCCTACAAACTAACAGCCGCGAGCGCGTCAACATGTTCGCGGTGCCTTTGAACTCGTAGCACTAGCAGCGCAAGGGCTTTAGAGAGCCTTGCGAGTCCTTGCGAATCCCTTAAGGAGGGGCCTAATATTAGCCAAGGGCTATAACAGATTTTCTTTAAGGCCCTTCCTTACGGAAAATTTTTCGTCTTAAGGAAAGTTATAGTAACTTTTTGTAATAGGAATTCCTTAAGGAAAACCGTTCTCCTTAAGGAAGCCACTTAAAGGAGTCCCTTAAGGATTTCACAAACCATCGCTAACCCTATAAGTACTAATATTTATAAATCACAAGATAAGTTGTACCCAAGAGTAGATCGCCACCGGTTTCTTGGTTCTCATATGCACCGTTTCGAAAAGGGACATAGTCGCCTTCGATGAGGGTTTCCTGCAGCGGAGTGCCACCCTTGCTGGGCACGCGGTGGAAAGGGAACGGAGCGCCAATGCGGACGAAATTGTCCAAAAACTCAGTCACTGTCAGAGGCAGTACTACATCTGCGAGTTGTTTTCGGTCACCTACTTCGGAGGGAGTAGGCAGTTTATTCCATACTGGAGGAGGAAGCGGTTTTGTGGCGGGTGTGATTATCGCAGTGGTGCTTGTTCTTCTTACTTTGCTGGATGAAGATGATGAGGAACTGGAGGGAGAAGATTTGATGTCCTTGGATCCAGCAGCACCTCCACCTTCACTGATTCTAGAATCGCGGCTATCAGCAGCGCCACCGCCAGCTGCACAGCTCGGTCGAGTGGTTGGAGGGCTGATCAAGGTTGATGAAGATGATGAAGGGATGCTAGTCCCTGTTGTATTACTTCGTCGTAGGCGAGGCACGGAACCTTCGAGAGTGTTGTCACAAGTACCACTATCTTCTGCGTCGGTGCTGTGAAGGCGTTTCGTTGGTGTCGACGAACACGAAATAGTGGACGTTGTTGTAGTAAGGTCAAAATTCGTAGTCGCTGCAGTACTTCTCGTACTGGTGGTCGTACTACTCCCTTCCTCTGCGCGCTTGAAATCGAGTTGATCCAGTAGACGAGCTAGGGAGCGGGCGCGTTTGCTCAGATACTCTAATGCTAAGGCTAGAATTTCTTTGTCGCGGGTCTCCCCAGCTGGCGTCGAGTCATTGAACTGCTCATGTTTTCTCTTCAGTTTATGCCGCAACTTGTCTGCTTCAGCTCTAACAGCACTCCGCAGTCTGCCAACGAACTCAACGAAGCTGCGACGGTCATCAAAACTAGTGAAAATGTAGCTTCGAAATTGAAGCTGATCTTCTACTTGTGAAGTCGAGCCAGCTCTTGAGGAACGCGCGGAAGAGGTGGAGGATGAAGAGCTAGTACTAGAAGAACCAACTGTAGGTGAGGATATCGCGTCTTCCCCTAATATCGTGTCCACTGGGGACATCGTGATCGTGCGAGTAGTTGTTGTGCTCCCTATCTCAGCTCCCGGTCCTCGATGCGAGGGAGACGACTCGCCTTTCGTGGTCTCGCCCTTCACTGTAGTGGCTAACCCGCTTGCTAATGTCGTAGAAGCTCTTGTTGATGTTCGGACGAGGTCTTCATCTTGAACTACGTCTGGTACAACAGCTGGCGCTTTTCTTTCTGCTTCCGCCCCACGCGCCTCATGTCCTTGTTGCTGTTCTCTGTTCAGGTTGTAATTGAACAGTTTGCCCATCATCGGTCGCCACACAAGGTCCCATAGCAGGAGCGAGGTCATGAAGCTCCACCAGATATCTAGGATTCGCCTTGGTAGAGAGAAGACGTAAGTGGTTAGTCGAGCGATGAGACCACGAGTACCGTTTTCAGCTTCGTCACGCTGGTGGAGATCGGCAGCAGGATTCTCTCGTGGGGAGAGGGACGGATGAGAGGATCTCGTTGAGATTCTCTGTCTCAGGACGCTGTTTCTTGTGCTCGACGAAGTAGCTTCTCCAACTTCTGTTTCATGTTGTTGTTTCTGCAAAGTTGTTGTTGAACTCAGAGGATCAGGAGCACCTCCATGTGGTTCTTGTTCTTCCCTAGTAGTAGATGAGCTCTTCTTGTTGCCGATATCCCGTTCACTCCTAGACACAATCGCACATCGCATGTGTAGTTTGTACTTTTCTCTGCGAAAGATACCAGCTTCTTTCTTCTCAATGCGGAAGTCGGTGATATCCCGCCATCGAGCCAAAAACTTCGCATTTTTAGGAGTAGGAGACGCGCTTGACGATGCAGATGATGACGATGTAGCTGTTGGAATAATCGTCGCAGATGAAGAGCTTCTAGATAGCGAGGATGTGCTATTTTTCTCGTTCGAGAAAAGGTTTCCTCCACCACTAGTCCCAGCAGCCTCCCAAAGAAGCCCAGATGGCGACACAGTTGTGATCCCCAGAAGCTTGTCCTTGCTTTTTTCGCCATCTGAGCCAACTAGGCGCAGCCCGCAAGAAAACCGGTCGTCGTTCATCATCATGAGGCTGTCTTGGTTTAATATTGTTGTCGTGATTTATAACTATGAGTTCTGATCTCTTGATCGTGATGGCTTCTTAAACATAAACTGTTAATTATGCTTATGTACAACACTTTTGATTGAAATCAAAACAAGTCATTGGTACAGAAATATACTATTGTGATATTGAAGGGGTCAAAACTGTGGATCATACTGAGAGAGTGACAGCGAAGAAGTTGTTGTAGAAATACGAACTGGATCACACTTCCGTAATCAATGATTGATTTGCTTGGTGCGATATGTTAGTTTATCAGTCTTCTAGGTGCCCACTTCCCATAGTGCATACTGCGCGGCTTTGTGGTAGAGAGATGAGCGTTGGTGTTGTCGTGAGTGTTGATAAAAAAATACCGTAGTTATGATAAGAAGCAAGTACATAGAAGAAGAAACACGACTACTATAATCAAGTGGTCTCTTGGTCTTGAGAAAATAAAAATGTAAAAATCATGCGATCCAACCTAACTAACAGAAGGTCAGAGCTAAAAACCAATCATAATCACAATCTCCTAAAAAAACGATCCGAAGTCGCTCCTGGAGGAATCTATTATCACCCCTTCTTAGTAGAAGGATGAGCGCTACCAAGCTCTTCGGAAACGGAATCTTGTATGACGACCAAGAGATCGATATCGAAGGAGCCCGAATATTCCCAAGAGGACGCGCCCATTTTATTGATCAACATTCTTGGAAACAGCATCTTCCATTTTTTTATTTACGTAACTCGAACTTCATCTTCAACGTCATCTAGGTTGATCTGGATGTAGATCATGACAACATGATTGGAATTCATGTGGGGATGCGAGGTGGTAGGTGGGGATGCCAGGTGGTGGGGTCGCAGATTCTAATTCTTCTCCACCTGAATCTGGTACTTACGTGTACTCACACCATCTCTCGCATTTGCCCTTATTTTCATCAATTCGACCATCTACTCCCCTAAATTATATATAGAAGTCGCGTCTGCTTAAGCTTATGCTTAGCCTCTTTTGCTTACACTATTCGCCGCTTTTTGTTAGTCTAAAAAATACAACTAGTACCTCCTTGTGCTTGTTAAGCCCGGACCCAGACATTCTTCATAACAATTGTTCCCTTGTTACTCTCATCATCTCAAGCTCAAATTGGGACAGAGAGATTTGGATTCGGGAAGGAGTAGGAAGAGGGGACGCTCTCTCTCTCTCTCTCTCTCTCTCTCATACTTGACAGTCGAGTCCATTTGATTCCATGTTGAGCTCGTCCCTTAGATAGGTGGAGCTGTTCTTGACGACGGGCGGGGTGATCTCTCAAATTTTCAGTAGATTCCATCTCTAAATCAAACACAGGATAGGATAGGAGTGGGCTCACTTGTGACGGAGTGAGCGTATAGGTTAGATATGCAGGTCGTTGCAGCTCTTTTTCCGGTGCATTGACGTTCTTGCGGGATCCATAAGAATGCCCATTTCATTCAGTTTGAGTAGATTCATCACTTCGATTACAATCGCTACAGGCAAGAAGTGCCACTGCACGAGGTGGTGCAAGTTCACTTGTGATTCCTGTCATTGAAAATATATTTTTTTTTTGCTCTTCAGACACTATGAAACGATGGAGATCATTGAAAGGCCTATGTGCTTGCCAGGCAAGGACTGCCGACAGTGTTGGAATTGGAAAATTCGCATAGAGGATTGACAAGTTACAGATGAAGAAAAGGCCAACATACTTTCGCATCCAATGTTGCCAGGAATCCAGTCACTTCCCCTTTCATCCCTCAGAGGTTAACAACTCTGTCGCGATCGTAATTACAGGTCGTTCGATTAGGCACCATACCACAACGGATAAGGCAAAGGACAAGACCACATGCAAAATCCATTGGCCTTTGGATTAGAGGGGTTTTGAGGAGAAAGATGCAAACCTTGGTTGTCATTTTCGTATAGTAACTTTGAAGCCTGTTCTTGCCTCCACCAGCAGTTGTACAACATGAGGCTAGTACATACAAGGACATTTTTATTTATCGATTTGGAGCCTCATCTTATAAGAACATGATCTTCTAGTAAGAATATTATTCCCTTCTTTATAGGCTTTGTAAATTTATTCTAGCTCATCTGGATCCTTCCATAAAAAACCGCATGCACAGAGTACGTATAAAACTGTGACGCTGCTGCAGCGAAAAACTTGATCACCAAAGGATGGCACAGATAAGCTCCATAGCACAGGCGCGTGACCGGAAGCCAAAAGGAATGTCCTAAGATGGAGTCTAAAAGTGGGGCCTTCCCGAAATAGCAGTGGGTCGTGAATATCCCCACTGCAAAGGCCCATCCGATGCGGCCAAGGTTCAGCATCAAATTGGACGCGAAGTCGTTCCAGCTATTTTTCTTCTCGCCGGCGTCCGTAGACGGGACTAGGATCAGAATTAGAGCTGTCCGTAATTCATCTTTCAAGTGCATCCTTGAAAAGTACTTATGGGAGAGCGTTACTCCCTTAGGATAGATGCTCCTCCATACGTTTCAAGGATGCGCCCAAAGATGTATTAGGTACAGCTTTAACAGAAACAAGATCGTCGCGATGCCGAAAAGCAAGAAGAAAGTCGCCCTACGGGAACCGAAGTAGAGAGAGCTGTGTCTTCTTTTCCTTGTTTGTAGTGCTTGGGCTTGGGCTTGGGAGGACGATGCAGTTGGAGGAGGTGTTCCTGTAGTTGGAGGTGTAGTTCCTGTAGTTCCATTAGAAGAAGATGGTAGAAACATTGTTCGACATGATTGTTCTTGCAACCGCTTATTCACTGCGTGTTCATGCTCCACCGCGAGCACATGCCAAGCCGTGGCAATGCCAATCAGATACGCGCCTATCCTACAGTATGGCTTGGAGTACGCGTAGTAGGAGTAATCCACGTAATGCCGATCGAAAATGTAAGGACCCAAATGGTAGTGAAAGATCAAGTAAGTCGTGACGCCAATGCAGATTCCGAGAAGACCGAGGAGCAGCAACAGCGCGTGTTTGTTTAGAGGTTGAGGTAGAAGAAGAAAACGGCCAACATAGAGATGCTCTTAGATGATATGATACTTAGTTTTTAGGTCAACTTCCATGATCCCTTAATTTATGTTTGTGGAAGTAGAGCGGAACGACAATGGACCCAACCGCGAAAAACATCATGTCATTCCCCAGGTACCAGGTCCAGCCCATACACACTTGATTCGAGTCGAAGGGAATGAAATTCACTGTATTTAGGACTAAGAGAAATCCATCTTGAGACGCATCCGAGGACCTTTCTCCCCTTGAAAACGGTCTCAGGATGCCTGTGAAGTAGATGGATTTCTTCTAGCCTTAATGTATACGTGAGCTCGCTCCACCAGTTGGCATCGCATTTTTCGGAGACACTGCGCTGGAAGGCCACAGTGAATGGACCTCGGGGCACGTAGTAGTACAAGATCTTGTAGTAGAGTAAAAGGACGAACGCCAGAGAAGGTGTCAGGCGGATGTATCGTTGGATCAGCTGGAAAAGCCACCTTTGGATAGAACTACGGAGTCTTTGGCAACAGGATTTCGTCAAGGGCCGTCCTGGTATATTAGACGAAGCAAGGAAGCTACTTAGAAGCAAGGTCGTAGACTCTAAAACTCGTAGAAGTTATCTATCTTGTATATTCATAGGTTTGCTCTTCTAAAATTATCATATAACAAGGAGGTAATTTTTACCATTACAATCACATTAGAGAGGAAGTTGTGTGTAGTGGCACGACAAAAGGCACTAGTACATGTAAAGCTATAACTAAATGTCATGTAGTCGTGTTCCCTCATGGTCCATGTGGTCAAATGGATGTGAGGTCGTTCAGCCGACTTGTACCTTTTAAAAAGAAGAGCAAGAACACCGAGTGAAGATAGACTATCAAGTATAACCTCCAAAACTAGCCACGGTCCAACTATATAGCATATCACAACATGGAGCAATGAACTCAACTAGGTCCCTTTATCTTCTTCATAACACTTCTTTGATCTGCTCCACCTCCACTTTGTTCCTCGGACGTCGTCTCTCGTTTCTGCATTTCCTTCAATTGCAAGAGACTAAGGAGAAAGCCGCTCATGAAGAAGAAGCTGTCAACGCCAAAGTCAGCTGCTAGAACAAAGAGCAAAAAAGGACTCGTCTCTGCTGAAAAGTCATGGTCGATAAGGTTGTTCCTGCTACTTGTTGCGCTTAGCGGAAAAGTAGAGGATGCTGCAGGTGGAGCAACTCCAAGTTCCACGCTCCGAGAAACCTCAAGGGAAGCGTTTTCCCGATGATGTAAAGCCCCTTGTTGTGCAAATGCTCTCATGACACTGGCCACATCCTCGGGATTGGTATACCCGGTTAATCCCTCTGGCATTAAAAGAGTATGCCCAAGGATGATCCAAAGCATCGAAAGGACACGCATTCCGTTCAAACAATCGGTGGCTTTGCGAGTAGTTGCTGGAGAAGATTTTTGAGAGGGCTCGATGAGTGATCAAATGCATATGCAAATGTAATGAATTGGGGGAAAGGACTACCTTATTGTTATTTAGTGCTCAGCCGAGGGGCGGGGGCCATTGTCTATGCTCAGTCGTGAAAAACAAGCCAAGAGGCGGCCGGGGCAGACGCAGAACCTCTTGCGTGCTCAAAAGCATAATAATCAGTACTAGCATCAGCACAGCCCGCCTCAGATGAAAGCACAAAATAACGGCGACACAGGGTACGGCTCGAAGCAAAAGCAGCAGAGCCATCTAGCTACACACCCACCGAGGAGCAGGAGACCAGACGAGGGCGCCAACGACGAGCCGGGGGGCACCGCTGCGAGCAGCACAGCCCCAGGGCCAGCCACTGCAGCTTCGAGCCAGCCCCGCAAGCTGATGGGACTCCGCTCCAAGCGCGTCCCCCTCTGTCTCTGACTCTGTGTGCTATGTCTTTCCACCATGAGAGAAGCCAGAAATGCACCACACAAAGACCCACACACAAGGGAAGCTCTCACCCCTCGACGAGTCAGCCCGACACAAAAAGCAAAGGCAAGGCACCAAGAAAATCGGGCGACATGAACATCGTGCGCCGCGGCCTCACCCCCTACGGGAGACGCAAACCGCCGCCGGCCCCCGTCTGTCACCTTCCCCGTCCCCCGTGCTCCAGGTGGCGCTGCTTCTCGTCTGCTAGTGCCATTCATGCCGTGTCCCTTCGACTCGAGCAAGTAGAAGCTGCGCGGCTGTTCCTCCGCAGAGAAAGCGTGGCACGCGGGGCGTCTCTCGGCGCCACGTTTGCCGCGATCTCTCCCGCGCAGCGATGTACGTGCGCGAAGAACATGAGGCGGCAGAGCCGCTTCCGCGTCCTAATGTTGCCCAAGCCCTGCCACTTCAGGCCAAGGCCCCCCGCCAAGTAAGTATGCGAGCAGCCCGCTGCCCTTGCGGTCTGTCTCCTGTGGGTGTAGCTCACCGCGCGGCCCTGCCTCTCTCTCTCCCAGCAGTGGAACACCCGGCGCACCTATGCTCCTCACCCTGTTGGTTCGTTCTCTCGTTCTCGCCTGTCATAGTCGCAGCAAATAACCGCCGCCATGGGCTGGGCCCTCTCCTTAAAATCCTTCCAGGCAAGTTCGCGCGCGTAGCGCTGTCGGCCTCCCGTCTCCCGGCACGTCAAGCCAAGCCACCGCGCCACGTGGGTAGCCATGTGGTTGGATTCTGCAAGCCAGCCACTTGGGTCGATATGGGTCAGGCAGTAGTTTACTGCGTCTGCAAGGGAGGCACCGGAGTAATAGTAAAGGACTCGCGACCGCCTTGCAAAGCACGCCCACCGCTCGGAGATGAGATCATCCGCATGCGCATCCTTATCGTCTCCGCTGCGCCAAATTCGTCGCATGCCCTGTGTGATGGGAAGCGAAGTAGTACTAGGCCAAAACTTGTTTGGTTTGGCAGCACACCAATCACAAAGGACCGGCTTCCCCAATGGCGCTGCCCTCCCTTTCATCTTAGTGATATTTATAGCCAACAGCATGCGAGCGCGAGAGAGGCCGCCGGTACCCACGTGCTACGTCGTCAGTGCGCCCATCTCTGCGGCCGGCGGGCCGCAGACTTCTTCACTGGAGAGGTTAGCAAGCCTGCACCGAGAGCCGAGCCCTACCCTGTGCGCGCGAGTGGGTTGCTGCTTCACGTTCTGCAAGTCGTCGCCGAAAACCAGGGGGACGCCCGGCGGGCTGCTGCATTCTATTGTAGCCTACGCTTTTGCTCACTGATAAGGACCCAAGAGTGAAGCAATACACCACGCGGCGAGAGACCTATCGCAGCCACCCTGCGTCGGTGGATCTCTGCGCACGCCTGTGAGTTGCAGCTTGGCGCGATTGCATTGCGGAGCAGAGCCGCGATGGATCCGGCGCACGTGCTGCATGCCGCAAATTGCTGGCCGCGAAGCTCAGGGGCTGCAGCCTCTGACTCCACTGGAAACAGTACGGCGGCCGACGCGATTCAGCTGCGGCAGTCGTTGCGGAGTCCCCGGGTATCCCTGCCTTGTCCAAGACCTTGCTCATCTCATGGACTCCTTTGGCGAGGAGTCCTCTAGTAGCTCCCCATCGGAGTTCTTGCGCTTTAGTTATAGGCGCCAGGTAGTCGGAAAGTGAGCTTGAACGCCGCCAGCTTTTGCGGTGGCGCTGGCACAGTAGACAAACGCTGCCCCCCCCATAAGCGCCCCCGCCAGAAAGATCGACAAGTCCAGTGCCGCGCTCGGCAACAGCAGAAGTCTGCTCCGCAACAAGAAGAGAGGCTCCGCCCATCGGAGGACATTTTGGCAGGTGGTTAGCTGATTGAAGAACTTCCCACTGCTGCAGGATGTTGCTTGGCATGCTAGGCCTGACGCTAGGTCAGCACGAAGACCAAGCCAAGCCGAAGCTCCGAAAGTTTGGGCGCGCGCGCTTACCTCATGGCGCGGCGGCTGTTGAAGTTGCACGCCTTCGGGCCCTCTTTCATGTGGGCCGCCGCGATGAAGAAACGCGCACCACTGCAAGAGCCTGACTACTGCAACAGCTGCCGCCTCATGAAGAAGCGGATGACAAGTGCGACGACCACGAAGCAGTAGCTATACCTCCTCCCCCTACAGCATTTCCTCCTGCCGCACTTTTATTTCCGCCATCCGCGAATAGTTTTGTCACTGTTCCGCTCTTTCCGACAAGAGAAAATGCGCGACACCACAAAGGTTGCTTCGTTGGTGGTCTTGGTCTAGTTGCTGCCATCGCAGGACTAGGTTCTAGTACAAACGTCTCTTCAGCATTTCGTTGTTCAGCAACGCGCTGCTCCACTCTACTCTGAATCTGCTGCCCAGGGACGACCAATAAAGGCTGTTTTGACGTGTTCGAAGAAGGTTTCCCATCTCCGTTTTCCGTCGAAGGAGAAGGGGCAGAGGATATAGTCGTAGAAGTTTCGTCTTCGGTCGTGTCGAGAGCCGTCGTGGGTGATGAAAGATGGGACGTGTTAGGGTTATAACTGCTCGCCTAGATAGCTTCATGATACAGGCGCTTCGTAGAAATAGAATTCTATAAACCAAGTAATAGTAACGCTAAATCCATTTCCATAATCCTAATCGTCACCATGAAATATGTTGTTCACAACTTTTGGAGGAACATCAAGGGTATGCAACGGAAGCCATACAGTCCTCGTCGACGCTGTCAAACTGTCTGCGTTGCCTGGTGGAAACATTGGTGTCCCAGTAAAGCTCCTTAGCAAGATATCCTCCAACCCCTCCTGCTTCCTCCTCCGCGCTTCGTATTTCGCGTACAACACACCATATCTGTGCATCCTCAACGTCGCTAGCAAGATCGTCAAAACTAGGAGGCCTAGTGCGAAGAGACCGGCTATAGCGCAGTCGTCGAGAGCTGTTACGGTGTCGAGTTCTGGACACACGACTGAAACATTGCTGATCTTCGGCCCAGGACCACCAGTAGAAGCTATGAATCCTCGAGAAGAAGAACGGTATCGAGTCACATCTTCTCCATGTTGGTGCTCTCGTTGTGGTACTGCTCGTTCTGTATCATCTTGAGGCTCTCTGATCATGTCCACCATGGTCTTGGACCACGTATCCAACGCTCTCCAAGACCTCCATGTTGAGCTTGACGAAGACGATCCGCCAGAAAGATAATATCCACCTCCAAGAACGTCATTGACATTTGGCAGAAAGTGTTCAATACCCCCCCCTCCTTCTCCTTCACGTTCAGATTTGTCTTCATCCTTTTTAGTTGCTCCGCTGCTACTTGTGCCCAACCCCAAAAGCAATTCCTTGACGGCTTCATCCGTGCACACTTCTGGAAGACATAGTCCTACTTTCATAGGAAGATCCTGCGTTATTGAAGAAGAAGATTTGCCGGGTCCTCCACTCAAGAACGGAACACTAAAGCCTGCCAAGAAGTACCTAGCTCCTTTAACGGCTTCACATAGACCGTATTTCCCAGCATCAAACGGTATCTGCTTGCCAGAAGCTAAGATCAGCAATTGCCCAAGCTTTGTAGGGCCAACAGGAGGCGGCGCAATTTCCCGATGAATCGCGTTACGACAGGCGTCGGTGGACGGAGACATCTTCAATGCTCTTGGTGGAAAATCGACGAGGAACTGAACTGATAGAAGAATTGGAATTACTTAAACTTGTCAAAAATCAAAATTATGTCGCAAGTAGACGTTGTCGATGTCGTAGTCGTTGTTGCCATCATTGTCCTCGTCCCTAAGATGGTTGTACTATATCATCTACCAAACTCGTCTGAAGATCCAGATTTCAATTTCGCATTTAAGTAACGTGGTATTCGCTCGAAACTTTGTATAAGTAAATAAAAAATTCTAAAGCCAGAGTACTAACTGTAACTACTCTCTCTCCCTCTCTCTTGAGTTTTCTTTATCGTCCCACTCTCTGTTTTGTAAGTGACGATCATGTAGTTCTTGGTGATCTGAAACCGAAACCGACAGTCATGAGTAAAGACCAAAGTTAGAAAGAATCGCAGGTGAAACTTTGAGTTGAAACTACGGGTAAAAAGTCGAAGATGGTCAGAAATTCTCAACATATCAAAGCCCGTCGACAAGCACAATAAGTACTTACAACGTGTGACAAAAGAACATCAAGTTGTAGAATTCCCAATGGTTCAACTTCAAATTCAATCACGTTCCTACTGTTGATGTTGCAAATTATCATGTGCAATTACATTCACAAGCTTCAACAACGTCCTAAACGACCTGAGTCATTCTTCATCAATTACAGCCTCAACGTCCTAAAGAACGACCTCATTCTTCATCGATTACATCCTCCACATCCAGAGCCAACATCTCCAATTCCACCGGCTCTGTTCTATCCGGAAAGAGCAAGTCTCGGAAACTTGGTTTCGTTCTCCCGAAATCGCCATTCACGAGTTCTTTGATGTAGCAACCAGCAGATGCATGAACCTTGACGCGGAACTTATTTGTGGTTTTGGTTGCCGCTGCCGTGTTCTTGCTGGATGTGTCCACCTGGTTCTTGGTTTCCTCATCAGAATCAAACACCAACTGTACATCTTTGATCTCCAAAATCTCCTTCTCTCGAATCAGATTTGGCCTGCGGTGCAACACTCGAAAAGGTGTTTGTTGCTTCAAACGGATGGGAAAGGAGGACGTTTTGATCAACCGCTGGGTGAGGAAGTCTAAGATCCTACGTTCATCTTCTTCTTGGTATGCTGTTGTTGAGTTGTTCTTTGAGGACGTTGCAGCTGATGCTGAATGTTCTTTTTGGCTTTGTCTTGAGTTTGACGCAGTTGCAGCTGAAGATTTTGAAGATTTTGAAGCCTTCAGAGGCACAGATGATTCAATCAAGCACCCGTAGACCTTCGTATGTTCTTCACTAGATTTCTGCAGTCGCTGAAAATACTCCTTCGAGCATGGTCGCAAATGTCTCACTCGCACTAAAGCGCCTGCTAGGGTGTAGAGAGTGTGTTCTTCATCAAGAACTACCGTGGTCTTTTCCGTTGACGCGTTACCAAGGCAGTTTACACTTGTTGTATCAAGACGGGTGATATCCAGCGGACTCCTCGTCGCGGCAGTTGCAGTTGTACTAGTTCCCTCTACTACAACTGGTGGCGTAGTTACAAGTGGTTGCCGTTTGAGCCTTCCAGAAGAAGTTTCCACGTCTGCAAAATTTGAATTCAAAGCACCTCTACTACTTTTCCCGACACCGAAATCCTTCCACAGGTCAGTCAGTTCCGCTTCGCCCAGTCTTCTTCTAGCATCAGTGATCTCTAGAATGAAGGGTCTACCAGCACCGAGCATCCGCACATCGACGTCTTCTCTACCAGCTGCATGGAATTTGAAGATTGGACTGCTGCTTGAAGAATGATCTGAGGAAGGATCTGCATTGGAACTAGGACCAAAAGCAGACTGCAAACCAAGAGCAATGAGCTCTTCAACAGAGTACTCGGTCTTCGTTGTTGTAGAGGCGGGCGCGGGGGTTGTCGTAGCTAGGGTGGTTTCAGTTTTAGTCGTCGTCGAGGAATTTTCTCGGTGTAGTTGAGAATCGACTTTTCTTCTCTTCGAATCCGGCTCTGCACTTTGATCATGTTCTCCTTCCTCTTGCTCTTTCGTGTAGTCGACAGTATAATCCTTGCTCTTAGCAGCTGTGATAGGAGCATCGTTATCATCTCCCAAATGCCAAACGGTTTGACTCACTTCTCTGCTGTACTTGTTGTATCTACCTCTGTACCACAGAGCTTGTCGTTTTGCGCTACGGACTGTCCATGACAATCGAGACTCACACTTCAAGATGTCTTTGTCAATGATGCTGTCGCGAATGTGGGAATACGGTGTTGCCACCGTTGCTGCAGAAGAACCACCCGTATTCTTGTCCGCGGTAGACGTAGAGGCTGTACTAGCAGAATAATCAGAGCTACCTGGACCATAGGCTTTGAAGAACGTGTAGATCTCTTGCACAAACTCCCTTTGCAGACTCGCATCCGTATCGAGTTGGTCTAAAAAATGTGCTCTCTGCGTGTTGGAGCTCCACATTTTCCGACGTCGATGCGCGTTACGCCCAACCTGTTTGCGGGTTGAGCAGAAGTTACTGTGGGGTCCAGCTGCCTCGATTCCGTTCGCCGTGCCATTACCTTTCTTGCCATTCTTTTTTCCCTTCATACCTTTGACACTTTTTTTACCATCAGCGTGCTGTTTGCCATTAGCCTTGCCACTATTAAAGCGCAGCACTCATTGGTCACTGACTCTGAACGGGCGAGACCCCCTTCAAAGCTCTCCCCTTTCCCTTCGTCTATTTCCCCAGTTGGTTCCCTCAAGAAGGGGGTCGCCTCTTCGATCTCAGTGACTCCAATCTAAATGGTGACCATTGAAAGTTGAGCCTTAACATTACCTTTACCATTTTTACCTTTACCATCACCTCCTTTCTTGCCAGAGGAACCAAAATTTTGCGAAGATCCTTGCGGTGCACTATCCTCATCATCCGCATCCTCTGGTGCCGCATCATCCACTCCGTAAACCAAAGACACTACTTTCGCCAATTCGGTCCTCGCAGCTTCGTTTGCAGTAGAAAATCCCAGTTCGACTTCGATCAGACAGGGTGAATCTGAGTTCGTCTCTTTGTCGCCTCCAGAGTATTGACTCCCTGCTCCGCCACTACCACTAGTTGACGTCAGCCCAAACCATTTGTCTGATTTCTCATGCAAGCTTTTAGCGAAGTCATGTTTCGCAGTGTCGCAGATGTCTGCTACTGACTCTGCGCCGAGGGTGGTTCGGGTTCCGAGATGGCTACTTCTTGTCGGACTTGATGATGTTGATCGCGTCCCATGAATTTGAGGAAGATACGGAGATATTTCTACATCTTCAGCAACACCCTCGTCAGGGGAGTGAGGACTTTCTGGCGACAACAGAGGCCCTAAATCACCGCCCAAAACCTCCGCTAGCTTGCTACGCCAAACCAGCAAGGGGTGAGGCTCAATGCTTACGCTGGTTCCGTATTTCTCGTCGTCGTTTTTGAAATCTGCGTCGCGTCTCCCCGCGAGAGCGGTGAAGAGGGTTGTGGTGCTAGATCGTCCACTCATCTTGTGGTCCTCAATGTTGCTTATGTCGTATTGTTCTCAAATGGGTTTACTTCTAGATATTGAAATAATTTATCACAATCCAGTTTAACATCCTCAAACACCTGTAGAAGCAGAAGATGTGTACATCACACAGTTAGCGTTCAACACCTAGAAGAAACACTTCTATGAGGTCTTCCTATATTAATTGCGACGGCGCGTATCGTAGACCATATTATCATTCATGATGATGATCATGACTAGAATTACAAGATTTTTTAGGTTTTAATTTGTTGACTTGCTTTCGCTGACGCTTTATTATTTAATACCTCGAAAAAACATGATCAGAAGATCACGCGGATCGTCGATGTAACTGTAATCAGGATGTCAACATGCACATCTTCATCAAAACTCATGCTCAACATGAGCGCGAGGTCGGGATCAGCTTTGAATATATAAGTATCATAGAACATGTTTGAGTTTTTCGCTTCAACATTGACAGAAATGCTTGTTTCCACGATCTGTACATCTGGCAGTTGTGATCTGTCGAAGTCGAGTGAACTGATGTGCGTTACTTTGACGACGCCTCGAGATGGACATTTTTTAAGCTGTTGCATAGCGTAATCGATGAGTGAGGCCCCGAAGAGGCAGAGCAAGGAATGAGGCCCCGCAGAAGCAGGACAATTTACCACCTTCTTGACTAGGAGTGAGGTGAAGTGACCATGGGTTTTTCTCTCGGAGGTTTGTTCCGTAGAAATAGTGCAGTTGTATATCACACATCTAGATGAAGAACAAGATGATCATCAAAATCCTGTTTTAGAGTACTTATACACGTGTACTACTGAAGATCAAGAACGTGCTACAGAAGATCAAGAACGAAGAGAACTTACGTACAACACGGAGGACCATCACCGTGGTAGGTCGTCAAAGAACTGAGTTATTCGATTTCTTCGAAACTAGTACTAGGAAAATACAAATTAATAGAAACTGCTGAATAGGATTAGGAATGGGTCTAGTATGGGTTCTAAGCAGAAGAAGAAGATCTGCATGTTGACAGTATGAACGTTCATACTATGAACAAGGAGCTTTGACATCGACTTCGCTTTGGCTCGTGATAATAGAAGTCGCTACTCCAAGTCTTTTGTCCACCTCCAAGCACTAGCATTATACATCTCATATCTCTTTTATCTGTACTTATGTTGAAACAGATGAAAGGTCATCGTCTCTTAGGTCCATTATAGTATATAGTTCTGTTTGGTTCACGCGTTTGCGCTGCATGTTGTACTCCCGTTCCACCTCCTCCCATTGTGTTCGTTGGATATTTTGGAGGGCCTTTGTGGTTGCGTATTTGAATCTCGTGCGGATGCAATCCGCGTCTAGCGCGAAGTGTTTGTTCGTGTTTCTCCGCAAAACCCTTAAAATCGTTGCTCCATTGTACGGACACCAATGCGTGCGGAGCGCAGGCTTTCAGCAGCCACAGTCGCCGATTGTCTAAAGAAAACAGGCGGATGCGGCCAAGAACTGGTTTGACAAAAACTTGCAGATTCGTAAATTATTTAGAACTACCGCATAGCCATAGGCATCGTCCCAGAGTGTGTCCTTGGTTCGTTCTTTAAGCAGAAGAAGGGCCAAGGATATGCTGAGGATGCTTCAGCGGTAGCCTTAAAATAGGAATCAAAGTCCTTCTCCAGGCTTGGTCCTGCGTTTCCGTTTTTGAGGAGCCATTCGTCCCGCGCGTCGAAAATGGATTTCTCACTCTGAAAATCCGGGGAAATATTCGCCTGTGTGAATTCCAACTTCCAGACGTCGATTTTCGTTGATTAGAAGGACAAGATGAACATCATACAGGAAATTATGGAACTTAGCTCTAGTACAGAGCAACTTCGAAGGTTTCACAGCTCGCATGGCATGGAGTGCATGGATCACATGGAGCAGCATGGAGCTAAAGGGGGAGCTTCTTGCGCCTCCTAAAGCTCTGCGCTCCATGCACTCCATGCACCATGCGTGCTATAAACTAGTACTCTGCTATTATTCCCATGCTATGATCATCGTTACCACGACGCCATCTACTACAGTTGTAAGAACAACTTCGTAAAAAAGTGTAAAGGAGGCTGAAAATGACTTCTTTCCCGAAGAACAACAGCTTCTACTTCAAAACAGCTGTATAGTCTCATAATTTCGCAATTGGAGCTGTTGGAGCTGCTGTTGGAGCAGGTTACTGGTGCTTGCAAGACTTTCATTGGACAGCTGCCATTGATCGTATTTATCGCGTGCACATGCAGGACATTCTTCCTTCGCCATCGGACACGAGCCAATCGATTCGCAGTGGTAGCAATCGCGCTCACAGCGATGACCACGGAGTTAGGGCTCACCCAATCCATCTTGAGGCGCATCCTAATGCTTCTCTCCCCTTATGGTCCAGCTTGAGGATGCTTCAGAAGATGGATTCCCCGAAGCCTTAACAAAGTGGCAGGAGCTTGTTGCAACGCTCGCGGCATTTATGTTTTTCAGGAGGATCACTGCACTTTCTCTGAAACGGAACATGACAACGCTTACATGTATTGGGGACAGGATGCTGGCAGCGATACTGTGCGAATCTATGGCACTCCACCAGAGTCGTAGGACCATTGCAGGTGGAGCAGTTGTAGGGAACTTTTTCACGGCAAAGATAAGTTGTTGTAGACTTTTTTGACGCTTTGCTCGGCTGGTTGCCGTGCTGCTGCTGCTGCTGCTTTTCGTGGCACTTTAGAGAATAGGCATGAGTTCCACGCTCGCACTTTTGCTGCACCAGGTTCGCACAAGCAGGAAAATAAGCACCTTGCTGCAAACCAAATCCGAAATGTGTGCCGAATATGCCTCCAGAACAAGCCTCGCTCGTCCCTTGAGAATGAGAATCATCAGGTGGAGCTTCAGAAGTTGATGTTGGCTGACAAACTTCCAGTGCCTCTTGAAACGTGCGTGAGCGAAGACAAGCTCGCTTTCGTTTCGGAAAACTACAATCCGGACAGCTATCCTCCACTAGATGCGTGCAGGGGAGTCGCTTTCTTAGGGCTATGGCTATCTAGGATAGGATAGGATAGGATAGCGATAGGATAGGATAGGATAGGAGTTAGCTTACTCAAAACAAAGGAGCGAGCGTTCGGGGCCATTGAGGTGCCCAAAAGATTCTATTTCGCTAGACCGAAGAGGCGCGCGATTCGCACGTGATGGCTATCTATCTATGTGACTCTGCCTGGCACGAGTCGCAATATCCTGGCATCACCGTCGTCCCTTCCGACTTGTTCTTCCTGCAACTAGAACTACTTACTACATGCTGTACTCATCATGATATACTACTTCATCACGACCCAGTGTAATGAATCAATACTCTGTACTGTAGTATAATTCCCCATAATTTTCGTCGCTCTTCAATGGTCTCGTTGCAAAAGCGGTCCTGTGAGACGGACTCGCAAACGTCGCATTCATATGATATTAGAGTTGATGTGTAGGACACGGTCAACAAGAATCAATCAACCTTTCAATCTAACGACCTCGAAAAAATATTATGATCGTCATGCCAGTGCATGTCATCGTCCACAGATCAAATGATAGCGACAGTCTACTTCTACTCCAGCACTCCTGCTATATCTATTTTCTTGTTCATCACGCCCATCAAGACACCATCCTCGAGTATACTTATTTGAACCTCTGTAAAGAGCATAAAAGCACCATTCTCTTGCAATCCTCCTTTTTTTCGCATGGTTGCCAGCACAACAGTTCACACGAATGCTCACACCCGAGGGGTAATCCGCAGACCTCTTTGCACTGTACCAAGGCCTTTAGTTTTTTGGGAACAGTTTGCGCTTTTTTCGGGTCTTTCAAATCCTCTATTGCTTGGTTCACTTTCTGCGCTTGATGACACGGCAACTTCCGTTTGTGGGCTTTATTCTTCGGGCAAACAAGCATTACTACGTGCTCGCAAGGACAGTCTTTCTCGTCCTGGTAGCATCCATTAGGGTAGAATATCACGACATGGAAGTGGCTGGAAAAAGAAAACCGTACGGAATAGCTAACGCTGTCATCATCCTTGGAGCTGGAAGATGACAACCTACTTGTAGTAAGCATGGTTCTTGACGGCGACGGCTTTTTCTACAACTTCAAAAGAACGATCACAAATACGAACGACTTGTTGCTGTTGATGGTGTCACGGGGAAGATCTTCGTATGTATCATATGTTTTCACGAGATGAATTTGAACCTTAAATTTGCGTACCCGCGAAGTGAGACATTCAGGACACTGCATCGTGATATTTGCTTCACAGGGTATAGCACTCTCTTCTTGCCAGCATTCACGGATTAATCCGTATGAAACCAAAAGCAAAATCTATTATCACTATGATCTTCACACTTTTCTACTTGAGAAACTTGTTAAATGTGATAACAGATTTTCGATTTCGTTTCATAATCCGCCACGACATCGTTCACACGAGAAGCGCTCTCGGGCACGACATTTTAGATGAGCTCACCTTTTAATCGGATTAAGACATCATCTTGAAGAAAGACCATCCCAGGACTGTAGTAGTTTTCACCTTGAAAACGTCTCTTCTAGGATGACTTCATCTCTGAAGATGGACCATTAGGGGTAAGCTTAAGCACTTTGGTTTCAAACCACCTCTCAATTTGCCACATTCCTCTGTCCATGAGGGATGAGTGTCATCGTTCTCGTCTAGCTCTTCTAATTTCCATGATCCACTAGCGTCAATGGTACGTCGGGGCTTCACCGGACAATGCTGTTGTAGAAAGTTAATACTGAAGATGTTAAGATGGTCATGTTGGTGAAAGTGATTTCACTTGAGTTTAGGCAATCAACTGAACCACTTTTTCTTCAACACAAACTTATCGCAGAAGAGGGAGTATCATGTAGGAGATGAAGGTCGTGCCTCAAAAAAAATAGATCTGCAGAAACAACAGCACTGACAATAGTTGTAGTCTGTCAACAGCACTGACAATAGTTGCAGTGCTAGCATTACCATTACAATGTGAGGGTTGTGCATCAACATGTTTGTAGTGGTCGTAGTACATCAAATGCTGAATCAAAAACATACTCTTAAAAATAGATTGATAGTGTAAAAAGTAGTAAAAGCCAGAAGAACAAAACGAAGCACCACTTCAACCGGTTCTGGGCACTTGCTTTCGGGGCAAGGGCCACCATGGCATTGTTGAAAACAGCGATGGCCGCAGGTCGGAAAAGTGTTGTCGCAAAGCTCTCGGCAAACAAACGGATCGTCTTGCAGCTCTTGAGCGCAATCTTTAGAAGTACCATGACGTTCTACGAAGTATCAAAAAAAAAGTCAGTTAAGTCCAGGGCTTTACACCTCAAAGAAAGTCAACAGACTTCTGGTCTTAAAAATGAAGCCTTTTTGGTTTCCGGGATGTCGACAACACTGCAGAAAGAGACTAGGGCCGACGGCTTGCCTAGATTCCAAGTCGTGGAAGAGACCGCTCCATACCGGATTAAGTGTGGGATTCTTGCGGTCAACAGTTTTCTGCTTCGAGTGAAACGACCGCACCTTTGGGAAATCCGTTTCCAAACATCTTCGATCACCGACGAAGATCAAATTAGACCTGCTCACCGAAACCGAGTATGTTCATGATCTTGATGTTGAAAATGAAAAGCATCTTTGGTACGTTTTGTTTCCCCTTACGAAGCAAATATTATTTTTAAGGAGCCAGCGCCAGCAGAGGCAAACATCCCTCTACTTGATGTTAGGTTAGGTTACGAATCCTTTGTTGACCAACTACGGTACAACGCCTTAATCAAAGCTAATCTCGCTCGCGTCTTCGCAACGATCAAGCGATTACGCCCTTCGTCTTTCTTGAGAAAGCCTCCATTGTGGCTATCGTTTGAACGACAAAAGGAGACCAAAACGATGTCCCGCTGGTCACCCTGAAACATGTCAACCGTACTCACTGCGACAGCTGCCAAGCCCCCTTGCTCGTTCTAGTTTTAGAGGTAGCTGCTCTTCAACTTCTTCTTCGCAATATTTGCGAACCAGCATTTCCTGACTTTCTCGAAATAGCTGCTCTACCTCCTGCTCTAAGATTGTAATGAGGAAAATCCATTGAATCCTAGGAGAACAAACAGAATGACAAACACGACCAAAGTAAGATTGTACTGCCCTTAAGAACTACTGTTTTTCCCCTTTCCCTTCGCTTTCCCTCCTGCTTGTCCTTTGACGGGAGTTCTTGTGGTTGGGGTACCATGATGTTTTTCAATCAATCTCCTAATTTCACGCATTTGTCCCTTGTATGCCGCCAAAATGGCAATTTCGCTTGGGGCGTGACCCTCGCGAATCAGGTGCTCGGCAAGAAGAACAACTCGCAAGGCTTCCTCTCCATTGCACACCCCCACTGTCGTCTTTTTCTCGAAATATTCACGAGTGCCTGCTGTAGAAGTTGTAAATGTAGAAGTTCTTCTAGACGTAGTTGTATCCCAAAAGAAGACGTTGTTTGTAAGGCAAGCTGGTCGCTCAAGCTTATCCACCACAGCATCGTTGTTCAGCATCAAGGGATACTCCCTGTTCAATTCCACGCCATCGGAGTTATGATTTTGATACAGGGAGGACGTCGTCAGATCATTGATCCTTCTAGTTCTAACACCAGCGGTAAGTTCAGCGATTTCTGGTCTCATGCGCGACTGCGTCATCAACGTACGGTGTGGAATACCGCAATAAATGTTAGACGAGTTGTCGCTCTAGCTCTTGATGTGATCATGATCAGATACTATGAAAAACTGCTTATCTGAAGACCTGAGCAATTTGAGGCTCAGGAGAGAATTATGAGAACCAATTACGGCGTTCTCACAGAATATTTAAAACGATTTCATGATCTTCATTTTCTTCGATTGATGAATCAACATGTGAGGAAGCTCAGCATCGATCAAGTTGCTCATCTTGGATAGAATGTAAAGAAGGTAACTACTCAAAGGATGTGAACCTGAAAATTCGCTCATGCTCAGTCATAAGAACCAGGCGTTCCATTAAAGATACGCCGAAATCCCAATACTTTTTGAGTTCGTAGTTGTCCGGTCGTGGGGGCAATTGATCGGGGTCTCCTATCAAAATCAAATGCTTCAAATCCGGAAGCAAGGGCGCCACGTTCCTTGGCTCCAGAAGTTCCCCGGCTTCTTAATTAGACGATGTTGTCATCGACTTCGACATGGTCATAATTTTTGGTCTATGTATAGTTAGTAGAACGTTCTTGTAATTAGTATTAGTCTGTCAATTATGTCACTTCTTGTCCTTCAGTTGTTACTTCTATTTCCAACTGGGGAAGGATACAGATACTTGCTGTCCACCGAAGACAAAGAGCATACCTTCTACAATCACGACATCAGGCTTGTATTCACGGAGCACGTCCAATTGTATCGCCGCGCCGTCTGTTGTCATCGCGACGATGCGACGTTTGCGTAATACTTCTGCTTTTTCGCTCACTTTCGCAGCATCCAGCAGTCGGCCTGCATCCTCCACCAGTGCATTTGCACGTTCTACTGAGGCTTAGAGAAGCGTAGTACTTCAACTTGAATATATTTTTAGTGGTGAAAATTAGAAAGAAAAAGGTGGAGGTTACTAAGGCTGGGGACTGGGGAGGAACAAGAAGTGGTAATTCAAATTCTTTTACCAAGGGAATGATGCTTAACAATACTATGAATGTATAATGCTTTCTATTTCATCGGTAATGCTAAAATGTAGTCGCAAATTATTATAGAGTTCTAGTACTTCATCAAGGTACAACATAAATCGCTTGCTGTCTCTGAATTGCGCGAGCCATCAGTAGTTGCACGAATGTCATGCGTTCTCGGGGATCTAACATCCAAAGGTTTGGCGCTGTTAACACCTGCTCGCACACTGCATGGCCGTGTGTGCGCTCTGCGGAAATGGGAATGCAATCTATGTAAGGAATGGGAAGAAATTTCTCCTCAGCAGCACTATACCGACCACTATGAGATGAACTTCCACCATGTCCATGCCCATTGTCATTGAATCCCATCAATATGTGACAATTGTGGTCTTCATTCTTTCGTCTCGTTTCCCGAAGCAACACTGTCTGAATGCAAGACGTCGAAGTAGTAGGGGACATCGATTTATTGTCGTTAGCGTGGTCCCAAGAACGTAGCACACGAATGCCTTCGCGATCGACGGTTAGATCGCCATGACGACCTACTTGATTCTGAGCTATGAGCTCACGCTTCTCCCGTTCTTCCTCTTCATCGTAGCCGTCATCCGGCTGAATTTCCTCGTCCCCATCTGGAACTGCGCCGCCGCCGTTAATCTTAGAGCTATCGCTTTTGCATTCGTGGGAGCGTCCTTGGTGACTTTTCCCCTTTGGAAAAGAACTATATTATAAGAAAAGAACTATGTATTTGTATATCATTTAATTATAGTATTTAAGTATGACACAACCTACTGCGAAAGAGTAGAATGTTTCACGGCCAGTAGCGGTAGCGTCAATGTTAATCGTATCTTCTTTTGATGCCGCGGCTGGGGATTCCACAAATTGTAGCTCTTTCACAAAGTCGGGGTGGTTAAGCTCAGGTGCTCGAACATAGTCTCGATACCTTTCGAACTGGCGCAGCTCTGGTAACGTGGGTTAGAGTAAAGATACGAGGATGACTGCACATCTACCCACTTTTGGTGGTGGAGAGAGTATTTGGAAGTAAAAAATTCAACTTCAACATACCAGCATCGGCATAAGTAGATAAGTTGAACAAGAGTAAAGATTGAATTTTTACCCCTTTATTAAATAAACTACTGGATATTTGTTTTTGACTTACCACATTTATTTGTGCACAATATATAAGAATAAAGCAAGTAACCAGAAAGCATAACAGCAAAGGAAAAAAGCGCGCACGAAAAGCTTAAGAGCTTGCTCGCGGACCTTGCAAGCTTTCTCTTGAAAAGTGTCCATTTTAGCCTGGGATGTCAGGTGTTTCCGAATCGAGTCCTTGCAGTCAAAGAACATCACCTCGACTAGAGTTACACTTCTTTTGCAAGTATTAGACGAGAAAAGCTAAAAAATCAGCTGATCTGGTCTTCTACTAAGTTTCAGATCAAAGTTGAACTTGTGTGGTGGAAGATCCCTTTCCCCTACTCAGGTGTTGCGGCGCCCATAATATCATGTCGCAGAAAATGACGGAGGTTGCGAAGCTCAGCGAGCGCTGTTCGGCATTTGGTTAACTCATCGTTCTTTTTCCTCTTTTTTGCAGCATTTTTCCCTTTAGCCTCTTCTTGTTCTACATCCCAAGCGTACCCTTCTAGAAAGAGGACGAACTGATGGTAGGTGATGTGCGCCAAAATGGTGCTTTCGCTTAGAAACTCCAGCTTCTCCAGCTGCTTCAAGGCTGTGTCTAAGGTCTTGCATCGGTCCCTGAGGAGCTTCTTGGCTGCAGTGATCTTCTTGTAAACCGAAAACGAGATCCCCTGTTCATCTCGCCTACTAGAATCTGTATTTTCCTCAGCAGCTTCACTATTTAGTGGTTGAATTTGAAAGTTGATTGCGAATTTATAATATACATAGATATGCTCTTCCCATATGCATATGATCCACGACTTTCGCTTTCCTACTACTTGTTGAAAAAGGTCATTAATATAGCAGCTATGCGCACGGAAATGCAAAAGAGGTCAGATTCCATTCTCTCATCCCATATCATCCATTTTTACCCTACTTCACAACTCCTCCATCCAATTCTTAATGATTTGACGCGCCCACTTTGCAGAATCGTGCGCAAATTGATGTCCTGCAGCGATGGATCTAGACAGCGACCACCGACACGCACGACCTGCGACCGACCAAAAACCTTGATGCAGTCGACACACATCTCATCCAACGCATGGTTCTTGTAGCTCAGAAAGAGGATCTTGACATTTGCTTCATTAGAAGAGGCGCTTACGACCGTAAAAATCCGTCTTGAAGAGGACTATCATCGGACCGCTTTCTTTCCCCTTGAAATAAAACGGTGCCAAGATGATCGATGCTTCCCAAGACGGAGTAGGGGAAGCCTTAAGTTTCAAATACGAGAGCACTTGAGCGATACGCACGGCCATGAAGGACTTTCCACTGCCTGGGGCGCCCTTTATTACCGCCACAGGATGGCACAAAACATGCAACAGTGCAGAGATTTGTTCAGGAAAAAGCTGCCTTGAGGTTTTTTGTCCAGGATCGGTTTCAGTTTCAGATGTCAAGCATTGGTAGATAGCAGTGTCCTCAAGATTGAGCGAGAAACCAGCTGAGGATGACAGCGATGACGAGCTGTCAGGACCTACTTCGGTCGATCGCAGTCGTTCAAGTTCGTCGTAAAAAGATTCCAAGTCAATGGTAGCTCCTTCATTTCCTCCTCCATTATTTGTGTCCTCTGCCACTTCTTCATCCAGCAATGTTTTTCCTGTATGATCTTCCATGTTAAACTCAGTTGTATCCCCATTTGTATTGTTGCCATGATCTTCTTCCAGATACACATCCCCCATCTCAACGTCAGAAGTCTGCTCAACGTCAGTCCTCTGGTGTTCTTCTTCTTCTTGCCGGAGGTTCTCATCATGAGTTCTTCCTCGTGTAAGATCTTCATTTGTTCTAAGTTTGTACTCCACACGCCAGAAGAAGTCACGGGGGACGCTCTTCATCTTCTCGACCACGCGCTTGTCGCGGAGGTAGAAGTCCTCATCGAGATGCATTCTAGCGAAGTCGCAGGAAACCAAGTAGCGTTCGAACGGCATGGCATTGCGCGCGCGCCAACTACGGAGAACCGGATGCGCAGCGATAAAAAAGCCAGGGTCCTCGATTATTCTAGCTGCGCACGTCGAATTAGAATTTTTATGAGTCTATCTATGCATATGAATAATCCAAAAGAAGTCTAAGTACCGAAAAGACCCTTAAAAGTCTTAATGGAACGACTTGAAGTCCGTTCCCGACCTCTCCCACCACGCATCAATTGATCAACGAGGCAAAGTAGTCTCTGTCGCTTTGATCTCCTCTTGGCACCGTGGGTCCCGTGCTGAGCTGCAATTTGTTCCCTATCAAAATCAAACTCCAATCTATCTTCCGCACTCAAAACGCCTTCACTTGAGACGTGATCGTTGTCTTCACCTCCATCTCCAGGCGCCTGCTGATCTCCTAAGGGGCCTAAACGTTAGAGATACCGCGGTAGCCGTAGCATCCCTGAGAGCATCTTCTGCGTAATCGATCCTCGGAAACTTCCTTAATTTTCAAGTAGGAAGAAGACGAGTCAAAAATTTTGATTTTCTCTCCTTACTAAGTTGACATCCATGTTGCTTAACAAGGATGATAAGGGTCAAGGCTGACGCTGAGGAAGAGGATGCTCGATCGATATTCGCCTTAAAAGCGTTTGTCATCAACATCAACAGTTGTTGTGTTCTCCTGCTCTTTTTCTCGTGCGAGAATTCTGTCGAAGTAGGATGTCGCTCTCTCCTCAGAAATGTCGACGTTTTCCTCAAGATAGTCGTCTTGCAGCAATCTGACAACAATAAGCCCAGAGCTTTTCAAATCTTCTTCGTGACTGGTCACCACTTGCAAATAATACACCTCGTCGTCATATGAAGGGTGAGGGTGACTCACACTGACACTAAGGACTGTGATCATGAAGTAGCTGAGTTAAAGTTGTACGAACTCTAAATTTATTGTCTTCGTCATCATCTTCCATATTAGGAGTCTCAGTTTCTAGATAAGTACACAAGAAGCCGTAGCCTTCAACAGCTTCATCAAAGTAAGACATAAACTGAGCCCTTAAATCTTCATGATCCTCGAATCGTCCTGAGACCGAAAGTGCTAGAAGCGTGCCCTCTTTCACTGCGCGTTTTGTCCACGTAGTCTCGATGTGGTTTCGCTGCTCTGACGAATAGACGTCCCAATCTGGCTCTACCTCCAGTGCCATGAGCAAACCCTCACTTTTCGAGGTACCAAAAGCATGATCCGCCCCTGAGTTTGAAGATGAATATGAGTAGTACAATGCTGCCGACTTGACCCGATGTACTCGGCAATCGAAAAAACTCAATGAGGAAGAAGCAATAGAGCGATTTTTCCTGTTGTCGTGTCGTGCTTCCTCTCCTCGTGGCTCGTCATCTTCTTGTTGTCCAGCACGTCGTATGCTCTCAACTGTTTGGACGTACTTCGTTACAGCCTTACAAAGACCATGAAAACTCTCTTCGCGGAATAACTTCGTATACACGCATGTTAGAGGGCAAGAAGAAGAAATTGAATAACTCTACCTGAGGGAAAATTGTAATCGAATAACTGAGGGATGAAGCAGTAATAAGTATCTTGAGCAGACAAGAACTGTCTGACTTTTAATATGTAACATATATAAAAATACTTCTTCAACATGCTGCTGGTGGAGATCTACATCAAGATTAAGATTGCAGCCATAAAAGCATGTAGTGTTCTAAATCGCGATAGGGTCTGCTCTTCAAAACACGAGATCCTTCAAGTCTTGTTGCCAATGTCGCGTTGGCCTGACGTAGCTCCAAGGCTGTAGGTCGAGCAGCAATCCTTTGCCAAGCATGGGTACTAAACTTGGTCTTGGAAGTACTGGCAAGTGCTGTTGTACTGGCTAGGTGATTCTTGTTCTTCGATATATTCGGAAATGGACATTAGAGGCTCATCTCCTTCTCCTCCAACACAACTACAACGAACAGGTTACAACAATATTCATATTTTATTATAATTCGCCTCCAAAAGGGGTCCGGGGCTGCCGGTACCCCCCCCCACGCTAGGGGGGGTACCGGCAGCCCCAAGCCCTGGATCATATATAATTCATGAATGACAAAAATAATGATGTGAACATCAAATGATTGTTGAAGTACTCCTACTCGTTAGGACAGGTCCTCTTCCGTAATAGCTGTAGCGATGGAAGATCCTCTGCGATAAGCGGGAAAAGATGATCGTGATCATCTCACTTAATCTTAAACAAAGGCCATAAGAGGATAAGGACGCCGTGGTCAGGTCAAGCACAAGGTCCAAAATTTTCGTACTCAACGCTCTCCAGCAAATCATGGCCGCGTGTGCTTGTGGTTTGTCATTCCCTTGCCCTTCGTTATTGATTGATTCTCTGTTATAGTTGTTGTTTGCTGCTTCTATTCTTCTATTTCTCTTCGCTGTTGCAGTTTTCGTAGTTTTCATACTCTTCATTTCTAGAGCAACTCCAGCTTCGTTCTTTTCTTCATCTAATCCATCATGAGAATCAAGGTCAAAAATTTTTCGAAGATTCTGCAGAAAAGGGAAAAAGAATGATCGGAGGCGCGTGGGAGAAGTGCGCGATAGATGTTGCCCAACTCGCTCGATTAAGTCACTGGATACGCTCAGATTCTTCCCGCTCTCGACGAGGGAGAGCGGATAGGCATTCGTATTATCGCGTCCTTGATGCGTGGTACGACGTGAAGATACCAAAGCCAAAAAAAGGCGCCCTAAAATATCTCTGGTGGTGGAGGTCCTGGCAGTGGCAGTGCTTGATGTTGCATCTTCATGCAGCGCTGAGTTTGATGAAGTAGAACTACTTTTACTAGAGCTAGCCATTGTAGTTGTACTACATGTTGTACTGGATGAAGATATCGTTTTGGCCTCAAGGACTTCACAAATCATATCCACGCGGCTCCATGCTCCACTGCTTGTTTCGTTCGAATTGTCCACCATCAAGCCAACTTCTAGCAGCTTGACGATGTCCTCGTATGTTGTCTCTTCATCTCGATCTCCTATCCAAGTCGAACTGCTCATCTTCAACTTCATCTCTTTAGCAGTATAATTTTTCCTCTGCCGTTTTGTTGCTGGACCGAGCTGTTCTTGTTCTGCTGGTTCAACAATTTTTTGCACCTCCTTATTTCCCGTAGTTTGGTAGCCGTTCAAAAGCGACGATAGTACTTCCTCTGCTGCCAATGTCCACAATGCAGGGCTGAATAAGGCTAGTTTCTCGATTTCAGGCTGAAGATCATGCTTCGATGGACGTGGACGCGCTTCGTCGTTGTCATTGGCTTCTAGCGAATTCTTCGGCATCGTGGTGTATAACAGCGAAGTGATGATCATTCGGCTCTCCTCCAGAAGCAGTCGAGACAGTGTCACTTTACTCCGATCGGCGAGTGCAGTACTATGGTAGTTGCCGTAGAAGTTTTTAGCACCCTTCCCGAATCCCCTTCCCTCATCACCACCACCGCCTCCATGTTTTCCTCCTCCATTTTTGACTCCAACAAAGGTGCCACCATTGAAAGAGCAGCCTCCACCTCCAAAATCTTGAGCCTTTCCTCCATTCTTTCCTTGCTTTGATGATCCTCCGTTTGCATTTGACAACCACATCTCGCCAGCACAGGTTCCGGGTGATGCATATCGCAGAACTTTGACGTAGTGAGCACGTGCGGGTCCTTTGCCTCCATCCCCCCTGCCCCTCCAAGAATTGATCCAATATTTGACTACATCCCCTTTCTCAAGCATTATTTCCATATCGTCTCTGCAGGCAGCCAGAGAATTGAATCTGATATCTTTGTTTATTGCCATATGATTTAGAATGGAAAAAGCGAAAGTACTTATCATGTCTGCAACCCTTACCCGGATTGAGTACCAAATCTAAATTTGTTGCCCTCCGTACGTCAATACCTAATCAACATCATTTTGTTGTTTCCTATAGCTGGCGCTTATGCGTTCTTCGTACGAAAGGCATTTCCAAAACGAAAACGTCTTATCACATTGCTGCAAGAAGTACTGGAATCCGTCGGAAGTTGTAGCAGTGCATTCCCCTGCTTCGGATCGCACGGGCGAATGAAACCATAATAGGTCTCCTCTTCTTGGCACCAGGTGTGACTACGCTGATTTGTTTTCCCTCTAGAAGTGGCCTTGTCTTTTCCACCTTTGGCACCACCATCTTTTTTGGTACTAAGTAGAGGTGCGTCTTTCCCATTTCCACCTTTTCCTTTTCCACCATCTTTGTCAACCTCGGTCTTTCTACAAAAAACGACAATCCCTATGCCTTCCCGAGTCGTTGGAGCGTGGGTAATAGCTTGCACCTGGCCCTCGATCGTGTGCACCCAATCATCTCCACCATCATCCTGTTGTTCACGTTCAGCACTCGCCATTTTTGAGGACTTCGAAGCTTGAGATTATAATAAATATTTGTCAACAAACAAGACTGAATCTCAATTAGTTACATGTTTCTGACTGAACTGGCAGAAGCTTCAGTTTTAGTTTCATCAATCTCGAAATAACTTCAAAGAAAAAGTACTTGTTCTACCACTAGTAGAAGTGGTAGTGTTCAATCATGATCAACGAAGTCCACAATAGTTACTTACTTCGCCTGTTTCACTTTGCGGCCTTGCAAAAAACTAGTTTCACTGTTTCAGGGTGGTCATATGATTTACTTCTGTTCATCGCTGTTCTGAGGCTCTGGGATTTCCTGTGTGTTCACAGCGAAATTAGTCATGGTCAAACGCTCAGGATTTTCTAGGCGGGCAGCTGGTGTCGCCTATTCAACAGGTGCTATTTATTTGTAATGCCAGGGAGATTGAAAGAATCTCCTGACCTTTATCCAGTTCGCAAACCGCCACCAGGAGGGGCAAAGTTCGTTTAACAAGCAGTAGACAGGTGGAAGACGACATGAAGGACTAACCACAAGGAAATAGAAAGAGAAACTTCAGACACAGCTACAACTATGAACCATGGACAAACTCAAGCCAGCACCAGCGGCCTAACCCTACCTAGCCAACAAGTCAACTACAGAAGACAATAGTGCGCCATTTAGGAAGAAAGAGTAGACAAGACCAAAGCTAAAGTTTTAGACAAACACCCCAGCGGGGCGGAAGCTCGGAAGAGCCAGGAGGGCGGAGATGGACAGGTCACTGCTCAAAAGCAACTACGACCACAGATTCATCTGTCCGCATGCTACCGATCATCTCCTTACACCTTCATGCTCCCTCCTTCCAGTACTAACATGCTCCTCATTTTTTCGGAGGACTAGACTCCCTGCATGCGAACATGAATGGAAATAACGGATTCTCTTCATGTTCATTGGTTTTCGTTTTGGTTGTGGTTTCTGCTGATACTAAAACCAATTGACGTGTCCTACAGTAGGACGATGACCGTAGATGGGTTCTCGCCAGGGTAGAAAGGTTTTTAGGGAGAGGGACAGCATGTGCATGGGGAGATGCATCATAGACTGAAGAACAGTTGATGCAGGCGTGGATCCAAGAGAAGTGTAAAAGGTTATGCATCATCAAATTTCACAGAGAAACAAACGAGGCATGCAAATACTTACATGATACGCAAGTCCTCTTCGAGCACAGCCTCATCAATCACTATCGCTTCCGGCACTGCTCTGCGATTCATCGTCCGACGATACAGACTTTCGCTTCTTGCCACCTTTCTTCTTTTTCTCTTTCCTCGTCTTTTTCTTCTTCTTGTCTTTCTTCTTCTCTTCCCTTTTCTTCTCCTTTCTCCTCTTCTTTTTCTTCTTCTTTTTCTTATCCTCACTGCTGCTATCTGAGTCAGTGTCAGATCCACCTCCTGCTCGCTGTTCGTTGGAACTTCTATCTCCACTACCTGGAGATGAGCCGCGTCGCCTTTTGTTTCCTTGCGAAGGAGGTTGTAGAAGCTGTTGTTGTTGAAGACCAGGACCTGGACCTCCTTGTTGGGTCACTGAACCTCCTTGTTGTCCACCCTCTCCATCCGAATAGTATTGATCTCTTCTTTCCTTCGCAATTTCTTCATCTGAGTCTGGGTCGTCACTGATCGACTCCTCAACCACAGGAGCGACCCTAGCTATGTTTCTGTCCTCTATTTTGATGGTATTACGGCACTGGAATGACAGGTGCCCGACTTAAAGCACAGCATTCAATGGTCACTGACTCTGAAAGAAATGGGCCCCATGCCTCTCCCTTTGCTTTTCCTTCATTTTCCCCTGTTCTCTCAAGAGGGATCTCAGTGACCAACCCCAATGACCATTGAAAGCTGAGCCTTAACCGACATTGCCGCAAATCGTGCACGCTCCTGGGGTTCTTGTGCTGCTGAGACCAGCTAATTTGGCGACCTCCATCATGCCACCTTGATCGAGCGCCGCTGCTGGTCGGCTGGAAGAGCTGCTGCCTCCTGCGCCAAAAGACGATGAGCCTGGTACGGGACCGGGAACGGAACTTTTTATTAGATGCGGTGGTGTTGATGTTACTTGTTTAGTTTTCTAGCACACGTCAGTGGTCATGGTCATGCGCTTCAGGTTCGACCCTTACTGGCCATTTTGGAAGCAAAACTTACACATCAGAGGTAGAGAATCAGAATGTTGTGGTAGTCATCTATCATTTGGTTAGTGTCTTAAGAGATACATATATGTCATTATTTAGGGATTCTTTTTGTTCTAGAAAAATTATACAACGTAAGTAAAATATTATTTCTTGCGGGATCTCGACTAGACTACTATAATATTAAATACTTGTTTAGTAGTCTCTGGTGCCATAAATAGCCTGGCTTCTGCTGTGGACCTGAAGAGGGACCTTTCTTTCCCTTCCCTTTCGTTTTGCCTATGTCTTGCAGTTTTTTGTCGTGGTCTGGATTGGCGTAGGGGTCGTACCCGATTTTATCCCACATCGCATTCGTCTTTAGACTGTCCGAAACGCCCATTCGCTTCTGATGGGCCTTCAGGATATGCCCACCGCCCACTCGGGGCGCGGCCTTCATATTCACGTACTCCATCTTGTTTTTGGTGCTCTTGAAGAGATGATATTAGTTCTGATGTAGGTCGTGCGGGAGGTCTAGTACAATGATACTAGATTGTACAACCTAAAAATTATAGGTGAGAATGAATAGATGGTGGGATCCTATAAGTTCATTCACGCAGAAAGAAGAGTAGATCTGCGCAGACTGCCAAACACTATTGTAAGCATATTTTTCACAAGAGGATAGAATTAGAAGGCGAAAAATGTTGTTGGCAGACGTGTTGATTCGAAAATTATAGCGCACGAGAAGGTCAATGTGGAAGAACTACTACTTTCTTTCACCTACTTCTACGTGTCCTAGAGCTAAAAACAACAAAAGAACATGGAGAAAAAAGTGAAAAAAAGTGATCACTACATACTTTTACCTTTACCTGCCAATGGTGGTGTTTGTAATTCAGTTTTTCATGCGTTTTTGAATGTCATGGAATGATGTGATCGTGTCATCTTAACAGAAAGAACATTGAGCAAGTTCAAAATTTCGTTTCATCATTTTTTCTTCAAAAAATTCGACTTCAACGATCGTCGACCGCACGCAACGACATCGAGTATGTATATGATCGGATCCAAATCAGAAATTTTGAAAATCAACATTGATGTCAATATAGATTCAGATTAGAATTTAGCGGCGGTATACAATATATAACAAGACAATTCATCTCGCACAGAATTCAGTGCAGACTGAGTTCCATTTTCTGTCGTGGTGACCAATGGACTTGTCCAACTAAAGGTCTATGCTAAAAATTCTTGTTGAGAAACTTTCACAAGCACGACGACTACGCTGAACACTGGAGGTCGGGACCTCCCCTTTACGAGACACGCGCCACGTGTGCACTTTGTAAATTGACGTCGTGCATTGAAAGGACTCACGTGTGCAATTTGGCGAGGGCCCTTTCAATTCTTCAATTATCCGAGGATAAACTGAAAAAGTATCATCAAAGTGACTGTTTTTCGTTTTCGAATAAATGGCTTTTTTGTGGTGCTAGCAACGCCGAAAGCTAATAAACGTAAACGCGACGTTGTTGATGTAGTTCCTTTAGTTTTTAAGTACATTTTTGTGATGTTCTTGTTCATCTTGGGCTCGGTCTTGGTACTTATGATAAGACTAAAACGTGTACCACGTGATTACATCGTCATGCTCCTCGTAGATGATTTTTTCTTCACTGTTGTGCGAGTAGCTAAGGTAGTGCCATCAGATGGACCACTATTGAACCTACTCACATTCCTGCTCCTAAGACGATCAATAGTTCCTCGTAGTTGATTCTACTATAATAGAGGATCAATCTGATAGTTGATTCTCCTAGAATCGAGGATCACGACGACAAGAGTTCCTCGATAAGAGAGCGAATTCGTGGAGAAAAATAAAAATAAAATATCCCCATCTTTATTAATATTAATGAATAAGTGTAGCCTGGTGGTGCTTCTACATCATCATAGCATAAGAGCGTATCCGTAACGCAGCAGCGAGATAACGCCAACTACTATCCATCCGAGAGACGAGCCATAAGCCACTACCAGTAGCTTCTTTAATTACATGTGCAAGACAATTAGTTGTAGATAATCTGGATCGGGTCGAGGTAGACCTTAGCCAAAAAAAAGACTTTGAACATAAGATGATTGACCGTGCTGCCATCTATTTCTGCAAGGAAGATCATGATGATAGTTTCCCAAGCATCTAGAACTCATCCCATATCTATGGTCTAGTACGCAACCAAAAGCTTGAGCATTCAAATGTACAGACGTACTAAATCATTATAGATGATCTTTGAAATGATATTTTTGAAGCATCTTCTTCAATTTGTGATAGTTTAACATCTAATTTCTCTATTTTCATTCGCCCGTCCACTTAGTGCTGTCCTGATCATTTACTTCACCCGTCACACAGTGAAGGAGATAATAAGCACAGCACTAAGTGGAGTACTGATGAAGTATTCATTCAGTACTCCATCAGTGCGCGGAAGTCAACTAGAACCACAGCACAACTAATAGACAATACTGCACCGAAAGCGACCACTCGCACCTTCCAGTCGTGTGCCTCATACCCCTTAGTGCTGTCCTGATCATCTACTTCACTTAGTGCTGTCCTGATTATTCATTCAGTACTCCACTTGGGCGGTAGGAGCGGCGCGACGGCCACGCTGACTAAATGCATTTGCCAGCTCTTCATTGGCCATTGCAAATACGAGCTCATCGGGAACTTGAGCAAGACCTAGTCCCCTACCCTCCAATGCATCCCCGATTGCATCGGCAGTTTGAAATCTCGTCATGAAGTCGTCTCCGGAAGGTCGGAAGACTGGTGGTGCGCGGAGGCGGAAGTTGACTAGAATTATCTTCACAGCACAACTAATAGACAATACTGCACCGAAAGCGAACACTCGCACCTTCCAGTCAGAGAGATGATGCCTCTCTTTCTCCCGTTCAGACAAGTAGGTTAGACCTTGCAGAAATCCATCTTCCTGTTATCTTCTCCCGGTCAGACGGGTAGGTTAGGAAAGATGGATTTCCTCAAGCCTTAAGTAGAGTACATTCGGGGAGACCGCCGTAGGCCTCCGTGTCGCACGAATATTCGTCGAGTCGTCCGATGCCCATTTCTCATTAGAAGAAGAAATGATGTGAGCTATGAAGGTGATGAGACAAGAACGTTGGTGTTTCATTATACTAGGGTCTAACTATAACTGTTGAGAGACACAGTCCTCCTGTGCGTAACACGACCATGAGCAGTCATATTTTACGTGATTACTACGTACGTTACTTCATATTTTTTGATGCTCAAATGAGCATGAGAAGTTTCTTTCTACATATTATTACGCATTTGCTTCATTGATGTCATCAAGTTGTCGGATTTACTAGTAGGAGTTGTTTTATCATCCGTAGAGAAGTTATCAATGACTCTGTTGTAACTACTACACGATATCAAGAACAAGATGCTCCTGTACAAAAAGATTGATGTGCCCTTTGTAGTTTCATCTGTCTTCATATTGAGGAGCCTTAAGAATAACACAGTTGCTGCACATTTGAACGGCTCGATTACCTGGATCGGCTTGATTCGGGTCGTACAGAACCACGACGGCTCGATTCGGGTCGTACAGAGCCAACGCCCCTGTGAATGTGCTGCCCCTGCGAATTCAGTTTCATTTGGTTGAAAAAAACCATGACCAGCATGATATTCAATTGTCTGTTGCGTAGATTGTGACAGTGATTTTTACTTTCAGGAAATTCCACTTCCAACCGGGTGACGCATTTACATTCTAGATCTAGTGCCTGACGCATTTAAGTACATTCATCTAGTGCCTTGTTGACAACATTTTTAAGTCCAAGACTAAAACCGTATCTTCTGTACACGACGTAGAAGCCACGACTTGGGACGAGATGAAGCTCTAGTGACCAATCGCTACTTCGTATACCCACAGATATGAGAAATTATCAACAGATTCACAACATATCTGTCTAGGACCAACATATCTGTCTAGGTATCTATAAACGTGGTATCCACGACGAAACTTCTGATCTTGAACTTGATGGGAACGTCGAGCAGCCGGGGAAGCTACAACTTAATACTAGCACCTCCTCTCACTCTCAGGACTCTCAGAAAAAATACCCAGTGGTCTGCGCCGATGATCCGACTAGGGCAGAGGAAGGCACGGAAGAGGGAGAGGACGCGCCACCACGCCTCCACATTGGACGTACCGTTCCGGATCCAGAAGATGCTGATCCATCGCAGTTTGTTCCTGACGACAATACGCCGACAACGTCGGTTAGGAATTTAGCGAAGATGCCGTTGTTCTCCGGGGGACCGTTGTTCTGCAAAACCCTAGCGGTGGAATCTACTCCAGGGTAATAAATACCAAACTGACGAGCTAGTTGCTCTTCGAGATTGGCCAACTCCTCTTCGGCTGCACGCGCCTCGTCAGGCGATTCAGTGCACTTTTCTTCACGATCGACTGCATTTTTCAGCCGCTCAACTACATCACACCAAGCGGGGTTCGCAGGGACGGTTAATACAGCCACTTCTTGGCTGCATTGCTCTCCGCTATCATCATCACCTGCAGACTGGAAGTCAAAGGCGTTCTTGAGATTTACGAGTGGCGATTGGCTTTGATGCTCATCGAGCGACGTCTTCAATGGAAAAATGGAAACGCCAGAATGTGTCGTGCTTTGTTGTAGCATCCCGATCAGCATGCCGGCGATCTCCACCGCCGTAGTGATGCAAAGCTTCATTTTTCTTATTGTTCCCTTGTCTGAAGGATATCCAAATGAGGTAGTGTAGTTGTACCTCGACTATGTGATTATAACAAGCGCTTCTAAAACTAGTTAGAATAAAGGATCTCGTACTATGTAGGTTCAGGCACTGGACAAGGCTAGGAGGGGTCGAGTCCCAGTTGTGACTCGAATACTTGATTCAAGTTGGTAAAGGTATACACTCTGAGAGAGTAGGTCGAGGTCAAATGTGAGTGAAGAGAGTGTAAGCAAGTGCAAGTGGGTCAAAAAGAAATAATCAGTGTGAGTGTCAAAACGAAAATACACGTAACTCAGTTGTTGTGAAAGAGACCCGTAAATTGCTTTATTCGTAGTTGAAGATTCTCTTCCTATTCTAGGTTAGGTGTGAATAGGTATACGATGGGGTTTCAAAACTATAATGCTGTGACAGTCAAAAGACAGTTTCAGTTATTTCAGGTTTGGTTCTACTTGATATAATGATGTTGATGACTCTGATACATTCATTGAGATTGTACCAAAAAGATTGTATCAGTATCAAATACTGCTCGCAATTATCCTGCGACATTATAAATGAAATTGAGAGGCTTTCTGTCGTGGGCTGACCGCGAAGCAAGCTATGATCTATTACAGATAGTGGCGAGGGCGTGCGCCGTGGGGGGAGCTCATGCACAAACACAATATTCCAATCTTTTGAAGAGTACCGATAATAATCACTCTCATTAAGAAGAAGAACTAGATCCGGGATCTTCTAGCGTGAACAGTTGCGTTGCCTCTGCACTTTTCTATAGAGATGATCCTGGATCTCCTTCTTGTTTTTCCAGATCAGCCGTAACATTCTTGAGATTGATCCTCTGGGGATCTACTTACCGATATAATAGCTATACTTCAGAACAAGTGTGTGTATGTTCTTGCTCAAAGATCTTCTAGTACCTCCGGGATCTAGAAGAAGGATGAATTTCGAGACAGCTTGCGAGACTTCGACGTTCACATTGAGATTGATTACATGTGGACGAGCGAGTAGTAAAAGTGGCACCTTCATCAACATCTTCAATTCTAGTCCTTCATAGGAGTTCTTTTCTGAGTACTCAACATCTATCTTGTAGTTGTCCGGACCCGGAGCTTCTCTGGAAATGTTAATGTGGGATATGGATATGCTCATCAATGATGCTGCTATCATCTTACAAAAGTGTTCAATATTCTCAAAGAAGATCGCAATTTTTGTAGTAGTGGTCGACGGTCGTGGTCCTGTATTTTATCTTTCTCTACGACTACACCTACAGTTAGGAAGTAGACTGTTCCTTTTTTACACATAGCTTTGTTATGTTACACATTAGAAATGCTTTGATAGGTTGTAATGATTTTGCCTAATCGACCTCGACAATGTGCTTCACTTTCAGAAGATCCCGGAAAATTCCAAAAACAGGTTTCATTTTCCCACCAACAGCAAAGGTAGTTATGGCCTCACTCCGCGACCTCATCTATATCTCGTCCACCACCAGTACGTACAGATCTACAGGAGGTGGCCACCTTCCTAGGTTAGGTTAGGTTAGGTTAGGTTAGGTAGCAATGTTGGTGGTCACCTTCATATTCCACGAGCTCCAAATTTCCACCATCAGCACCACCACCACCAGTAGGGTTTAGGGCCTAGGAATGCCAGTAGACGGGAAGATTAGAACGATATTCGGATATTGGGGTGGTCATCATCTATGCACATGTGTGGACGAGAGATAGAACAATATTGTTCAACCATGGCGACGGAATGTTAGAACCGGTGTTGCGGGTGTCTGATGAGGATATCTATCTAAGTCTATCATTGAATTGCTCCGGTATTTGGTAAGTAACCTGTATTTGATCACAAGGGTTCTCTTCTTGTTTTCCCTTATGATCAAATTCAGGTTACAGAATACCGGAAGCATCCACATCTATGTTGATGTGAGGACTTCTTCAAGTTGTATAACATAGTGAAGGACATCCGACATCTACTTCAGTCATATTCAGGTCTGTAGACGAGTCAATGTGACAGCGAAGTTTCGTTTTATTCTCTGAGTAGCTTTGCTTGTGGAGGCGTTGGTTTTCGACTCCACAAGTCAACATAGACTTCTTGTGGAACTAGAACTACTGCGAGAAGTAGAAGATGAGCTGAATGTAGTCAGAGAACTTGTAGTCAGAGAACCTTCGTCCTCACTTGTCGCAGTTGCTTTGGATGATAGCATATTCCCTCCAGGCAGCAAGGTCGGATTTGACAGGAGGAGCATCAAGGTCGGATTTGAGCTGACCTGGTTGGGAAATAAGTGTCCTGGTCCTTCGCCCTCTTGCAAAAATTCTTTCTTTTCGCGAAGAAGTGTAGTGGCACTTCCTAGCAGATCACTTTCATCCACCAAGGGTTGACGTAGTTAACGTGGAGGTAGAGGGAAAACGATGAATGCGGGGGGAGTCCTGATCGTGTGTGGCAAAATTGAACAATTTGCTAGATCGATGAGAATATCTTCATACTTACTTACGTTCACGTTCAAACGCTCACTAGTCGTAGATCGCTTCCTTCGACAACATCCACAGCAACACCATCTGTCGCAGAAGAGGTCGAGGCCGTGTCCGTACGCAACATTCGAAAAAAATATGACACAGGAGACCAGAGCTACTCTCGATATTCGGCAGAGAGCCTTTTTCTAATACCGCAAGGACAAAACCTGCGATCGATATTCGAACGGAGGAAGATAGAGCTACGAACACCGTTCATCTTACTAGGCCTAGGCGTAAGCGTATCCATCTGTAATAATTTCCTTGTGGTGCCTTCTAGTTCTAGTTCTAGTTCTAGGAAGTAGAGCCAAGTCAACGCACTCTCTCCCTTGCACCGGAAAATATGAGTCCGCTAGGCGTCCTTCTTTGCACTACATTAGATTCCACATCAACGACACGAAAATTCCGAAATCCCACGCCATTCTTCCCTCAAGACTTTGAGCCCCTTTTTTCGGAATCTAGCAGCATTTCTAGCGGGAATTTCCTCCGGCTGTGGGTACCCGCTTTGGACTGCTGCTAGAACGTCACTCTCTCTTAGCAAATGATATGTCGGAAATGGACTCCGAATTGTGAAATTGCGTGGGTCTTCTTGTCCTACACCATTTATTCCATTTGTCGCTGTCGTTTTGAATGGTTCCGGTATTTGGTAGCCTGAATTTGATCACAAGGGTTCTCTTCTTGTTTTCTCTTATGATCAAATTCAGGTTACCAAATAGCGGAAGCATACACGTTTCCTTCTGGTAGTACATCTTTTTATGCAGCTTATCATCTTCAGAAGTTGAAGTACAGCCAGTTGTTGCAGAACCCTCATCGTCCGGCTTCATCAGGTTCTGCTCTTCATCTATCATATCACAAGACGCCCTATCCATAATATCCCCACCGTGCCAACTGCTATATCGATCATGAACTGCCTGTGGGTGGAACAAAACAATTTGTAGTTGTTCGTTGAGGTGTAATTTTTCTGACATGATTTGGCATAGACGGTAACTTTTTCGTTCGAATTCCCAGAAGTCATCGAGTCCCGAACCTGGTTGGCAAATGAGGAGTGAGGACTCTCCTGCAGGAGGGTGAAGAAGATGTCCTGCTGGGAGTTGACAATTACTGGCAGAAGCGTCGTCAGAGTCTTTCCGCAGGAGCTCGTCCCTTCGATCACCAACACGATAGTCAACGATCGCCGTGCCTTGCTGTTGTAATATGAGGTCATTTCAGGGAATAAGGAGGTGTGTACCATGAGATTGAGATCATCATGTATTCGCCAAAAAAGTTACTGGTACTTCTGATTGAACTTCCAGTACAACTTCTCATTATCTCTTGTAATACTACATATAACGACGTTTTATTTGAAGGTCAGCCTGCCAGCTAGGTTTTCTTCTCTATGCATTAATATTTAGAAAAATTCAAATCTTGATCTTCTTCATTCAAGTAAAAACCTCGGTACTAGATTACCTACATCTTTAAATACTTACACGATAGTCCTCAACATCAATCGCCGTCCCTTGCTGTTCTTGTTCTTTGCTGAGCCCCATCAACCGCCTCGCTTCATTTTCAAAGTCCCTCTCGACGTCCCCTCCATTCGTCACACGGAGACGCAGAGTTCGCTTCTCAATCAACGGCTTGGCGAAGGGGCATAAACGTTGTGCTATGACCCAGTCTTGAACCCAGCGAGAGGTCGTTGCGAGGAGCTGCTCTGAGGTCATCTTCGCACAATTTGTCGTATGGAACGACCGTCGGCAATGACGCAGTTTGCCGCAAAAGGAGAAGGACATGTTGGTATTGCTGAAGGTGCCATCCGCTGCATCCTCTATTTAGTGTATCTTAGTGCTATCGCGTTCGTCATTATATCAATGCCAATCTACCACGACATACTTCGCGACCTCGGGAAAACAAGAAGAGAACCCTTGTGAACAAATTCAGGTTACCAAATACCAGGAGTGACCATTTCTCAAGCAGTGGGCCATAGCTGCGAAGGTCGGGAATCGCGACATGCGTCAGAAAGAAAAGGCTCAGCAAGCAAGTATCAAGTATGCATCATTTTGCTTTTTTCTATCGGTTCTCATTCCTTTTTTCATGCTGCAAGGTTGGAATTTGAGTCATTTTTTTCACCCATTTCCTTTGGTTTCTTTCTGATTTTTCTTTACTTGTTTCAAAGGCCTAACGACATGGCCGGCGACTTGTATGCATAATATCTAGTAGTCGGTGTCGGTGGTCGCCCTCTACTTGCAGTGGTATCAAAAGAAAACAGAAATCAATTACGAGGACATGTTGAGCAGCCAGACGTGTTTATGGAAACGCAAAATGAAGTTCAAAGTTAATGATCTCTTGAACCAAAAGGCTCTCCTGAGAGATGCTTGAGATTGAGCTTGAAAAATCGAAAAAAATCAACATGTGGGACATTTATTCATTTTCAAGAATACTTTAATGGTAGGTGATGAAAGGAACAAACCTATTTCTTCAATGCACTAAATTCAAAAAAACTAAATGGAAGATGATGATGATGATGATGATGATGATGAAAGGAACAAACCTATTTCTTCAATGCATGATCTGCCGACTCAAATCCACAACTCCTGTGCAGCCGCTGGTAGTTCCCTTGTTCTTTCCTTCTTCGGTGTCGGTCTATGCAGCTTACTAGAAATATTCTCATTCTGCTTGCTTCTTGGTGTCCTTGGAGGACGTGTCAATAGCCGCAACGCATCAGCTGTTCCCTGTTTATGCAGGCTCAAAGGCACATTCCTTTCAGTGGCATTTACTGCCAGCTCGAACTTCGACTCCACTTGCGCGACTAGATGGACTTGGACTCTGGCATAGGTGGTGCCTAGAAGGTGCTCCAAAGCAGCACCACAGGTGAGAGGATGTAACACACATTCGGTCAGAAGAATGTCGCCGCTTATCTGGTATAGGGTTTAGGGTGAGAGTGTCAGACTGACTGAGTTTTAATAGAGTTTCTATTGATAGGCAGTGATTATATGGGTTCTTGTTGTACTTCGTAGTGTTGGTTCGTCTAGTAACGACTTTATCTTGCATCCACAGAATAAATATTTAAATCTTCAATCACAAGTGTCTTCATCACTAGTTTCACTATCACTGCGGAAACCGAATTCAATCCTTCCTAATTACTGATCACTACCCAGTACGTAGCAGTACCGGAATTATTGAATCCAGTACTACGGATTCAGATTACTCGTACTTATACTAAGGAATTGCTAAGACCTTAGGGACAAGAGATCATCTGCGACTCTAGTACGCGTCGAAACGAGACTTACCGTATCACTCGTCGAATTTGACTTTGCTCCGATCAGCCAGCCGTCTCCCGGAAAGGTAACGTTAACGCTGCCAAACAGTAAATCCTGATCGTCTCCGACGTACACCATTCCTACTGCTTTCTTTACTAGCAACGCCGCTGAGAACGTGTTCTCGATCGTCAACAATGCCTCCAACTTCAACAGTAAAACGTCAGCAGACAGCACCGCTTGCACCCAGGTGATCAAGTTCTTGCTTCTGCCGGGTATGGAGACTGGGACAATTAGAGGGAGGCTTTTGGTGTTCGCTATTATCCCGCTTGTTATGGCTGTCCCCCTACCCCTTAGGAGAGCCATAAGAACAAACGGGGGTAACAAAAGCACCTTTAGCCTACCCTTAAGACATGATTCAGTTTCCGAGTGAAAGGGTCTAAGAAAGACAAATTCTTCCACAGGGCGTCGGTAGCAGCAGCGGCGTAAGCGTTGACTGTTTCATTTGACAAGTGCTTACCTAACAGTTGCTCTAGGGTGTCTTGTACTATGGAAGGGGACGTGTAGTTGTTCTCCTCCATGGAGCTAGAGGGCAGTGTGATTGAAACTGTTGTTGAAGAAGTTGACGATCTCGAAGTTGACGATCTACTTTTTGACCTACCTCTTCCTCGGGTATGATAACTGCTGCTTTCTTGTTGTGGTTCCGTTACCTCGTGCACGTGCTCTGGGAGGACAGGCAGCCCCATATTTAGAGCTCAGCACTCATTGGCCAACAACTCTGAACGGAAGGGACTCCCTCCAAAGCTCTCCCCTTTGTTCCCTTCGTTTATTTCCGCTGTTGGTTCTCTCAAGAAGGGGTCGCCTCTTCCATCTCAGTGACTCCAATCTAAATGGTGACCATTCCAAGTTGAGCCTTAACATACGGCTTCTACCACGGCTTCTACTTGTTTCACTATGGGGCCAAGTGCCATCACTATCCTTATCCGAGAATATCGTGCCATGCAACTTCGCTAGGCTATTTGCAGGCAGACTCTGGTCAAATGCCTCCACCATTCCTAGAGAGACGTCCTGCGCTACAGAAGTGCAGACTTCATCTTGATGTTCTTGTCCTTCTACTGCTATTAGAGGTTGCCGAGTTGCATTCTTCAGAACATCCTGGACCTATTTCCCTCTTGAAAAGGAGCCAAGGATGGTAGTGAGGGATGTAATTCGGAAACCCTTAATGCTACTAAAGAGTCGTGCTTATCCTCATCCTCACCTATTCTGCACTGCTCCGCTTCATGCCTCGCTATCAAATACGCTGGAAGATAAGACAGTTTCGCGGCTAAGGGAGTGTCATTGTCGAGTTCAATTGTGGCTTTGATGTGCACCCTGCGATCCGTCGTGCCTTGGGGAAGGATATCGATCCCTTTCACGGAGATACCTGTTGAAGATGTGGCAGTGGGATGGAATAATTCGAACGGAAGTGGGATTCTAATCAGGTAAAACTAACACACAGACACAAAAGACGACAGGCCAAGCTGCGGAAAGTAGAGCAAGCATGTGAGAAGCAGAAGTAAGCGGACCAGATGGCTAAGCACCCTTTGCAGACAGCGACGTACCCAACCCGGGCCTAGTGCTCCAATTCGCTGTTGTGACAAAACATTGCTTTTGAATGCTACTTATTCTTCCTAAGTACCGCTCTTAAACCGGTTCCACCCTTTTATGCTAGTCTCCACTTGCAGGGGTATATTCGGCACATACCACGCGTCCGACAATACACTAGACATAACCGCAGACCCCGTACCGCTTAGTTGGAGAAAGACCGCTTCAGACTGGTACACGTCATACAACAAGTCGTTAAACGCTGAAACGTTCAGCAGTTGCACCGGACTTTTCGTGAGTTTGATGCGCAAAGTTCCACTGTGGTCTTGCAGATTAGACGGTGGAGAAAGTTGGAGGAGAGAGCAGTGAGGTCGTAAATGCGGTACGTACTTCTACATGTAGTTGTACATCGCCAGCGATGAAAGGAGCCTTGCCGTAAGTGGATGCGGTATGTACTGCACTGGCATCATCGGCGTCTTTGCTATGCTGCTATCGATTCCCCTCTGTCCCACCTTCAGCTCTGCCTCCAATTCCGTGATCGCATATTTGAACCTCGCAAAAGGGATGCGAAAATCAATGTCTAGGTTACCCCACACTGAGAGGGCATCCTCAGCAAGTACCTCAAATCCGATTTCGCTGATGTCTACACCTCTGACGAATTTCCTGCCGTCCACAGGGTGCATGCCAGTAGATGAGCGCATCTGCTTGACTAAGTCGGTGAACCACGGCACGTGGAAAATGTCGCCGGGAATTAGAAGACGTGAGCTTCATGTTTTGAGATGAATAGGATATGAGTTGTAGGAAGATCCTTGCTTCCCCACGCGCGCGTGACGGAGTACGTAGTTCCTTAACGATATAATAGGCCGTTATTTGTGCTATTTCTTTGTGTTTCGTAAGAAGATGAAGAAATTTAATTAAGATAGTTCTACTATTTGTCAGATACAGAAGATTTTCTTCATAGAGTCCGATAATTTTTGAAGTTGATATCGAGTCCTTTCGCCTGCAAATACAGCAGTTTGTCGCCTCCCTGCATGTACTGGCTGAGAAACCCAGCTGCTGATGTCAGATTCTCCGGAAAAAACAAGCCTTTCACTTTCACAGTTTTCGTCACTCCAGGTTTCAGCACAAAGTCCGTCAACGTGATCGTCGCCATCGAATAGCCCTCGTACAATGTCGCTAGCTTGATCTCGTGACCAAGGGCCAGAGTGTAATTCGTGGGATTCTCAATATCGGCTGTGGCGTCAACAAGAATGCTCTTGCCATCGGGGGCTTCGCCGGGCAGGTCCTGATTCAGTTTGGAGTGGGAACAGGTTCCACAGTAAAAGTTCCTGGGATTTGGAACAAATCATGTTATGAGGCTAGAAAGTAGTAAGAACCAACCCCCGCAAGCGCGATCACTTATAGAAAATCTAAATCAGAAGTCTCCATGATCTCGTTAGATTTAGAAGAACTAAAAGACTGTGACAAGTACAAATGTCTTCAGCTGTATCACCCCTTCCAGGTTACTCAAATCAAAAATGCTAAGTACAAATGTCTTCAGCTGTATCACCCCTTCCAGGTTATTCAGCCCCTCCATCTCGATCGTCTGGTCGAAGGTCAGACTGTAGCTGAGGCCAAACTTGTGCAATCGTGTATGTCCCAGCACCCGAATTTGAAACTTCTTGCTCTGAAGTAAGAGGTTGCCCATTTCTACCAGATTCTTGGCATTCAGGATCTTCAAGCGCTTGTCGACCGCTATTTCGACGGCGTTGCCATCGAGCTCTAGAGGGTGCATTTCGAAACTGCCGATTTCAGTCCCATGGTCTTCGGAAGCTTTCTTGAAGGTGTTGAGCGCTTCTTCTTCTTCAGGGGCAATTTCATCTGCTAAGTTAGAGGTTGCGACATTGCATTCTTCAGATCATCCCTGACCCTTTTCCCACTGGAAAAAAAGTAAAGGAAGGTAGTGAAAAATGCAATGTGGGAACCCTTAACTAAAGGGGCTTTCTCTACTCTCTTGTTCTCCTGCTGTTCCTCATGCTCATGTAAATGTATCTCCCCATCTCTTCTATTTCCAAGCCCTCCACCGTCTTCTACCTCCTCTACGTCATCTACGTGTTTTCGTGGACCAGCACCATCTCGTTGTACAATATTCCGACCTAATGTAGTACTAGTTCTTACGTCGCCTGTAGTTCTACTTACGCCAGCATTCCCCACGTCAGCTTGCTGAGGAAGAAGTCCTTGACCTCTTGTGGTAGTACTCGTTCTTACGCCATCAACATTCCCTACTTCTTGTTGAGGAAGAAGTGCTTGACCTCTTTTTATCCTTGTGGTAGTAGTACTTGGTCTCGGTGGGATCATATTCTTCTCTACCAGATGCATGGTCATTTTGAAAGCATCCAACGACGCGGAACAACCCTTCACTGCAGGCGTTAGCCGCATTCTTGTTTGTAGTCTTACACTATCGGGTAGCGGGTCTAGCATGCCAAGGGATATTACGTCGACTGTTACACTATGAAAGGAGGACTAATATCATACTGTCACTATACTCGTGAAATAACACGAGTCCTTGCAGTGACTTTATTGTTATTCCTACGCCTTGTGCTTAGAAGTAGAACTTGCATAGTTTGTTCTGTCTCTCGAGCAGTATGATTCAGTTTTTCCTTGTCAACATAAGAGTGGTCCACTACGATCTGTATGCCGATTGGTAAAACGAAAGTGAGAGCAAGGAGAGAAACCAGAAGGAAGATGACTCCGCCACAGACAAAATTAGGCATTTCTGGCAGGCACGGCAGTGGTTTAGAACGGCGCAGACAGAACCAATCCTCCTGGTTTTTTGTGTCTTCGGTGGTGTTTCTGCCAGTCATTGTAGTACTGCTCGTTCTTGAAGTAGAGGTCGAGGTTCTTGACCTAGAAGACGACCCCACAGCACCAACAGCACTTGTTGATGTTGTCGATGCATTTCTTGACGAAGGCGCACCGCCACCCCCTATCGAGAGCAAACCTCCACCTCGCAGATTAGCGGTCGTGGAATGTTGTCCAAGAGCGAGTACAAGAGAGAGTACGTAGTTTCACGAGACTACAAGAAAGCTGAAGCACACGGCGAAGCTTTTTCAACTGATTTGAAAAGAATCATGTCTACTGACATCTTAATCCGCCTTAATATCACCACCCGCAGCAGTCTGTTCCTGGTGCACCGTGAGCAACCCTGGCCGCGGCGCAACCAAACTGGTCAGTATTCTCGCATCAACTAGCTGTAAAGGCTGCTGCTGTGAAGGATGCGAAGGAGGTTGGCCAGGTGATATAATTTCCACTATTGGTTCCGAAAGGAGACCTCGATTGAGGTCTGTAGTGGAGAACGAAGCATCGCACATGATGGAAGGCACCAGTGCTCTTTTCTTAGACGAGGAAGGGGGCAACTCATCTTGTTCTTGCGAGGTGGACATTTTTTTGATTGATGTGATAGCGTGCGAGTGTGAAAAACTTTAACTTAAAGTTTACATATGTAGTTGTAGTTGTGAGTGCTCGCGTATATGCGTAGATCATGTTCTTATCGTTATTGTTATGTTGATGGAGGTCATCGTCTATCAGGCCAGTATTATAGGTATACCATTACGCTTACCCTAAAAAGTAGAGATCCACTACATAGAAGAAGAACTTACAAGACTTTGAATTGAAAGTCTATTCTTCCTGAGTGATTACAACTCCCGACGCTGCTCTATCATACTCATTCTCTCACAGATGATGTCATTTCTAAGGGAGACTGCTCTCACAGACGATGTCAGACCACGCCTCATACCGATTGTAGCCATGCAGAAGATCTTCATGTTGACGTGCCACTCAATCATGACAGATCGCTCATATGAAGACACCTTGATCAAGAACCAAATTGAACGCGAACATCGGAGTTCGAATCATTGTGTTATATACCCTCCATTCCGCTCGGGGTCAGGGGCTGAACTTGCTTAGTAAGTACTATCACGGTACTGCTGCTGATAACACTCTAGACTTTTTACTGTTGTTCATTACTTGCACTTGCATCAACTAGTAGTAGACTACTTTTTTCTTTGCACCACCTCAACTTGCAGTGGGGGGTTGGACATTTGTACAGATGCTACTAGAGGACGATTCGCGTTCGTATTGTCTTCATGATTTTTGTTATTACTCCGCATTGCCATTGTCACTATCAGCTGCGATTATGACTCCGGAGTCTCCGCATTGCCATTGTCACTATCAGCGACGAGCGTTTTGTTTCTGACTTCTTTCGCTAGGTGTCGGGATTCGGGAAAGGGGGTGATATTAAGTAGGGTATACACGATTTTTTAGATAGAGGAACGGGAAGCAATGAATGGGAAGTCAAAAGTTTGGACTTGGAGTTGGAGTTGGAGATTTCGCGATATTGTGATTAAAAGATGGTCAAAATTTAGTGGTGGACACTGATGTTGGACTGAATAAAATTATTCTCAAACTTGCAACAGTGTTTCTCTTTTGGATTGGTGGATCAAACAACTTCAGTCTCTTCTATCTCATCGTACAACGAACTAAAAATTCAGCTTCAGTGTCCTCTTACTTTTACTTACTTGTGTCCTCGGAAGTCCAACAAATTCTTCAGGATCACTTTCATCTACTTACAACTTAGACTTATAAATAGTCTACTCATCTTCTTCCTACTCCTCTTCTCACTTTCTATGCGAGAACACCCCACTGGTACTGTGTTCCGTGAAGGTCATCGTTGATCTTGATGTGGTATCCTGTACGACAAGCTTGTCCAGGTCGTCCGCATCTGCGTCTAGGAGCATGCGTTGGAGGAACTTTGTTTCCTCTACGCCATTTTTGGCGTCCATCAAGCCCACATGCCAGAAAGGTTCGTCTGCGTAGGGTGCCAGGACTGCATCTAGGACATCGGAGAAGACAGAGACAGGGCGACCGACTTTGGTGACGGTGGTTAGAAGAGGTAGAGGGGATTGGGAAAGGTAGAGGGGATTGGGAAAGGTAGAGGGGATTGGGAAAGGTAGAGGGGATTGGGAAAGGTAGAGGGGATTGGGAAAGGTAGAGGGGATTGGGAAAGGTAGAGGGGATTGGGAAAGGTAGAGGGGATTGGGAAAGGTAGAGGGGATTGGGAAAGGTGGAGGGGATTGGGAAAGGTAGAGGGGACTGGGAAAGGTGGAGGGGATTGGGAAAGGTAGAGGGGATTGGGAAAGGTAGAGGGGATTGGGAAAGGTAGAGGGGATTGGGAAAGGTAGAGGGGATTGGGAAAGGGAGAGGGGATTGGGAAAGGTAGAGGGGACTGGGAAAGGGAGAAACATAGTCGGCCCACCACTACAGTCAAGAAGGCAGACACGTGGGCCCTGAAACAGTGACACCAAAGCGAACCAAACCCATGGATTGGGAAAGGGAATAGGGGAGTAGAGATAGAGATCATGATGCAAGCTGTTTTTCATCAAAGATATGACTCTATTCAGGGTAGGATGAATAGGATACTGGCGTGTCGAGAACGAGTACGAAGATACTGTATAAATATGTATAGCCTTTAATATTGTCTTGAGTCACCACGAGCATGCAAAAAACCATCATCATCGGTCTTCATAATGTCACCGCAGCGCCAAAAGCGTCATCACGCAATTGGTACTTGCGGTAGCGTTGAGCCGTCTCAAGGTTGTAGAATGCCGTGTCTGGAATCTTGATTTTCGATGGCAACATGATGTTTCCCAAGCGGTCAACCGAAACTATGATCTCCCCAGGCTGTTTTTTGCGAGCGCTCTTGCTACTGGACGTGCTGGAGGAAAATGATTAGAACAAGAAACAAGCTTGTTTTTCTTCCTCCTGACCATATAAATTCTTTGTCTTTGTTGAAATAAAAGTTGGCATAGAAAATCAACCGCTTGTTTAAGTCTGAGCTTGCTGTATGGGTAGGCAAAGACACCTGCATCAGGTACTTCTACAACTAGACCTAGTCTACCTCTACCATGGATTCCTAATTCTATTATTCCAACTAGTTTCAAGTTGAAGTTCAACATCAACAGTTTTTCCACTAGTCAATCGTGTTTCAGATGAAATTCCATTTCAGTCATAAGTTATGGCCACCTGCTGATCTTCCGCAGTCGTCTTTCCGTGTTTACCATGTTTCTGTCGAAATACCACCTCGCCCTCAGCTGTTGCGGTAGCTCGAGCGTCCGTAGATGCTGACATCGACATGGTCGCCAAGTACACTTGCGATTCTTCGCTACTGCCAGAAGAATCCGCATCACGTTGTTGATTCCTGCCGCCCTTTTGACCTTCATGTGCAGCAGATGTTGATGTTGAAGGTGAAGCAGATGAAGTAGATGAACCCCTGCTGGATTTACTACCCTGCTCAACAGTCGTGGACGATGCTGAAGAAGAAGATGATGAGCTACTTTTTGCTGATATCATTGCTGGTACACCAGTAAAGACAGACTGTGCTGCACGAAGCGACCTTGCTTCTTCAGCTTCATCAGAGAAGGTTTGGCGTGGCGTGGATATGAGACCATTTCCATGCAGGTCTGAGGCAGCAGCTGCACTAGCACTCTGATCAAAGGATGCTCTAGTTCCTCCCGCGCGTCCATGCCTTTCATAAACTTCAGTAGTAGTAGTACTTCTCCTACCACCTGTACGTCCACGTCTCTTCTTCGATGCTCTAATGATGCTAGCCACGTGATCATCCTGGATTTCAGCCAGGTAAGTGCTTATCTCCGCTCGCCTCCTCCAGTCCTGGAATAAAAACGCCAAGAGACCCCCTACTAGTCCTCCAATAACAAAACAAGCGCATACAGCGATGAAGAAAACGGCTGATTTCTGATCTCCTTGTTCTACTCCTGACACGCCTAATCGACGGAGGCGGTCCCGGTGTCGCTGTATCAGATCTTTTGTAAGACTAGCAGTGGTTCTGGGAGAATGTTCTTGTTGAATTAGAGCTCACGACCCTAATCCATCTTGAAGATCATCCTGAGACCTTTTCCTCTTGTGAAACGGGCTCGGGATGCTACCGAAGATGGACTAGGGGACGAAGCCTTAATTGAATCTGGTCAGAAGGATTTCCACAACCTACAATGTCGTCAACCGGACTAACGAAAAGATCATCGTCCTCAAAGCCACCACTACCAGGACTAAGTGGACTAGATGAAGGACGACCAGAGGACGATGGACTACTACCTACATTAGAACTCACTACAATCCAACATCTTTTTTCCCTCATCTGCTTCCGTTTTCCTTCTTGAAAAAGAGTTCACAGATGGGCCAAAAGATGCATTTTAAGTGAGGCCTTAACTACTCCACCGATCAAACCAAAGAACAAGCCACTCGTTCTTCTACCTCCAGAACCAGATGTTGCTTCTGAGCAGGTATCGTCATCCAGAGGACTTCTGCTAGGTGAACTGGCACTACTACCAAAGGTCGTGGTACTATCATCATCTGGCGAATACGAATAGGAGGATGAAGATATCTTAGACGCGTACCGAAATCCATCTCGATATTCATCTTGTTCGTAGCGAACCGCTTCGATGTCAGCCGCACCCCATCTAGGATGAGAGTCGACCGTCATTTTGTTCGTTTCCGATTTGGAAGATTGTTGTTGTAATGCTGAACGTGAAGTAGGCCACCAATCTTCCAGTAGGGTTGTTGATCTCGTTCTCGTGGCTGGAGTACCAGAATTCTTGTACTTAGGTAACATCAAGTTCGAGAGGAAAGTGAAATAGATTTATGAGCTTACTTGATATTTTGCTTTCTAACCTCGACCTTCTCCTAAGTCAGGAATCTTTGATTTTGGAGTCAATATTATGAAGATGAATATTGTTGATAGCAAAATCTATGCAGAGGACCTTTTTCAGAGCAGCTTTATTGCTTCATATTCAGCCACAGCGATATGCCCTTCATCTTTTTACGAGGACGTTCTTCTTCTTCGACGATACGATTGTATTTAGTAAGTCGTGTAAGCGACTCGATCTCTCGTCACCCAGTTCGAATTCGCACGATAGAGTTTTTTTTTGAACCCTCATCTCGATCTCGCTCTCTCTAGTCTTGGGAATGGAAGAGATATTTGTGCACTCGTTTTGACGAAACAGACACAGCACTAATTAATATATTTTCGCTGTGTCCTGGATGTGAAAATGTTCGAAAATCAAACAATCTGTCTTGGCAAAAAAAAGAGTTCTGCTCCTGCGATTGCGTAATCCTAACCTAGTTCTGCTCCGCCCAGGCTTTTCAACAGACCTCAGCTCTTGGCTAGGTGTCGGATGCCTGGCATGTGATAACATCACAGCATGGCACCTTACGCGATAGAACTAAGTTTATCTTCAGTCGACCTATAGTGAGTGCTAGTGTTTCTGCATGAGCAAACAATTGAAGGCATGAACTTCGAAGAGCATCTACAACTTCATATCGTTCGCTCACTTAGAAGTCTTCCACTAGCCAAGTCATCCGACGGTCCCCACTATCAAGTTAGTTCGGGATCGCCTTGTACTGAATAAGTCCCACCTAATTTACCCATGGAACTGTTTTCTATCTACTAAACAGAGGCCCTGAGAGACTCTGGAATCAAACGCCCGGACCTCGGCAGAGGTCTGGAATCAAATTCAAAAGGCTGCGCAAGAACAGTTCAGGCAATTATTCACCGCGCTGTATGGAAGGGGAAGCATCTGATATTGCCTTTAAGTGAGCCAACTCAACCCGAGATCATCCCCCCATGATACGGCTATATCCAGCCTAAAAGCATTACTCCCCTGCTACATCTATTTATTATAAACTTCGTCTTCTTCTCCTTCCTCTTACTGCTTCCACTTGTCCACCGCCTGCATATCTGCACACGCGCCCAGGCCCGTTACCGAGAAGATGTTGAGAGCAGGACGAAAAGGGACCTCCGACGTTATCCTCTCTGTGTCGTTACTAGGTGAAAACAAGGAGAAGGGAACCGATTCCGATTGCGGGATATCATCTCGCGATACGTTCATTCCAAACGAGAAGACCGATCACGAGAAGCGCGCACATGATTCGAAAAGCGAAATAGTGTCGCTCGTGAGTATGATTCTATAAGTGCAGCAGCAAGAGCTGGCGCACTCCACAGTTGCTAAGGCAAGCATGGGATCTAACAGTGTGGTAGAATTTCTAACTTAATTATCTCGCTAGCATGTCTGACTCATGTATAATACACCGATGATATCACAACTAATTTACTTTACAACAGTCACAATTAGGAGAAATAGAAAGTAGTTGTAGTTCAATGCCAATTCATCACAAAATACGAATACGATTCAACATTTTCGTAATAACGGAAATAATTGAGGAAGACTATAACTCGCGAGAACATCAACATGATCGTCTCGCAGTAGTACTAGTAGGGCAAGCTATTTTCACACCCTTTTAGGATAATTCAAATTCAGTTCAATGTCTGTTGTGCCACCTAACCTCGGTATAAGTGTAATAAGTCAGTGTTGGTTCTTCAAAGTATGTATCTATACGTAAAAAAACAACGAAACAACTAGCTAAGATTTTCATCAGCTTCAAAAACAAGATTCAAAGGTTAAGGTTAAGGGAAAGTATAACAAAAATAAGATGACTAACTACACACATTCATCATATTTACGTGACCGTAAAAAAGTGATGGTAACTATAAAAATGCAATTGTACTAGACGATAGTGGAATTATAAATCTTCATTAGCAAGTAATGGTATAATGGTAAGCATATCCTATAAGTAATAAATGACTTGTTGATGTGGAAGTATCTATAAACAACTTGTGGTAAGAACAGCCATATTCTCAATTGCGGAGCGCTGTAACACTAACAGCCATATAATTCTCAATTGCGGAGCACTCTTCTAAGTAGAACTTCTGCGAAGTTTTTCCCATCGCCCACTCATTTTATCTTCTCTTCCCACTCAGAGGCGACTTCTCTTCAAACTGCACTGGCGCAAACTCTTGATTCTTTCTCGTAGGAGATCGATTCCTGCCAGGATGCCTCAGTCTGTCCTCGTACTCCTTTGAGTACTTATTGACAGGACCACGACCACCAGTCCTCTTGTCGCCTGAGCCAGGTTTAGCGCTCACGAGTGAAGTCTAATGATCCATCTTCCTGCGACTCATTATTCAGATCTGTTTTCCCGTTCCCCTTATGGAACTGAAGAGAGCCTCAGATTTTTATATTGGTGGAGCAGACCTATAACTAGGAGTAGGAAAAACAAATATGAATATCTCTCTAGAAAAGAACAGCGCTAAAAAAAAGTGTCTGGAGCAGATGGATATGGATTATAGAGGAACTCTCTAGTAGAAAAGTGTCTGGAGCAGAGGGATTATAGGGGAAGCCGTAACAGGTATGCCAAGTTGATGGCCACCTCCTCGTTTTGCTGCGCTTCCGGGTGACTCCATCCTACCTGTGATTCTGTTGAGCTGTTGTTGATTCGTAGTGGGCTTTGAAGGCGAAGCTGCTCCAATTGCAGAGCCTCCGAACCCGAAGTTGCTCCACAACGACTCGAGTAAGCCTGGTTGTTCAGCTGCTCCATTCGCATTGATGATTTAGAGAGTGTTCTAATCCATGAGTGTTTTAATCCATGAGTGTTTTAATCCATGAGTGTTTTAATCCATGAGTGTTTTAAAAATCCATGAGTGTCTTATTTGTTTTCATCCATGATCGGATCAAGCTTGTTTGTTCTCATCCATCTCGACTCGCTTGTTAGCTTGGTATCGGTATCCCTACAACCCTTGTATTGAATGATTCTATGGCGGGCACCAAATCCAACACCAAGATGCTGAGAGAAAGAGAGAGAGAGAGAGGTAGATAAAAACCGAGCATAATTGATGTTTTTGTCCGGCGACCCCGCGGCCAAACTAGGACCACTACCTACACTAGGACTAGCTGTACCCAAAGCAGAGGCAAAGAAGTTCACTGCCTTGTTCACTCCAGCATTAGTTTTGGAAGCTCTTGCTCCATCTGTTCCGTTGATGAGAATACTAGGTGGCGGACTAGCAGAGTTTCTGTCTGGATTCGGAATATGCAGAGTGATGCTGTCGGCACTGGCGTCGTCGCCATCTTCTGGGGAGGAGGAAGAGGAAGCGGCTCCTTCGCCAGTCTCTGGATAGTACTCACCTCCTGTTGGATTTCTAGAGTCAGCTGTTGTCGTGTTATCAATAGTCGCAATAGTGTTGGCCCCTGTCGCGTTCCTCGCGCCTTCTTGACTTATGCGAGCGGCGATTGGTTCTTAGAAAAATTTTTTTTTGATTAGTTCTAGTTTTGAATTTTGATTGACCTACAGGCTATTAATTTTTAGAGGGGATTGTATCTTTCAATCGGAATGGAACATCGTTCAGATTCACCACTTAACAACATGTGTTATGTGCATGAGCATGTGTTATGGACGAGTGAAAAGCTCGCGGCCATAATTGTCATTCTCCTCCTCCACACGCTTCGACCCAAAGCGATACTGCAATCGACCTCTCAAGGCTTTTACTTCCGCAGCCGCTGCTCTGCGTTCCGCATCTGTCATCTTGTGCTGTCGGATGATCTCCATTTTCTTCCCGTAGTAATTCCCAATCTGCTCACCTGGCATAGGTTTCTCATCAGCTTTGTTCTTCCCTCTATTAGAAGTAGGTTTATTTTGGTGTTTCTGTTTCCGGTTTCTTCTTCTGCCTTTCTCCCTTTCTCCCTTGGGAGATGATGAGGCAAAAGAAACGGCAACAGGAACAATACCCTTAACTCTACTCTCATCCATCCTGGCTTGCTCCTGCGCTAACAAGTAGGATTCTTGCTCTCTTGCTTTCCACCTCTTTTCTAGGCGTCGGCGGTCCTTTTCAGACAAATTCAGTTTGTCGAAATCGGTTTTGCGCAAGCGCTCGTCTACGTAGAGACCAGGAACGAGACCAGCGAAGTCGTCATCTGGCTCATCGACTAGAGCGGATTTTGAGGCAGGAACACCAAAGACACTAGGTTCGAACATATCGAATTCGTTGACTAAAGCGTTTTCTTCGTCCAATCCTAAACCGCCAGCGTATTTCCTCGCAGCGGGAAGTAACGGAGAGCTGCCGCCACTGCCACGTCCAGAGCCTCGACTACGTGCTGACAAGTTGCCTCTCCCACCACTAGCTCGGCTTTTCCTCATTGCATCCGCCAAACTGGCATTACTCTTGGGTCTTCTATTCCCTAAGAGTCCTGCCGCTGCTCCGAGTACAGAAGGTGCGGGATTGTCACCAGTGCCTCCACCAGAGGACAGGAAACTCCTTGTTCCACTATGACGGAAAAAAGTGTACTCATCCTCAAGAAAAGAGGCTTTTTGTTTTTCCTACTTAGAAAGTGCCTACTTAGAAGAGGATGAGTACACTTTTTCGTTTCATATCCACCTCCTTGTGAAGTAGAGGATCTACTGGATGCATTATTGAAGTTGTTGAAATCGAAGCACAAACTCGTGAAGCAGAACACCAATCCGCCAAATATCGCCAGGAACAGCCCAAACATGGTCACTACGCGCATGTTCTGCGCTTCCCTATCGTCACTTTTGGCATGGCCATCATGAGCTTGCGACACTATGGTGATGCCCACGATCAAAGACACGACTCCGAGGGCAGCAAACTTCCTCTTCGTATTGCTAGTGCCTTCCATACATAGAAGCCATTGGAAGCCGTCCTTGAGCGCTTGTCGCTCCTCGAAATCATGCAAGGTTGCTTTCTCTCTTTGCAAAAACTCAGACTGGGAATCGTCATCTGGCTCACTTGTCTCTTGCTCTTTGTGGAAGGACGTAGCTGTTCCGTCGAAGGAAGTGGCGGCCTGTGTGGAACAAATCAAATGGACAAATGTTTAGAGTTTTCGAATACAGCGAGAGCAGAGAGCTAGAGAAAAAATTACTGTTCGAGCAACCTTCAGCAGCCTGAGCCTTCAATAAAGAACATTGCTAGTTGTACAACAAGTGCAGCCTTCTCTAGTAAATATTGCTAGTACAACTACAAGTACCTCCTGTTTACTTTTCGGCCTCAGTATCTCCTCCAGCGTCATGCTGATTGCCACTGAGTCGGACTCGACGCCGGCGGATTCTTCTCCTCCCGTTGTAAAGCCATCTTCAGAAGCGGAACTTAAGCCACCGACTAAATCTTTGTTTCTCCGGTTCCTCTTCTTCCTCTTTTTCTTCTTCTTTCTTCCATTAGAGAAGAGAGGTTGTAGAGTAGAGGTAGGGAAGTTTTCGTTTTGGTTTTTCTATGATAGAACTCTCTCGTGGTCCGTTATGCCTTCCTACCGTCTCATGTTATGCCGATCCTACTTTCTCTGTTATTGTTATAGATACCTTTCCTACGTACGGTCGTTCTTATAAATATTATATATAAGAAGGGCAAAACAAGCTCAAACGGTTGTAAAAGAAGCAACAAAATAAATAACCTGTACCCTTAATTCCAGATTCAGACCCAAATAAATCCTCCTCCTCTCTGGTTGACGTTCCGAAAGTAGTGCTAGCTACAGTAGAGTGGTCACCTGGTGATGCAGCAGAAGCAGTGGGAAATTTCTTCTTCAATAGGTCGTGAGCATCTAATGTTGCGCCAGGCATTTTTCTTGGCGAGCGATGCAGGTTTCCGGATTTATCGGTAGTGAGGCCTCCGGGTGGAGGAGCAACTCCACTTCCTTCCCTATTCAACTTTTTCATCTTCTGCTGATATTTGTTGAGTTTCTTGCTACCTGCACCTCCTGCGTCTTCGTGTTCGGCACTATTTAGAGGTAGGTTTTTGGTGCTCGCTTACCCCGCTTGTTATGCCTTTCTCATCCTAAGGGAGAGAGGCATAAAAAGCGGTAAGAAAAGCACCTTTGACCTACTTCTCTTAAACTATCCTTATAATCACCAGAACCTCCTTTGCTCTGCAACAGGTCCTCCTCAAACGTGATCCTGTTCATCAACTCCTGCGGCTTCGATGAGCGTTGCAAGAGGTCTTGGGAGACGACACGACCTCCAACTTTACGGTACTGCAAAGTCGTTTTGGCGCGCTTTTGGTAACGCAAGTTAGAAGAAAAGCAGGTATGAAAAATTTTTTAAAAAGAGAAACTAGTAAAAAAGGTGTTGTACTTGTTGTTGTTAACAATGAAGATGTATCTTGATCTTGTAGTTCATGATCTGGAAGAAGAAGTTGACTCAGAAAATATCACAAACTATCACAAACACAAGATGATGACAAGCACAACTTCTTCATCCAATCATAACCAAATATCCCGCCACGCTTTCTTCCGCTTTGTCCCTCTGATACAAGCTACTAGTATACAGCGTGCTACTATCCGCCAGCTCCTGCGCCCCTCGCAACCGCAAGCGATGAGACAGGAGTTTTGTTCGATGTTGTTTCTCAGTTGCACGTGGAAGGCGTTCTAGCTGTAACTCTAAAATCCTCTCCATCTCCTCCAAGAGTTCTTCTTCTCGTTGAGTCTCACCGAGAGGCTCTAGTTGGGGTCCTCCATCTTGTTCTAGAAGAACTTGTTGTGAAGCGCTTGACCTTTCTTCTGTTCGTCCTTGACTTTTTCTTCTTTTTTTCTTCCCCTTCTCCGGACTTCTTACCTTAGAAGAAGCACCATCTTCAGCCTGTGATGTCTGCTCTTGCTCCGTCCCAGATGAGGACAGCGGTATTTCAATGTCGGTTGGTCTCGACAAACGCCGGGGCTGTGCTCTGGCTAAAGTTGTGAACGGCGACGCAGCTGCTGGACCTGGCGAGTCCTCCTCTTCGTCGCGTAACCGGTCCTCGGCATCAGGTTCTTTTTCATCAACATCTTTGATATCCAGACCTACAGTAATGCTGTCCTCAACTTCTTCATCCCCACGTTTTTCCCTCTTCTCCTTCTCTTGCTTCGCGTCCTCTTCATGCACACTAGACCCTCGTCTCCTATGCCCAACTTCTCGTAATGCCGGAACAGAAGATGGTATCGGTAACGGTGCATCGCCTTTCCGCTCTCTGGCTGCGCGATCCGGCAAAACTCGTTTGATGAAGTCTTCTAGTGGTATTTTGTCAAGGCCCTGAAAGATTTTCGCGTTGAAAGACGCCGCATCGGGAGTCGAAGGCCACATTCCTGCTTCCGTTGGACTTTGCTGTGCTACTCCAACACCACTCGGAGAGGCTGAAGCTATCCCTCTTTTTAGAGTAAGCTTCTATCCATCTCGGTCCTCTCGTCTCGACCCCTTTCCCATGAAATACAAGGGAAAAGAGTACCATCCAAGGTAGCGAGAAAAATGGAGAAAAGCTGACCATAATCTTTGGTACAATCGATGTCCTTCTTGAATAACTTTCGCAGTAGCTGGCGTTATCATCCCATCATCGTTGACGTCGCCTAGAAATAAAGCAGCGAAACGTAATTGGGTCTTTTTGCGCACTTTCGTGTGTGCTGAGAGAAACACCACTAGAGTTTGGACATTGACTACCTTCATTAGAACTGTCCGTAATTCATCCTTCAGGTGCATCCCCATACTTTTTAATGGTGCACTCAAAGATGAATTAGTGAGAGCCTTAGCTTCATGTTATCCGAAACGGTGTCGTCTTCGGAACCAGACAAATCACGACTACGTTTTTTGAAAAGGCTTTTTAGGAATGAACCCTTTTTCTCCACTACTCGACTAGTTGTATTCATCTGAGTGTCGGAGTCCTCCTGCTCGCCTTTTGAAGATGTTGAGATCGAAGTCGTCATCCCCGACTCTTTTTCTGCTTTTTTCTTCGACACAGCCAGCAACTCCCGCCAAGACGGTAAACAAGGGACACCTTCTAGAATCTTTTCAGCCGCTTTCAAGGGTATCCAGGGGTTCGTGAGGACCGGTTCAGCATTATTCGCAAATTCATCCAAGTATCGTTGATAGACGAGTTTCACGTCTGATGGTGTAAGATGCTTCGCTGCCGGCTTGACCTGTAGTTTCTCAGAAGGAGGAGGTGCTGCTCTAGGAGGTGCTGCTCTAGGACTCCGCACACCTGCTCCAGGGGGTGCGCCAGGTGCAGCTGGCGGTCTCAACGTACTGTCCGCAGGTCCGCCTCCGATTCCGAGGCTTTCTAGCGGCAATTTCTCGAGCTTTGTATCGCGCAGGAGCTTGGATGGACTGGCAGATCGGAACGTTAGAGTTGAATAGACGATCTTCAGGATCGATTTCTAAAAAAAGGTTCTTGAAGTTTTTAAAGTCGAACGTAGAGGACCTAGAGGAGATCCTGCTAGATGCTAAGAACACTGGCATTCTTCGTACCATTAAAGCTCAGCATTCAATGGTCGCTGACTCTGAACGGAAGCGATCCGCTTCTTTCCCTTCGTTTCTTTCCCCTGTTGGTTCTCTCGAGAAGGGGTCGCCTCTTCGATCTCAGTGACCCCAATCTCAATGGTGACCATTGAAAGTTGAGCCTTAATACCAAGTACTCAGTCTCAGAAGCCTCTTGCATAAGGACCTAACTCAGTCTCAGAAGCCTCTTGCATAAGGACCTATCATCACCTCCAGGTACCGCTGCCAACCCAAGAGGGACGTTTTTCAGGTTTTTCATCACAGAAACTGCCTCTTCGCCTTGGCTTGCTCGTCCGCGAGGCAGCAAAAGATTGCTACTGTCGACTTCGGCATCTTCCCGTGGTGTGGCAGTGCCGCGTTTGCCGGCTCTGCTTCTTTCTCTAGTTGTAGCACTGGTACGTTGCGGGGGTGACTTCAAAGGAGGCTGATGATTTGGATTGCAAAGTACTAGACTACGTTATGACAGTGAGGATGAGGAAGGAGGATGTGAATGTCAGTAGGAGCAGACAAAGATAAGGTAGAAGAAATTCAAATTAATCTTACCTCATCGGAACTACAAAAAAGCACTCTGACGATATGATTCACACCAGCCGAAACAGTCGATGAATACCACAACTGGCCCATGACCCGGCGCGAAGTGCTGAGGTGGTGGTGGCGGAACAGCTGCTGGCTGACTCCTAGGCGGGGCATGACTACCTGGTGGAGGCGGTGGCGGAGCTGCTATCTGCAAGTTGTAGTCTGGCTTTTTCTTCTCTTTTGGCGATCTTCCTATGGAGAGGTCAATTTCTAGCAATTGGCTGCCGCTAACACTATTTGCCGTTCCTGGTCTGGCTAAACCCACGTCCTGCTGTTGTTGAGATTTCCTAGTTTTCAATGCAGGTGCGCCATCCGGAGAAGGCAAACGTCCTGGACCTGGACTTGCTTTTCGAGAGCTTACCCTACTTGCGCTTCTTCCAAGTCTAGGACTCTGTGGCTGTCGCGGACTCGGTAGTCTAGGACTCGGTAAAACCACACCAGTCGGAGCCGGAGGCGGACCTGGCGGACCCCGAGGTGAAGGGAGCTTCAATGCCGATGCTGGTGGCGCGGGAGGGACTCGTGGAGAAGCCAAAGCGGGTCCAGCGCCAGCGTTGGCGGAATTCACGGACACTCGGTCTCTAGCGGAGAATCTCCGAGGCTCCTCTTCAGACGTTTCACCCCGTGCAGAGGAAACACCACGGACCAAAGACGAGGGAACCTGCAAATTCCGTCTTTTCGCTGCCTCTATAGGGTCCATCTCATCTTTCAAGCGTAGCTGTTCCTCTTGTTTCCGACGTATCTCAGCTTTTTTGGTGCGGATCTCAGCCAGTCTGCGAGATTGGCGCGTCTCAGTGTTAGGAGACAAAAGAGAGCCTCGCGAGTCGTCGAAAGACTGTTGCATCGACTCGTCTTGGCCGCCAGGTTCAGGTGGTGCAGGGATCTCGGAAGCAGAGACGGTGACGGGAAATAACCTGTTGGGTAAGGAACAAGTGAGATGCTAGATCAGAAACAACAAGAAAGTACTTCTAAATAGAAACAAGTAACAGTGAAAGTAATAGATAGAAACAAGTAACAAGTTGATGATGATAGACAAAACTCTCCCACTGTATAAGTAGTACAACGTCAACGACAACAAGGGCATTAAAAGAGGGTAGAAAATGAAGACTAGCCCAATGCTCAAAAAGATCTTGTTGTTTTCGAAGCATTCAAACCGAATAGTTATGGCGTTTCTCACATTCACCTGAAAATCATAAGCAGCATCTCCTACCTTGCTTTCTCCCCACCAGCACCAGCTTCGTCATCCCTCAGCCCCGACAGAGGTAGCCGCCCTACTTGTGGCGAGATGTCTGCTGGCGGAGGAAGAGGGGTTGCCGCCACTAACGGCACTCTTGGTGGCGTGACCCCACCGGAGTTCCGTCGCTTGCTTGCGCCAGTTTTCATGGCAGGTGCTGGCGAGTCCTTGGCTGGAGAAGCTCGTCTGCCTCCTGGAGTCGGGGAACTACCTTCTGCACCTGGTGTTGCTGTTGCTTTTTGTGTTTTGTTCTTCATCTCGAGTAGTTTCTTCGTGCGGGCATCATTGTCATCCTCTATGCTCGCAGGTATTCCCGCTGAAGATGATGGTGGTAGGCCTGTTGTACCTGCTGCAGTTGAAGAACTTGTTCCCCTACTAGTCGAATCTTCAGCAGGTTTACTTCCTGTTGCAGGAGCAGCCTTGTTCATCCGCAATGCCTTCAGTGCTGAGAGAGCTCCGACACCGCCTTGGTCTTGTTCACTCGTCGTTCCCGTGGCTTCCAACTTTGCAGTAGATGGAGGTGCCTTGGGAGGTGGCATTTTCATCATCCGCATAGCGCGTAGAGCGGACAAGGCGCCACCTGCATTGTTCGTATCCGCTGTGCCTGCGACCTCCTGCTTGGGGTCTGCGGTGGGAATTTAGATCTAGAGATAGACAGAAACCAAATGAAGTGAACGTACTTTCTTGTCAACGAGAATGAATAGACCAACTACAGCGTCATTCTCATGATCCTCCGGACATGGATTTGGACAAGGCATAAACACTTTTCCTCCTCACAGCTGTCGTGTCATCGTTAAACACCGGCTCAGCCTCTGGCGAATTTTCGATCCGGTGCCTATCCCGTCTTAGCACGGGATCAGACGTGTTCGGACGTGGGTCGCTTGACGGATCCCGGCTGGTGGGGGCATCGGCTGATCGCCGAGCCCACTCATTCTTATCGTTGTCAGCCATGTGCTTTTGGATTTGACATGTTCTTTTTAGGTATCATCGTTCCTTCTTGCAGCATGTTGCTGCCGGTATTTTCCGGGTTTTGTTTTTGGCAGATTGTGATCCTTGTTTTCTCTTCTTTCTTTTTCATCCGGTGGACTCCTATCTGGTCTCAAATCTGCGTCTTCAATAAGTGCGCTGCATCTTCCGGCGGAAAGGACTCGACTTTCGCCTCCTCTGAATCTGATTCTGAGTCAGGTCCTTTTAAAAAAATGATGCACGCCACTGACATTATTCAAACTAAGGAGGTCGTTCAATGCGTGGTGCGTATACCAGCACTAAACAATCGTCTACCCTACAATTTCCTACAAAATGCGTACTATTTGCCGATTTACCTTTACATCAGTTTGCACATCTATAGGGATGTTGCAACAAATCTACATAAGGAGGTCTTTCAATGAGTGTCATTTGGCTGTAGTTCTTCTGCACCCGATAGCGATAGCCTGACTCTGATTGTCATTTGGCTGTAGTTCTTCTGCACCTGATAGCGATAGCCTGACACATTCTAGAATAAGAAAGAGGATACAACTTATAGTTTTCCTATTCCTCCTTTTTCTTCTCAGCATCTTCATCTCTGTCTCCTTCCACGTTTCTATCTCCCCCATCACGACTACCTGCTACACCGCTCACATCAGTCACGCCCCGCTCCACTCCCACCGAAGCCATGTTTCTGGTGAAAAAGCTGTCAGGATTCTTTAACAGTTCCGCAGGTGACGCAAACTCCTCTACTCTTCCAGCGTCCATCACTAGGATTTTGTCACAATCCATCAGTGTCTTCAGGCGGTGAGCGATAATTAGAAGGTTTGGAGAAAGCGGCCAAGAAGTACCAGTACGTAGGAAGAAGGGTTCTACTTAAGGCAGACGTAAAATTGGATCGTCGTGTTCCAGAAAGAACATTAAAAGGTCCACAGCTTTAAAGCGTGGGCATTAGTGGAAGTGAATAGACCCGATTGAACATTTAATACGAGGATCCATAATATCAAAAACACCGTCCGATCTTTCAAAATTGTGTGCAGGATCTGCGTTATCCGCCTATCTGTCGCAGCATCCAAATTTGAGCTTGGTTCGTCAAGCAAAATAATCTGCGCTTCATTCTTCCTCAGAGCCATCCTCGCAAACGCTAGGAGTTGTCCTTCCCCAGCACTCAGGTTCGCACCATGAGCCTCGACTTTAGTCTCTAAAGATAGTCTTGAAAGCGATGTCTGCGTCTGACCAGAACTCTTTTGACATTGACTAGTATTTCTCTGTAAATCTTCAGACTCAGAGGCGTCACTGTCATGGAGTGAGGGTACTGGCAGTTCTTGTTGTGGTTCTTCGGTTTGCTCTACTATTCTCGTTGGTACTAGTTGTCTCTTAGATATAGGAGTAGTTGTCCGATCTGCTTGATGTTGGTCGATTTGTAGAACTACTTGTGAATCGTCCACAACCGCTAGGTTTTGTGGTGTTGGCCATTCCCTTGCTTCGCCAGCATTTCCGTCTTTACTAGCACCTTTTCCCGACACAACTTCATCTCGTGTTGTCTGTCGGCTTCTTGTCTGAGAAGTGCCAAACACTGCTTCAAAAGCTTTGACGATTTCTGCACTCGAATACTCGTTAAATGGGTCTAGATTTTCGCGTACTGTTCCATGCATCAAGAATGGAGATTGCGGAACCATAAAAAGATTTCGGCGGACGTGGAAGAGAGGCACCTTAGAGGTGTCTGCATCGCCGATGAAGGTACTTCCCTGCTCGAGGTTGACAAAAAGGGTTAGAGAGAAAGACATGGGGTTGTTTTTAGGATGAAAAAGACACTTTCGGTTTGTAGTTGTCCTTGTATTTTCGAAATCGTGGTCCAACTAGCTAAGTACAACTACAGAGAAGATCACGTTGAAAGCAAAAACCATGATCCATAACCAAAAAAGCATCGTACAAAACTAGAGATCATGTATGTTGAAAGCAAAAACCATGTTGATCCAAACTGCAAAAGCATCCTACAAAACTAGAGATCATGTATGTTGTAAGCAAAAAATCTGCCATAACCGAAAAAGCATCGTACAAATCGAACTTTTCCCTGCTCCCGTCTGGCCGCATATTCCAATGTGCTCACCTCTTTTCACCGTCAAATTGAAGCCTGAAATCGCTAACGGAAACACCGGTGCATATCGCAAAGCACAATCCTTGAAACGTATAGACTGGTTTTCGACACTTTTTCCTTCTTCCATCAACCTAGGTATGCTTTCCACTCTGCCCTTTGCTTGCTTTTCCTCTAAGGATAAGCTTTTGGTTTTTTTAGAGCAGCTCACATTCTAGCCAAGAAGCATCTTTGGCGTGTTATCCTTCGCTTAAACTAACATCAAAAGGGAAACAAAGAAAGTAGTACTGTATATCATAGATTTAGATGCTTCAAAAGATGAAAGAATTACAGCAAGCCTTAATCTTCACTGTTGATTTCCCCAAACCGGCTAACATGTAGACCTCCCACGCCTTCCGAAATGCTTCGATTTGCTCCTCCTGTCTCGTTTCCTGTAAGTCAAATACGCGTTCGACCTGCATCAAACCGAGAGAAACTGAAAACCAAAACAACGCAATGAGATTGCAGAAGAAAGGCAGGACGAAACAGTAGGTTACGCTCAATCCGATCAGGGGTCTGGGGATGTCGTCACGGCGTTCGAAGGCTATGACGACTAGAAAAGTGGCTACAATTGCTGATAAGACGTAGTTGATCAAGTTCGCTAAGATGCCCCCCTTTAGAGCTACCGCGTCGCATCCCTGAGCCCATCCTTGAGCCCCTTTTCCCCTTGAAAAGGACGAGGCCAAGGATGGTACTTACAACTGAGGATGCTGCAGCGGTAGCCTTAAAACCTTCTGCGACGTCTCCCAAGCGGCTAAGTATTTGTCTGCTCTCTGACAATGCTTGTTCAAGAAGTAAGACTGCAGATTCATGATCCTCGCTAAGCCTCTGCCATGCATGGCTTCGTTTACGTTGGCTAGTAGAGGTGACAAAGCCAAAGATGATAAGCGCTTGGTATCTCGGATTCCCCACTGTACTAGTCGAACAAGAGTAACGTAGAAACACCCTACGTTAGAGGTACCACGTTGCATTCTCGAGCCCATCCTTGAGCCCCTCATTCCGTTAAATTGAAAAGGAGGCCAAGGATGGCGTAGTTGAGGATGCGTTAGCCGTAACTACGACGAAAACCACTGGTATATTCCATGGAACCGCAATGGCTTGTAGAGTCACCAACGTGAAAAACACTCCTAGAAACTGCAGCCAAACCTCTGTGAGAATGGAAAACTGCGTGTCAACACCGTTTAGGTCGGTGCTCAAGGGTGCGAGGATTTTCCCGGAACTGGATTCGTCGAAGAACAGCAGTGGGGCACCTAGAACTCGAAGAACAGAGAGATCATGGAGTTGTCGTCCTGCACAAGCTGCACCGCGGAAGAAGGAGACACCCAGGACCGACGAGAAGATGGAATATGCCAATGCGCCGAAAAGGTAGCAAGATTAGAGCAGAAAATGATATATGAGTAGATTCGTAGATACTTACTTCGAGGACTATCAGCAAGATTTCGTCGAGCTGCCTTAAATATTGAAATTCGTACTCTCAAACGTATCCATCGCCCCTTCGTTCTGACCTTCTCGCAGCCAAGCGACTAGAGAAAGCTCCGAAGTACCGTAGATACCGTAAGAGACGAAGAAAAAGAAGACTACAGTAGCGAGATTGCCTCTACCAAAGACTCCAAGGTACTTCCCAAAGAGGTTCCCGCCAGTACCGGTTCGCTTCTGTTCTTGTTTCAGAAACTTGCCCGTTCTAGTGGTATAATCTTCTTTGTTCTCGTCGCTCTTTTGCTCAGCGTGGTTGCGCAATGTACTTTCAGCAACATGATCGACGGAAGCTGTTGCTGCAGCATGATCTTGCTGTTGCTTTTCTTCAGCTTTATCTCCTTCTACAGCAGCTGCAGCAGCTTGTTGTTCTTCTTTCTCCTTCTGTTTCTCCTTCTGATCTTTCTTTAGAACCAAGAGAAACCCATCTTGAGACGCATCCGAGGACCTTTCTCCCCTTGAAACCGGTCTCAGGATGCCTGTGTGTGAAGATGGGCAATTTCTTCTAGACTTAATTTCTCCACATCCCTCATATCCTGCAACATGGCAGCTGCGAAGTGCTCCCCTTCCTCCAAGGTGACGTTTGCCGTCTCCACCTCTCTGTCAATGACACCCGGATCCAGCATGCTGATCATAGAGTGCCGTCCTTTTGGAAGTGAACCTTGTTTAGGAATATGTAGTCCACCTTCTAGTTCTATGTTGGCACTACTTCTCGTTCTGTCAGCTCCCTCCAGCTCGACAACAGAAGGTACTGGTCCATCGTTCACTAGTAAGTCCTGTGCTGGTGGTCCATCGTTCACTAGTTGTAACTCCTGCATTTCTACGGAGAGTCTTTTGGCTGGTATTTTCCTACCAGAATAAGGTGAGGCTTCGCCTTCGCCAATTTGTCGTAGTCGTTGTTCTGGCATTTGGCTCCTGTTCCACCTAGGTCTCTGCTCGTCCCCTCCAGAAGAAACTAGACTTAAAGGTTGACGAAGCAGTTCATTCAAAATCTTTTTGCCGCTAGAAACAATTCATTCAAATTTTTTTGCCGCTATCTCAAACTCAAGTGAAGAAGGCTGGCACTAAAAACGAAATTGAATTGTTTCAAGAACCCGCCTTAACAGACGACCACCTTCAAATCGAAGAACTTGACCACAGCGATCGACCATGGGCTGTTGGCTCAGGCAAAGAAGCACAAACTTCAACGAGGAGGCGTCGTTGGTTTTATTTGTATCGCCTCGTAGATTCCTGAAAATCTTAGTCGCTGTGGTATGATCCACCGCTGACAACGGGTCGTCGGCAACTAGAATGGCTGGGTTTCCTGCCCAAGCACGTGCCAGATTCAACCTTTGCTGCTGCCCACCACTCAGCGTCACGCCGCCTTCACCTATCTCTGTTTCTAGTGTCAAGGGCTGGGCCATTTGGCCGTCTTCCCGTTGCTCGAGTGCTGGCACATTGGCCTTAATATTGGGTGCATTAACGCTTCCTGGTAGGGGTATCAAACATGCTTTGTCCAACGCTATCTTCACGTCTTCATCGGAGAGCCAATCACGACCCATGCGGACGTTTTCGGCTATGGTACCGGAGACGACGAATGCTTTCTGAGGACAGAAGCCGACAAGGTATTAGAGACAAAAAGCAGTTCTTGGCTCAACATCTTTCTTCTTGTGATGTAAAAACATGTAACTAACAAGTAGAGGTAGTTGTACTTCATTGCTGGAATTTTCTTCCATCATCATAACGTTCCCTCAACCACGTAGGACTCGCAAGCACTTCCCCTTTGTTCATCGGCTGCTCTCCCAAGAGGGATAGGATAAACGTAGATTTTCCACTACCTACAGGACCTGTAAGGGCTACTAGTTTTGGTCCAGCGGCAGAAGATGAAGTTGTAGAGTCCTGTTGTTGTTGTCGTTGTTGTTGTTGTTGTGAAGAGGATGATGAGGAAGAAGAACCCGCTAGCAACCTAGCATTCACTTTCGATAACGCCGTCACGTACTTCTTCTTCTTCTTTTGTTCTTCTACTTCCGCATCGAGTTCCTTGGACAGCTCCGTAGATCTGGCAAGGAGTACAGTGAGGTCTTGGACGTCGAGTAACGACGCGGACCCTGGAGGGGCTTTTGAGATTAGAAGATAATGATGGTATCATGTGTGCTCCAGAACGAGAACAACCTAGTCTTCTAGTACAACACTTGACACTGTATCTGAGCCTCGGACTGACTTCTAGCAGTGTGCCCCTCTTCATACGGTGTCTGACTACTCTGTGACCTCCTTCTGGCAGTATCATGCCCATCATGTTCATAACCCCAACTCCTCGTCTTCAATTCTGTATTCAGCTGCTTCTGGGCTTTTGAGGTAGTCCTCTACCCTACCGAGGCCTGCGAGCACGAGCATTAGGTTCTGGATGTTGAGGGGCAGGAGGACGATACTAGGCCGCATCGCTTGAATCGCTGTGATGGCCGGAAAGACGAGCTCCGCTGTAAGGACACTGTCTTCACCAGAGCCGCCGTTTGAGATTAGAAATAGATACAACAGGGTAGTTGTACACTTTAGTTGAAGCAGGGTAGAAGACTTCTTACTCTTACAACCTTATGCTTATGGTCATCATGGTTTCATAACAAAAACACATACGACGTCAGCAAAACCACTGATGCGATTGGCGGCAATGATCTCCCAATGTTCGACCCCACAGTCCGAAATCTGTGCATGGATTCGAACGCAGCCACCTCCTGAGCGCGAAGCTCTCTTAGTCTAGTGAAGTACTCACCTTCCCATGCGGCGTACTTGACTCCTCGAATGTTGGCCAACGCTTCTCGTAACACCTCTAGACGCCGGCGGACTAGAGAGACGGCTAAGGTTTCATACTTTCGAGAGGCGATGAGGTAGCGGCTGCTTGCATTAGAAGGGTGTGACCACGTGAGATGAATATGTCGTTCCTGCAGCCGTAACTGGCGTTGATCCTAGAAGCGAAGTTGTCGAAGACGATGAGATGTCCTCTCGTCCTTTCACTCTCTTGAAGGTACTCATCTTCATATCTTTTTTTTGAAGGTACGCATCTGCTTCATCAAGTACAAAGCATAAGAAAAAGAAATGTCCTTTCATCGTTGCCATAATCACAAACATCGTGCACAGGATGAAGAGAATGCAGAAGACTGCGGCTGCACCCATGTGTAACACCAAATACACAGAACCAGCCACGAAGGCGACGATGTTGGAGGGCAGAAAACCGAGTACGATCGACACTTGATTCGCTTTCCCGAAGACATCTACGGTAATCAAAGTCGTTGCGTCACCGGCAGGAGCAGGAGGAGTTGCCTGGGAGGCTGCTCGTGGTGCTGAGCCTGAAGCTGAAGGTTCTTTCTCTGCTGGCTCAGCAGCAACGACATCTTCTCCAAAGTAATTCGTCACCGGTCTACATTTCAGCATCTTCCTCAGTATCAGAGCCGATAAAGCTCCTTGCAGTTTCACCCAAATGTCTGCTGCAAATAGCCGTTGGCCATGCATCCACATAAACCCCTCCAAAAGGATCGGAATGACCACTGCCAGAACAATAAGATGCAATCGGGGCTCTGCTTCGAGTAACTCTTCGAGGACGAAGCGGACAGCCTCTGGTCGTGCGAGAGCCATGATGAGGCCTTGCGCGAGGCCAACGAAGAAACCGGATATAAGGATCGAACGGCAGAGGCGAAGGTATGAAAGACAAGGGAGAAACAAATGTGAATGGAGGTGAACCGAGGAAGACAACTCTTAAATTTAGCTACATCTTGTTTCTGGCCCCATTCACCTGACCGCAGCTGGAGAAACATCAAGTCTTAAGCGAAGGCACTTACTTCCACTTACCTCATCGATGTACTCGCAAAACTGAAAAAGCCGAGTATGGTAGGGAATAATCTCAGATAGTCGGTTATTCTTATTGTTTTCGTTACTTCTTGCATATTTGAACTATTCGAGTAATTGTATGTGTCTTGTGACCCTCATCATTGGTGGCTCATGCGTCACACATGATCGTGACTCACAGCATTCAGTATGATACTCACATTTTCATGCCTCACAACACTCAAACTCAATATCTTCACTTTCCATACATACATAACAGTCCGCAACGGCAAGCCATCTTTCTCCAGAAGCTGCACTGCTTGCTCCAACAGCTCCGCACTGGAATAGCTTTCTGGTAGTGACTCGATATCTCCGAATCCTAGGTCGCCACGCCGGTAGTTCTTCATGATCAAGTGAACCATATGCGCCATAAACAGGTTGCTCAGCCAACCGCGACGCGCTGGCGGCAGAGCGGCGTCTGCCGCCGTCTTGGGAGTAGGTGGGTCCGTCATCTTGTGTTGGGAGGCGCTTTACGTATTTACCCGCCCGCTTTATTTCGGAAGTTTTCGTTTCGCCTCACATGTATTTTGCGTTATGTCATTGGCGCTGAACGCATACTGCTTGTTATGAGGTCAAGTCCATGTTCATGACGCTTTCCTCGTCCTCCACGAACAAATAATTTTCTATCATGGTCAATAATCAGAACCAGAAGGTAGCGCAGTTGATTTTTAATTTCTTAAGGATTGCACTTTTACATTTTCGACTTTTTTTTGCTGGCGTTTTCACACCATTGTTCAACCAAAGCGGCCCCTCGACCGACTTTTTCTTCTCTCGCGTAAAAATCTCTTTGCCTTTACTTCGACATCAATGGTAGCAAGGTTGTTGTAAAACCTATTTCACAGTTGAGAATGAGATGACGTGCGAGGAGAAGGAGACCGCTGTGCTACGGTGCAAGGCACAGGGGACGTTGTCCTCGTTGTAATCGATAATTCACATATTGTCGCTGGATTTCAATTGTTCATTTGAAAGGGCATTATTTGCTGCATTCCCAGCTTGTTTGGACTCACAACTGTACATTTTCCATTGATGTCCTCATTAGCTTTACAAATCCAAATTATTCATTATCTCCGACATTCACATTTTTTGTGTTCCACCCGCCCCCGCCCTCCAATCATTTCTCTCCAAGTGCCGTTTTCAAACTTTGCAACCGCTTCAATACGCTTTGGGCCTCCGCGGTATTCGATTCTGCTTTCCGCGTCGCAGAAGGTGGAAGACCCACTAGGCGTAGGTTCTGTCCTTTTAGCGAAAACATCTGTCCGGTAGCAGGTGGCGCTGGTAGAGCTGCTGGAGACGACTTTTCTGGTGCTGTTTTTTGAGACGCAGGTCGTGGAGGTACTGGCTTCTCGCTGGCGGCGGAAGTTGTTGCTGAGGTAGTTCTCTCCCTATCGTCGTTATCATGTTTAATGGATTTACTATGACTATTTGCTGCTTTTTTACCTTTATTTTTCGCTGCAGCAAAAATGTCGCTGAGTCCCAAGTCAACAGGCTGTCCGAGAAACACGTCTTCACCTTGTGTTTCGTCGAAGCATAAACCGATACTCCCTGGCCCTACGACACTGCTCCCAAGACTATTTGTCTCACAGCTTTCATCAGGTACTCCACCTTCAACACCTAGGAAGTCTTCGTCTCCTCTGGATCTGTTCAGTTTTGCCTTATAGTTGTTCAGTGAGGACTTTACTTTCAGCTTATTTGAATCAGCAGAAGATGATGCTGATGGTGAGGATGCTGATGTTGTCTCGTCATGCTCGTAGTTCGCCTCATCCGGTTCAACAGTTGACCTTTCTTCCTCGGTCGGAGGCACCGCCGATGGTATTGGCTTCTCCGCTACCAAAAGCTCGACAGTGAACCGGCCCTTCTCGTCAGCACCCTTCGTCACGATACCGGTACGCCCGTTCAAAAGAGGTAGTTTTTGAATGCCGTAGATGCTAACAGTCGCACCGACAGGAATGGGACACTCCAATGCTGGCACTCCTTCAGCAAAAAGAGTCTTTTTCGGAGAGGGCATGTTGTTGGCTGATAGTACTTTGCTCTGTTTATCTGATCATACAGAAGCAGGTGTTAAGAGATACAGAAACACACTTCTAGAACAAGATTCTTGCGATTTCTATGTATACTCTCCATCGAATTACGACTTCCAGCACAGCGCTTGGGTAGTTTAGAGACAGTAAGTGCACTCCGGCGACGACGGGTTCTATCAGGTACTCTTTTCATTGTCTCGACGCGCGTCTCGTTTTCTTTCAGCTTTGTTCTTTTCCGTTTTCAAACTGCCTTTTCCCTTCAGCTTTTCGGATTCGTTCATAAGATCAAGATCAAGAAGCGCTTTGTGAATGAAATGAGTCGAACACGACACGAACACGGCAATCGAGCAAATTGAACGCATCTCCATTGGCGTTTGCTACTTACACTTACTGTATGTATCAAAGTAAATAGTGGGAGGTGATGGTGAAGGGGCATGGGGTACATGGGAAGGAAAATGTCGTTATCCAGATCTTATGGAACCTATGCAACTACTATGCCACTCCACATGATCAGCATCTTCATCTATCTCGGCCATTGCGAGCTACACTCCTTCGCTATGTGACCAGGCATGCCGCAGAGGTTGCACAATCGCCTGTCGCCATGACAAGATCGTTCCGCATCGCGTTGTCGCATGAAGCGATGGTGCTGGGAAGAACGCTGAGCGCGGAAATTGTCAATGTCGAACAAGGCAGTGGTGGATGAGGCAGCTTTAGAGACGAGTAGTTTGAAATTGTGAGTAAGTAGATGAGCTATCTTGTGCTCCTTATGTCATGTCATGTGCCCTCGTTTACCACGTGGTCAAGTGGATAATATGACGTCGTTCAGTCATGTTGTACCTTCTAAATAGAAGAGCTCCTTATTGTTGGAATCTATGTCTTAGCCAGTGCTTCTATGAATGGTTCCGGTATTTGGTAACCTGAATTGGATCACAAGGATTCCCATCTTGTTTTCCCTTATGATCAAGATCAGGCTGTACCAAATACCGGAACCATTCAACAGAAGGTGTAGGAAGGAAATAGTAGTTTGAAGTTGTACTTTACCTTTGAATAGATCATAAGCGATCTTTTGTGAAAAAGAACTTCAACTTATATTTAGTTGAATTGAGTTTGGAAGCTGGTTTTGGTTAATATTGTCTACGTTTTTCTCGGGATTTAAGAAACCAATCCAAATCATAAAAGCTCCTCCTGGCGGCCCGCTCGCACCTCCACCAAAGGGCGGCGCAGACCCTGCTTCCAAATTCTTATACGGACACTCTCGCGCAAAATGGCCAGGCTCTCCGCATCGATGACAAGTCGCTTTGATTGGACAGTCTCGGACGTAATGTCCAGGCTGACCGCATCTATGACATATTTCCGTCGGCGGAGGAAGAGAATGTGGACCTATAGAACCTCCAATACTAGGACCTGAAGGACCTGCGAATCTAGACGAAGGCGTTGGCATGCCACCATTTGGGTCTACGCCACGCCCTAGGCTTTTGGCTCGTTCCGCTTGATCCCTCTCCATCATCCTTTTTTTGATACTCTCGGCTAGAGTTTCTTTATCGAGGACGTGGTCCTTATTTTCGCCTCCGCCACGCCCACTTCTTCCAGTACTTCTACTTCTCCCGCTTCTACTCCTACTGCTTCTTGAAGACGATGATGAGGTAGAGCGACTTCTAGAGACCGCGGAACCCTCGCTTCTTCGATGTCCTCGTCTATGATCATCCCTTTTTCTAGAACGTGATCTGGATCTAGAACGATCTCTGTCGTCTGGTGCACCACCGTCCATACGGAGCTTTGAACTTGAAGTTGAAGAACCAGTAGCAGTAGCTGTTCTATCACGTCGCTGCTCTCCTCGATCTTCCCTGTTGGAATCCCTTTGTTCCCTAGTTGTAGCTCCACCAGAAAAAGCTGATGTACAACTACCTCTTTCGGCAGTTATACTCGAAGAAGCACCACCAGTGGCATTCCCAGCAGCAGCCCTACCAACGAAAACGTCGTCATTATCACTGTCCGTCTCTGCATCGATTAATGCCCAATCTAGGGAGACAAAAGGCTCTTGCGGCGAGTCGGAATCTTGCGTCTTATCCAATGATCTTCCTGCACCATCATTAGAGCTACCAACGTGCATCCCTGAGACCATCCCTGGATCCATAATTTCCCTCTTGAAAATGAGGCAGGGATCGATGATGTTGAGGATGCTCGCTTGGTAGCCTTAACATCAAATAAAGCATCTTTTGACGCCCCCTTCGAACTGGTCCCAAAAACCTTTTCGATGTCCTCAAAGAACTCTTTTCGACTCCGCTTGATCTGCTGCCGTCTTGGTTTCGGTATCAGGTATTCCAGATTTTCCATCTCGTAATGGTAGTAGCTGTGTCTACCGATCTGGTTCCATACAGACGCCAACAAACCGCCACCACTCTTTTCTGGGTGCATCAGCTTCTCCAAAGGTATACCGTCTCCTGGGGGGTAGTCAAGACATTGAGCACAGGTAAATCGCTCAGTGTAGGCGTCCATACAGCCGGCTTGAGTCAAGGAGGATGTCGTGGTTGGGACACGCTGTCGACAACGGCCACAGGTTCGCGAGGGTTGTTCTGCAGCCTTAGCGCTGTCCGTACTTCATCTTTCAACTGCATCCTTGAAAAGTATGGGGTCCTCCTTTTCCCTGACGAGGTGGATACTCCTCGTGGTCCATACATTTCATCAAGGACGCAGCGTGGTCCAAAGATGTACTTGTACTTATTACTAGGTACATTATTAGCTACATGTACAAGAGCCTTAACATCATCTTGTTGCTGGTCGTTGTGATGAGAAGACGAGGAGCCTCTGTTGTGGTTGCTCGGAGTAGGAGGACCCATCTTCTTGCTTGAGTAATGCCCTTGGCTGCTAGGGAAAAATAATCAAAACTGAAGATGATGGAGACGAGATAGTACTGAAGGAGGAATTCTACTTTAAACTGACCCTACTCAAATTCGTATAAATCAACAACATCAACAACAGCTTTGTGGGCTATTTCCAAGTATTCTCATCGATCCATCCTGTCCCTGTCGAGTCTGTGATTGATTGTGACACTACTTGATCCACATTACACTTCCGAAGGCCACGAAACGGGTTTCATCCGATAGAGTTTCTTCTCTGATGAACCTGAACACAAAGTAATACCTGTGTATGCCTACTGCTTCCTGTTCCCACCTCGTCCTACAGGAACCAGTACAAGAAGCATTCAAGGTAAGAAGCTAGTTGTATCAGCCAAAAATACAACATGATGTTCATAGAAGGTTACATCATTTTCATTTCTTATTTGGTCATTGGTATTATTGGGGTTGACGGGCACTGTCACTGACTGCTGCATTTCACAGGTGCTGTGGCCAGCAGTGGCTGCTCAATTGTTTTATTCTGTTCATTTTATGAATACCGTATTTTTTTGTCTTTGAAATAGTTTTTGTGATATTTTGAGTGAGGTCGTCTTGACCATGAGGAAGGGGATCGATTAGTACAAGTTCTCGTTTTCCTGGTGCAGCACGGAGGAAGCTCATCAAGATGAGGGCTATTTTGTTTTTAAGCTTTAAGTTTATGAAGACAATTGCTTGCGTGCAACATGATACATTAACTTTTTTTTGAGAATAAAGCACATGAATATCAACGATCAATGAGGCATTTTGTCAACAGATGTAGAAGGTCTACTAGGACACCAGGTTGAATTTTTGTGAAGGTTTGTATACAAGCCAGTCACGTCGTTGAAGGAAGGCGATTCCTTCAACTTGAGTGACGACCTGTACGCTGGGATAGGAACTCGAACTACACCAGACATATCATGATTCAATGCCTATCCACCTACGTATGGTCATGTTCTTGTTGCCATAGTAGTTCGGTCCCCCATGTGCTCGTGCATGCCCCCAACCCATCAAATAACAGGGAAGCCTATATCTTCGGCTTAGAAGTCAATGCGTTATTGAGAGACAATAAGCTGCTTCGCCTATATGACCCAGGATGAGTAATCATCACTGGTATCGTTCTTCTTGCCGGCCAACCTTGAATTTCTATTTCTTGTTGTTCCCCCGATCGCCCATTACTGGGAATACTACTAGAACGAGCAAAGTACATTCTTATGTCTATCATGATGTGGATGAAGACTGGCACTAGGAGCCTGTGCTACTGCTTTTTGCTTTGGTCGCTCAAAAAATGGGAATTCACAACTGCTCTCATGACACGTTGATACATGGATGGTTACACAGCTACGACTTCTATTCCTACATGTTAATATTTCGTGCATGTCTAGATAGCTTTGTCGTTGTAGTAGGGAAGATACAACGAGCAGTAATGCCATGTTTGTTTTCAAAATTTTTCGATGTGCGGTCTAGACTTACACAATCTAGTGCTGGGAAATTCATTTTCTCTATTCAGGGTAGCGGTAGTGCAACTACAAGTACAACTACATCTAGTTCTAATTCTTTCTTAAACCTAAAATCTATCTAGAATGTCAATGTTGAATACTAAACCAGACGAATCAAACAAACATATTAGCGATCATAGCGAAGTTCATTTGAATATGAAGATTACAAGTTAGAATGCGAAGCCAGTTAAATATTATCACAGAGCAGCGTGCGCCGTGCGTGCTCTTGTTGCGCATGGTCATGCTGCTACAACTAGTTAACGAACATGTGAGGTTTCGGTTTGATGATGAAGTAGGACAACGGATAACTCTAAATAAGATCACCCGCTCCTAACCTTCTTATATACGATAGCTAATACCAATACGTTCTTAATGTTCTTGCTCAGAAGAAGTGTATCTAATATCAGAATGAGAATGTAATAGTTCTGTTTGAATACTGCTAGTGTCGATAGGTAATGCACTTAAGAATATTGTGGTGTTGATGTAAGGAGCTCATAATATTGAAGGTGATAGGCGCCGTAATTCTATCATGACTCAGACAGAGGCAGACGAGGTCTTTTTTAGATCATTTGTTCAATTCGAATAACTTCAATCATTTCATTTTTGTCAGTCATGTGAAGCAAATAGATAACATAAATTGCCAGTCTCTAATACTAATCCTGTGAAAGTGAATCATTCGTTTTCCTAACAAGTTCTCAAATTTGTTCGTCATTTGTCGGCGACATCTGCTTGTTCAGCTCTGGCTGCTAGTACTACTTTCGGTAGGCGGCATCAGTGTTGCCGGATGGTTTTCTAGTACTTGCGCTGAAGAGTGTTACTAGAAACTGAAGAGTGTTGACAATGAAGTAATAGATAAAGTACTTGAAGAGTGTTACAGAAACACTACACACGCCGTGATGTTGTCCGCACTACCACGGTTCTTCGCGATGTCTACGAGGTTCTGCGCCACTCGTCGGAGCTTGTCGGCGCTATGGATTCTTAGAGGAAATCGAATGTAGCAGTTTCAACAACTCAGCCCTCATATACAGATAAGCTTTGAAGCAAGCAGAGAATGAGAACTCAGTGCTTGAATCTGTACTAGATGTACACCTATCTCTATCAAATCGAACAAATGAAAATGGGATCGAAAAAATCCGATGTTCCATGAAAGAGCATTCAATGAAACAGCATTCCATCACCAGCCATAACTTCCTATCCCTTGCTAGCACGATGCGCGCGACATCGTCCTCATCCATCACGTCCCATAGGCCATCGCTTGCTAGGCACACGCAAACATCGTCCGACTTCAGCTCTCTTTGCGCAAAGTATGGTTTGCATGTCACTCCAGAGGATTTGAATGCGAAGTCGCCGAGGGCCCTGTAGAGGCAAGACCGAGTCAAGACAGCAAAACCAATCAATATTCAATAATCTAAGAGCAGTGGTGGAAAGACCGAGTCAACACACCAAAACCAATCAATATTTTTTTGAATAAAATATTTTTAACTACAACAGCAACACACAGTAACTATAACTAAGAAGATTAACAACTAAGATATTCATATTCATTACCTTGTGAGCATCAGCTGTCCTCCCACTCTCCCTCTACTGATGACGCCGCCTTCTTGCGTTACGCGTGCATACTCTTGTGGGTCGGAGGCCTTGTGGTCTACTGTCAATCGCTCTCCACCAGTTGTGGCATTCACCAAGCTGGCTCTAGAGTCTCCTACGTTTCCGATAAACAGTGTTCTGGTCGGCGTTTCTACGATTAGGTCGCCGCCGCGGAGGATGAAAGTGGAACAATGTGGTCTGTTCATGACAATGGGGACGACCTCCGTTGTAAATGAAATACAAAAAGAACCTACGGGGGACCACGACCGTTGGAAATAAAATACAAAAAGAGCCTACCGCTCAAGGTTCAAGGTAGAAGGTCCACGGCTCTACGCCCATGCCGTGTTGTCCGGGACGAAACAGGCTCGAGTAGAGCCACGTTGGAAATGAAATACAAAAGTTTTTGTATTTCATTTACAACCTAGTAAACGTCGGAGATTTATTCAAAAACGTCGGACGACCATTGTGTCTAAAATCACATAATCATGTAGATTAAGAATTGGTTCAAGGAAGTCCATGATCATACTGCAAGTACAGAACTACAGAGGGATCGCATGAGGAAGGAAGATAATTTCTATTCTACAGGTATGACGATGATGTTAGTCGGTTCGGAATTGTCCTACGACTTCCCTGAATCTCTTCTGAGTTTTACGGATTTCCCTGATGTCTACAGGTACACATCAAAGTAAAAACCTAAAACAACAACTTTCAATCGTGCCCTCATAAGATTAGTCCTCTGATTCGGTCCCACTGCCGTTCCTGCTGCGGAACTATGCGCTGGACTAGGTGGTGTGTAAACTAACCCCACAGTACAGGTCGTTCCACAGTGCCACGCACACCCCAAGTGTCGTAGTTGGTTATCAATCGTCTGAAAGGCTCGCTCAAACACTTTTCCCATCTGCGAGAACTCGAAGTTCACGGCGCGCATCTCCTCTAGGAAGAGCTCGTGCAGATGCGCCAGTGTGTAGTCGACCACAGCCTTGCCACCATGCCCATCGTAGCAACCGTAATAGCTCCAACTAGGATCACCTCCGAAGGAATCCTTGATAATGTAAGCGTCTTCCATAGCTGGTCTAAAACCTGGATTGGCGTCCTCTGCACCATAAGCACGCGGCTTGATCACGGCTAATTGTTGGTGTCCCGGAGGTTAGAGGAAAATTGCTGAACTTGAGAAGATAGTGGAACAACTCGAACTTCAACTACTTCAGAAACTGTTGTACTAGACATTAGAGAACTACTACATTGGAGTCTACAAAGATTCTAAATGAATCTCAGAATCTAGCTATAATTAGTCTTGTACGAAATGAAGAATATTAAGAAAATAGATCCAACATAAATTCCCTGTCCTGCCGCTTGTTGCAAACCCGCATTTTCCGCTCCAGCGAGGTTACCCGCTGATGCTGTGCTGTGCAGTCCAGATCCGTTATTTCCTGCAACTCGAAGGTCGCGCTGACTAGTGGAGTTTTGTAGCATAGAACCACCTCGACCCATGGGTCCACGACCACCTCCGTCACTCATTAGGCTTTGACTCATCATACTTTGTTGATTCAGGCGTCCGCGATGTTGTTGGGAACTAGCATGTTGAGTCTCGTGCTCGCTATCGGATGCGAAAGGTGTAGATTGATCGCGGCTGCCTGCGCGCTGGCCACGTACTGTGCGGAAACCGAAGCCAGCAGGTTAGAGAGAGAAAAAGATTACTTACTTAAGATACTTATACTGTGCGGAAACAGAAGCCAGGAGGTCAAAAAAGTCAGGAACTGTACATCAATCAGTACAACTGTACACCTTGCCATAATTAGCCAATGTCAAATTTTGCAATCCACGTCCATTCTGATCCCAGTAATTCACCTCCAATCCCTCGTGAGTTCCTCCAGTGCGTGTGTTCCCGCCACCGCCTACGACACGATGAGGCGCAGATACCACACGTGGATTTCCCTCAGGTCCACTGCTGCCGCCACCATGCCCACCATGATGCCCTCGGGCGCCATGGTGGCTCTGACGCTGAGTATGACTGCTACCGGATCTGACGGGCCCAGTGCCAAATCTGTTGGCGTAGGTCTGCTTGGCTTGCGTAGGAGTGCTAGTTCTGGTGCCACCACGAGGGGGTGCGAAATCTACCTGTTCGACTGAGCGATTGCGAAGTCGTCGTTGGTTCAATAGCCGTATGAAAGGCGTCAGTGATTGAGGATGAGGGACTGGGTGGATTCATCACACGATGTCAATACATTGCTAGTGTGTTTTCCTCATCTAATTCCAAGCACCGTATTTGTATTTCTATCCCCAAAACAAACCTGTCATCTAGTACTTCTAATTTCTTTCTTTAAGTCTTGAGGACTGAAAGAGAAAGACCAAAAATCTCAACAATTTTCAACTTCATCCTACTCTGATGCACGATCTCGACCTTCATCAACATCTATGGCATAAAACTCCTTCCTGTCTCAAATCCGCCAGTAGTTCCACGCATCCTTTGTCCATATCCGCTAGAGCGCACGCCCTCAAGCAACCCTTGTAATGCATCTTTCGACTCTACGTGGTGATCGCGGCTAAAGTGTTGTCCACTACGGTTGTGGTGATGTTGCGAGCGGGACATGAAAGTACTTGGGAAAGGATGGAGGGATTGGGATTGCAGCATGGGGAATCAGGAGATGACGCGTCAATGCTTGTTTTCCTGACTTGTTCATCTTTTACTTAAAGATGTGGAGCAAAGAAGTAAATTCTTTTTTGATGTTAGTCGATTAGGATTTTGCCCTGGGATTTCCCTGAAGAGGAACAAAATACTTACCCGTGATCTACTTCTTATCCTGACAAGTGAGAAGTTCCAAAACCATCCCCATAACATGATGCGACGCGTTGCCTTGGTTGTCGAGAAATGACGATCGTTCGCTCGAGCGCATGTGAGGATGCTCTTTGGCTAGGCGTCCAAAGACGAGATTGCCGGTCGCGGCCAGAGGCCGCGGTTGACCCTGTTTTAGCCAGGACATTTTTTGTTCGTTCTTTTGAGGAGGTGACTCCTCTATTGCTTCACTGCGTTTTGCTCACGTTGTTGTGGTAAGAGACCCGAAAGATGGAATAGTTCAAAAATATTGCTGAAAATTTTTCATGAAAATAGCAAGTGGAACCTCGACGTAGCCTTTTTGTTGTTTGGGAAGTCTTCGTTTGTTCAAATTGAAGCACGAGAAAACGGTAATGTGAAGACGTTGATTTTTAGAATGTGACTAGTACAAGAAAAGTAAATGGAAAACTCATTGCTGCCATGATTACTACTTATCATCCGCATATAAGGGAAGGGGGTGAAAACAAAAAGGGGAAAGGGAATCGCACCTAGCAAACTCTCATCGACTTTGTCATCCTGCTACAGCTACAGTATCAGATTTTTGGGTGTGTCCTATCTCTATGTATGATGAGTACTTAATTTTAGGACGGTGAGCAGCTACACCTACATCATGGAAAGAGAGACATGAAAACAGTTAGATTATCATTCCACTTTCGAAAGCTGCCTGAATTAAGAGGATTGGCGCAGGAGTGGTGGGGGAAAGGCGGACACCTGGTACCGAATAACGTTGCATACAAGTCTCCTCGACATTTCCTACAACCACGAGCCCGAAGCGACATTTCAACGCTTTACTTTGATGGATTCTTTCTCTTACGTGCTCATGTTGATGAACTCTCTCGTCCTCACCTGCCGACCCGACATAGCTTTTTCACAACCGACATAGCTTTTTCGCAAAGTACAATGCAACACAATGTTCGCAAATGTACTACCAACCGAGAGTTTGAGACATTCCACCGATAATCGCACATTGCTACCTAGAACACAGGAGCACTCCTTATCTAAGTACATCAGACAGCTCAAACTCAACGAAATCTCCTTGTTCTTCATTTTTCCTCTAATTTGTATGTAGGTTATGGGCGTTCTATTTGGGGCAACTCCTGGTTTCTTTTCCAAATAAAATCTAAATCAAATATTCTAGTGAGGATAGCGGGATCCTCCCTCCGTCGTCTGCACATATTGGTGTGTGGCAAAACTACGCACGAGGATTCATGCGAAGCGCGTCCTACGTTCTTCAGGTTCGATGCGCATTGAAAAATTCGATGAATCCTTCCATCTCCCATATTAAAACGAGAGCAACGAACTCACAAGGTGTTGCTGAAGCTGACACAGCACGACCCCCCTTCTGCGGATGACACACAGGTGCTCCTCCTGCCCTTGGAGGTCCATGTAGTCGAGACGCCATCGCTTCTTTTCATACTGTCTAGAGGAAAGTGAGCTTGGCCCTCCAAATGGAGGGTACAGAGCACCAACACTACTCAAATATAACTCCAGTATGTAGGTAAAGCTGTCTACGGGCAGAAACTGGATGTTTATGTACTAGAAGAAACTGATTCTAAAAGTTGACCGACATGTAACTTGTAACCTTTCAATACGAAAAAAGGATACTCTAAATCTAGGAATCTACTAAGTCAGCGCATCTTGTCCCATTATAGTTGAATGTTTCAAATTATCTACTTCAAGAACTACATAGTAATTATGCTTTTATGGTATAATGAATCACAATGTAGTAACTCTACTACTTCTTAAACTAGTAAAAAAGGGTAAAATGATGACGAAAATAAAAAGTACTAAATGATGAAAAGAAGTGTAGTCACAAGGAAAAATCGCACAGACATCACTTGAAAGAGGTTCATTTTCAAGGAGTAAATCTGTACTCATCTGCTCCCTGTCGTCTACGCCCACTACCCAGTATCGTAGCCTGTTTACACGTGGTCCATCAGGTTGCTGAAGCTAGTCTCGAGCTCGGTGACAAGGGCTCCAAAGGTGTTCTTGAAATGCTGGTCGGGTTGACGCGGAAGCTCGAACTTCATGTTCGTCATCTTCGTGATCTGCTCACGCATGACCGTGTAGATGATACCTTAATATGAGATTATGATTATCGTGGAAGATGGGAAAATAAGTAGATTCGATATGTGTTCGATGGGAAAATAAGTAGATTCGATATGTGTTCTTACAATCAGTTTCTTGAAGCGTCTATGTCTAGCTCTCCCTCAAAAAAATTCAAAAAAAAGTTCAGTGCAGACTGCCTAAAAAAGAGGAGACCCAGACCGGGCAACATCATTGATTCAATGTCAAAAGAGGAGACCAGGTTGCCAACATCAATGATGAATTGAATCTATTCGGCGAGCTGCCTAAGATTTTGCCAACATCAATATGAAAATCGGATTACCCCAGGTAACTTTCTTCTCTCCCGTAGACTCGACAATCATCTTTTGTGCGGTGTCGTGGAACATGGCGATGACCTTCATCATACCAATGGTCTTAGCCAATGGGCACATGAAATCGTAGTCTGAGAAACCGTTCTGCTGCAAGAAGTCCTCACGGATGATCTTGGCAACTTCGAGCGTGCACTTCTGATCCTCGGAAAGGGAGTCCTTACCTGGAGGGGTTGGACGAGGTTTGGGTGGCTGTTTCCTGGTTGATGCTGGTTGTATGCTAAGCACAAAAAACGTCGAGAAAAACTTCGCGCTACTTTGTGGATACGAAAAACTCAGCTGAGCGGTTGAAGTATTCGAAAAACTGAAATTTAAGCAAGTAACTGAAATAAGAAGTGACCGAGATACTGATGAGAAGGAAGAGTAGCCCTGTTGATGTTAAGCTATAACCTCCCTTATTTCAGTCAGTAAATCGGTTACTTTGAGTTTTCGAATAAAAGCAAGACGATTCAGTACCAACCAGCTGCACAATTTCCTGCAGGTCATCTTCCTTCTGCAAGATCTCCTTGAAGGTCTGGACCAAGCGGCCGTACTCCGGATCATAGTTGGCTTCGAAGAAGGGGCACAAGATTCGCACATACTTCGAGAAGGAAATAGTCCAGTCCAAAGACGGGAAGTGCTTTCGCTGCGCGAGCTTCTTGGAGAGACCCCAGAAGACTTGGACGATAGAGAGAGTAGCGGAAGTGACGGGATCGGGCATTAGAGAGTGACCTCGCGCTTATTTCGTCGAACTACGTAGGATAAAAACTTGAGAAACAAATCTTTAGACTACGTGTTCGAGCTCGCACAACTAGTACTCTTCCTATCCTATATATTTGTCGAAACTACAATATAACTGTCGAAAACGAAATGTCTGCATTTACTTAAATTTGTGCCATAACGTCATATCACCACCTGGCGGTGAGACGGCTCCAACGATGGAGATACTACCTTCACGCTCCGGTGTACCCATGCAGTTGCATCGACCAGATCGCTCGTAGAAAGAGGCCAATCGAGCACCCAAGTAAGCTGGGTAACCGCTATCTGCCGGCATCTCACCCAATCGACCAGCCATCTCACGAAGCGCCTCAGCCCATCGGGAAGTAGAGTCGGCCATCATACCAACGGAGTATGAAAAGAGAGCAGAGGCGACTCATTGGGTCCTCTGGGACTAATTCAGGATACAGGATGATGATGATGATGATAATGATAATGATGTTTGTCGATTCAGGATACAGGATAAGAGACAAGGGGTAGGGGGATTGCGAACTTATCACTAGAATTCGAGATGACCGCAGCACCTACTCCTACATATTGACGAGTGTGAACAATCCGGGTCCTATTTCTCCTCTTTTACGTTTAAAAGTTACTTTAAGATCATTGATATACCATCGTCAATCCGGGTCCTATCTTTCCTCTTACGTTTAAAAGTTACATTAAGATCATTGATAGACCAAATGATCATCCCTTTATTTCCACCATAAGTTGAATCCCTGATCACGGAAATATTCCGCGGTCGTGACACCTGTGTAGATGGAGGCTTCACGAGCTGCCACAGGCATGTTGGAGACGTTAGCCACAAGCGTCGTTCGCTGCATGATCTCCTCTTCCTTGCCTTCGATGAGGGTGGTCAATTCCGGGAAGTCGCACAGCACTTCTGCCATCTCGTTTCCTCGCTCACCGCATCCGACGTAGACGACGACATCTGTAGAGATGTGGGGAAAGAGATTTTGAAAGTCAGTCTGTCTGGGTGTGGTGAGACCACAGGGTAGTTCTTGGGTCGTTAGGGAAAATGATTATGATTTTCAGTGTGAGACAGAGACAAGAAATTCATATAGAGTGAACAACCTGAGGACCAATTATTCGACGAGTTGTCACAAATCTACTTAAAAAAATATTAGCATTAGCTCTAGTACCGGTATTCGAATATTTTGACAAGGCTTGGGAAATGACGGTCTTTCCGCAACCGAACGCACCGGGGACAGCTGCGGTTCCTCCAAGGGTCATAGGGAACAGGGCGTCGCAGACACGCTGGCATGTAAGCATTGCGACTTCACCTGGTGGAAGAGGCGTTTGGAAGAAGAGTCGGATCAATCTATTTCAGTGACCGAGGTAAACCTCTTTAATACAAATACAGTGTCAATAACTTGATTTGGTTATATATAAGATAATGAAAGAGTTGTAGATCTGGAGGATGTAGATGTACCTCTCAGTTTCTCCTTGACCGGTCGTGCCTCACGCACTGGCCATTGGTGCATCATCTGCAGCTTCTCCTTCTGGCCTGTGGGCGTGTCCAAGACCAAAAGATCGTCCAAGATCTTGTAGTTTCCGGCTGGGGCCAAGAAAGCGACACGACCCTGACTACGCGGCGGGACCATGATACGATGCTCCCGGAATAGACCGTTCTCACGGACGATACCAAAGATGTCGCCACCTGGAAATTCGGGAAAACATCAGGGGTCTGCTCGTGATGTAGTATTGTACGCCTTTATTCAAATTTAACGAAATCAAATGTTTCTACCAGTCATCATATCTCCCAACGGGAAGGGTCGGAACTGTAGATACTGTAGATACTGTATAGCTTCTGATGTAGAAGATACTTACAGTACTGTTTTTACCAGTCAACATATCTCCCAACTTAATTCCCGGGAAGGGTCTAAATTCCCACAGCTTGGCTCGGTTCAAGTTGTCCACCTCCACACCCCTGCGGATAAACACATCTCCTGTGTCATTCATAATACGCTCCAGGGGTCGTTGGATACCATCATAGATATCGTTCAAGATACCCGGTCCGAGCTCAAGGGACAGGGAAGAACCAGTGGAGAAGACGGGGTCACCGACGGTCAAACCAGCGGTGTCTTCGTAGACCTGGTTGTTGTGGGTCGGTGAGGATGGAAGATTTTAGGGGATGGAAGATTTCACATTTCAGGAAAGGGGTGGTGTGTCTATTCCATACATAGCCTCAACCTCATGACAGATTGTCAATGTAAACGTTGCGGGGGCTCCTCAAGAATAGCTGCAGAGTCGAGTATTGAAATCTCGTGGAGCGAAGAGGCATAAGAGCAATCGTCCATAATCAGATACCTGAATACTGGCCGTGTCCAATTCCAATCGGATGATTTCACCAATCAACTTCTGGTCACCCACACGCACCAATTCAAACATCTTACACCCGCTCATACCATCAGCGACCACCAAAGGTCCTGCGACCTTGGCGATAGACCCGATTTGTCCTGCCGGCATTTTTTCTGATAGAGGATCTTTGTTTACTAAGAACTTGGATATTTTTGAATAACAACTTCTACTTATTTCGTTCTTTTAGTTTTGAGAAACTGCGCAAAACGAATCGCGGACCTACAACGTTGATGAGTATCAGGGAAGGCGTTTGGATGTATGCAGAGATGATGAAGTTGATAAACTAGCTAAAGCTAAGGCTTCTTCTTTACCGACGTTGAAGTGCGAGATAATATCTCCATGAATATATTCTTGTTAGTTGCTCTTCATGGCTGGCACAAGTGTCACGACAACGTCAGCAGTATCTGTTCTCAATCGGTATACATGCGCCACGTCGACATTTGTTGTCGGCTCCAACTCCAGGAAACTTCTCCCCGCTCGCGCTCGCCTTCGTTCTGCCTGTCATAAATTTGCCCACCTCCAGCTTATTTGCGTACAGAGATGCCTGAGCGCCAAAAAAACAGGGATTACTTGTTCGTCCGTCCTTGCTCATGCAAGAAAAAAGAAATTAAATAACACAGACATCGCTTCTCTGCACACTTGTCACAGAGTGTGACCATGTGCTTGTGCTGCAGAGTGTGACCATGCGCTGTACTAGCGCCGTCAATTCGTTGGCTGACACGGAAAAAACATCGACCAAGAACACTCGATCGCCAACAAAAAAAACCATGACCTCTATACACCCCATCCTTGCACTTGTGCAGCTTATTTTACTGCTCAAGTATTATTCATTGCTCTTTCCCGAGAATCGCTCTGATATCATCGACAATCTCACTTCAGTTTTCGTATCCAACAAGAAATCGAAATCCATCGTAAAGATAGATCTATTTGTACACCACGTTCTTACACAACCTGGTCCTTCAAAAGGCCAACTCGTTATCGTGAACTACCACTGCCACTAGAAAGTTAATTTTGGGGTCATCGGTCAGACCTAGACCTACAACAAGCTAGTTTATCATTAAACACAACATGCGGATTAAACAATCCTTCTTAATACGCCCGACGTCGTTACCCCATAAGAACTGTAGACATTAGTTACAATCAACGCCAAAGAAAATTACGTAGCCTTCCAAGACTATTATCATACAGGTTTTACTGCTACTTATTCTACTCAACACATGTACATACTTGGTGCCCGATTTTTCGATCTTCTCTTTTGATAATTCCGATTTAACTACAGATAAGGACTCATTGACATTGATTACGATTAGCAAATTACAATTGGTATATTCAGAATCAGACCCACATGGAATTTCTCTACGTCTACTATCAAGTCAATAACTTTAAGAACTATGCACAGCGACGAGGTAAGTATTTATGAGAATGCCAATAATCAGAGCAAGTACAACAAACCGCTCTCGTATTTTTTCCTTTTCCTTTTGTTCACAATTTCTAAATCCAAAAATAATGCAGTCTCTACAGCAGGACGCAGTTTCTCATACAGCTCAACGCCTCTTTCGCATCCAGCGACCCAGTCTTCCTCCTCGCCTTCTTCGAAGCATCTTCGTGCGAGTACTGCTTACACTTCTGCGTGGCCGCAAGACTTCCGGGATCGGTACTACTGTTGTCACACCTCGCTCTTCCAAAAGAGACCTTCTGGTTGTTATTCCACGATCACTATCCTCGCCTACTCGACTTCCTCTTGCAAGAACTCCATCTTTTATTCCCATCAGTTTCCTGCTCCTATTCCTCCTACCAATCGTCTCTCGCAATTGTTTCTCTGCGCTCATCAGCTTCTTCACGTTACCATAGGTAGACAAAAAGTCGCACTGCGCAGCTGAGCAGGTGCTACTTCTGGGACCTGAAAAGCCCACATCGTCTCGAAAGGCGATCTCATGCGCCTTCGTGGTCCCTAGGAAAGCGCTTGCGGCTGCGCTGCCAGGAGCACCATGGATCGTGGCGTTGTAGTTGGAAGTTAGAGCAGGCCGAATTTGGAACATTCTTTCTCTCTTTCTTCAATCTGGACAACTTGTTGTCTAGGCATCGTCCGAAGATACGTAGACAACACCTGTTCTTGCATTGCAATTTTTGGAATTATCGATGTTTTCCGCTTCACGTAGTCATTCTCTCATTCCATAAATAACAATGCGTCCAAAACGCTTGTTCTCGCGCAGCAAGCTCGGTTGCGTAGGTGCTCTGCTCCGCAGCACCACACCACTGGTTCGAAATCGAGCTCCAAGGTGAATTGGAACCGAAAGGCTGCCCTTTTTCTTCCAGATTGTACTTGCCAGCGACGAAACCGGTGGGTGGCACCTGGTGGAGTGGTGATGTACATGAAGGAACTACTACCCTTCGATTCACGACCCTTCGATTCATGAAGTCATCATGCTGTGCTTCAACACAAAGTACTACTTGTACAAATATTCATAATTATATAATAGAGCAGTTTATAGGGGTGCCAGATCCGGGATGGGATGGATCGGATGGATCGGATGGAACGGATGGACTTCCCACCATTTCAAGTAGGATCGGAAGAATCAGGGGGGTCCATCCGATCCATCCGATCCATCCAAGTCCATCCTACATCCGTTCTATAAACTACTCTAATATAAATAATTGATTCATTAACATTATACCTGACAATCCTCCGGCAAGTAGAGGTAGCATGCGCCGTCCAAATTACTCCCCAAAGTGCCCAAGTCCGGTCCATTGAACACATAGGTAGCTTCCGTTGCTGAACCATCAGTCACTCGTGACTGCGCTGTCAGTGTGTAGTGCACGAACTGTCTCTGTGCGTGTTCCGCTTCGAATCTAGCGCATTCGAAGTAGCAGCCTTCGTCGATGTCGAGTAAGGCGCCTCGGATCTCCACAGCACGCGTAGCGTTCTTAGACTCTGGCACGTCGCGTTCCATAGCCCTTCCCAGACTACCCTCTCCAAGCGAAGTTTGACCGTATTCATGTGCTAGTTGACTGCCCACTTCTGGCAGCAATTGCTGCAAGCACCAAGCCAATTCGCGAGTATCTGGATATCCGTCACCATCAGCGTCAGCTGTAGCGGAATTAGAGGTAGGTTTTTGGTGCTCGCTTACCCCGCTTGTTATGCCTTTCTCTCTTAGGAGAGGCATAAAAAGCGGTAAGAAAAGCACCTTTAACCTACCCTTAACGGAAGCACTAGTTGATGACGGACCAGCATCTGGCGCAATCCCACGACAAACAACGGCAACTCGGTCAGTGCTGCCAAAGGAGCTTCTGGCTAGTGATTCGACGGTTTCGGTCAAATCCTCTAAGTCGGAGGACGCCAAAACCGGCTGAACCGCTTGGTCCAATAGACAATCCCTCAACAGCGTCGTAGTCTGCGTTTCATCCCGCTCCTGTCGTCGGCCACTCATAATATCACGGTACTCGCTGTAGCTGTCGCGAAACTGAGCTACGAAGTCGCGCACAGCCAGTCTAGACTTGGCCGGGATGTCCACGTTGTTGCCTAACTGTTGTAACTCGTCGATGGAGGGACGCGGATTAGTGCCTTGTGCGAAGGCCTCCACTGCGGTGGCGGCTTCCGCGTCGGTTAGGGTCTGGAGATCATGGAGTTGAGAACAAGATGAGAGTTGAAGAAAACAGAACTTTTTGAAGATGTGCATGAGAGTTGATGAAGAAAACAGAACAAGAACTTTTTGAACAAGATTCTAAGAATGATGCATGCTATGATCAGGAGGGACCAGTCACTATAACTGCGGATGATGTAGTACCAGCTATACGTGCTTTGATGTTGTACAAGTGGCTATAACTGCATTTTGATTTTACGGTGCAATTCGGAAACGAATCAGTACAACTACCTGATGCCCAGACAAACCTCGCTTCTTCAACGGTGTCTCTGCATCCTTGAGCATCAGCCTTCGTAGTGCATGCTCCGCAGCATTTCCACTTGCCATCGGTTTCGGTGCAGAACCCATCGTCTCCTCTCCATTACCATCTTCCACAGCCATCAAAACCCGTCTAAAATCGAAGGTCGTCTGCGTTTCAATCATGGCACACCTCTCTGCCGCGAAGTCAACCATATGCTCGATCTTCTCTCGCTTCTTCTCTGCATCTTTGGCAGCTAGACAGACGTCAGCGTAGGAAAACTCCTGGACAATACCAGTGTCTGGCATCAAATCGCCATCTACGTCCTCCATCAGAGTGAGGTCGGAAGCGGAACCTTCGCCGTGCACGTAGAGACCGAAGCAGTCGAAGTCTTTCACAGAGAGGTTAGAGACGAATCACAGTAACAACAGTCAACGTGTTGGTCTAAGTACGGATGTTGGTCATAGTTTGTTGGCCCGTGCCCAGAGTAAGGGAACAAAATCTTCAAGGGCTCAAGTATTTTGAACTTCGAAAAATAAATCTAGAAATATAAGGTCTTCAAGGAAGCAATGATGTTTGAATAAGATCCAATCATAACACTCGTGCTCAGGCAGAAGTCTCCATCCCGATCCAGCCTGTTGAAGAGCTTTGCGACCGCTTCGTCGCTCAACATGGAATGCATGTCCTTCTGAGGATCGCAGTCCTCTCCAGCAATGCAATCTCCCACCGATTCCCGTATCGTTTTCCCAAGACTTGCATATGAGAACTGCTGTGCCTCTGTCGGCGTCATCAAAGCTGCTCCTAAGTCGGTCGATACCAAGCCACCACTACGACTGTGGTCACGCAATTGAGCGTTCAAGTCGCCTGCACGTTTTTCAAACGTGTATTCGAGACTTGCCAGTCCTCGACGTTGAGCCTTCGTGGCCTCGCTGGCGATCTCCTGCAACTTGTGGGCAAATTCTGGCAAGGAGAGCTCCCAGGGTAAGCAACCGGTGTGCAGAAGCTTCACATCATCGGGATTCTGAAGTTCGTAGCCAACAGGTAGAGTCGTGATATCAGTGGCTTCGTGACCGAAGGTACCACCGACAACGGATTGGACGAGAGAAACAGTGGATAGGCGAGATTGGTCGTGAGGCGTGTCCCCTTGGAGTAGTTGTCGAGCATCTAGTAAGTCTAGCTCAGAAGATGTGGCAGAGGCAGTGCTTCTTCTCCTGCGCCAATCGACTAGGGGAACGACAACAGCACGACCTTCTGCATTCTTCAATTTCCTTCTATTTCTGTCTCTGTCAGACGACAGAGACGTGGAATAGGAATAATCCTCCATAGTGAAGATAGTATGAAGCCCAGCAGCCAAAGCTCTTCTACTCCTGGCTCGTCCAAGCCCCATATCCGCAGACAAGCCTCCAAACACCTCTTTGCTTGTACTAGACTCGAATCCTAATTCGTCGGACGACAATGTCGAAGGAAACATCGACAAGACGACATCCACATCCGTGGCAAAGACGCTTTTGTCAGCCGAAATTGTGCTCTGAGCCAGTTCCTCCTTCGGTACACAGTCTGCAGCATCCCGATGGCCTGCGGGGATACTAGAGATCATCTCTTGCCAGAGCTGTTCGTCCCTTCCAGTTCCACCTCGTCCAGAAGAATCCTCGTAATGACTTTCAGGAGCGCCAGCACCATGATCGGAGTCTCCTGCCATAACTACTTCCTGAAAATCCTTTTTACAGACTCGATGACTTGCATGCACTGGCTCTTTCGGCAAATCCAGCATGTCCAGAATCGCGTCTGTCAGCGTGTCTCGCGCACTGTCACTCGGCAATGCATAGCCTGCTGGGGAGTAGCTGGCGTTGTAGTAGATGTAGCTGTTCTTGTCCGTTTGTCTTTGGGCTTTCAGAGATGCAATGGCTGTGTCGAGGATGGAAACTGCACTCGCCGCTTTGTGGACAGCATCGGTCAAGGCGGTCACTTCAGCGACAACAGGATGAACATTCATCTCGCGAATATCGTCTAGTCGAGAAGCTGCACTAGTGCCAGGAGCTGCGTTGGGATGTTGTCCAGTGGTAAAGCTGACGATTTGAGCTCCACCTAAGGCGTTGAACTCCGTCATGTTGATCCCGGCCTCTGTGAAATTCAAAGGACCACTGTCGATCATGGCACTAGTCTTCTGCAGGTCATGTTGAGCGTAGGAGTGGAGGAGATGTAGTTTTCCTCTGAGTTCCTCAGCGAAATCGAGGTGGATTGCTGTTCCGTTGAAAAGACCATAGACGAGATCGGCAGAAGCATGTTCTTGCTCTGGCAAGGAGCGGACGCCGGTCGTTGGATCGAGTTCAGCGTATGAGGAGATGCCGTCTCCACTCGGGTCGACCCTCGAGGCGGGGGCGTTAGAGGGCTGAAACGAATCTGCTGGCTGCAAACACAGGATGGGTTGGAGTTCACTTCTACCTCCATTCGTTAGTTGTCCATCACGAACAGGACAACAACCACAACCGACATTTTAGATTTAGAAATAAGTACTTAAGTAATAAATAAGTATGCCTATGCGGCCTCTAACTCCATAAAATGCCCTCCCGCTTCTCTAAACCTAGCTGCCATCACGTTTCCACGTCCTTCTTTCAACAACATCTCCTCCAAGTCGGTGATATTCCCTGATTTGAAAATGCCCTGTTCAAATGGCTTCGCTGTTTTCGCACTGCGCCTGTCACTAGCATGCTCAGCCGCAGGTCCCTGTGGTCCGTAATGCACTCCAGTCATCGCTTCAATCAGGCTCAGAATACCCTGATTCGCATTGGGCGTTCCACTTCCACCAATAGGTGGTGGAGCCTCCACTTCCGCCACTGTGCCTCCGTTCTCATTTGGGAATTTCTCAGCAAACATGCGCAAACAATCCTCGCGACCGATATTCTTGAGCATGCCCATAACACAGCAAAACGGTCCAGGCTGTACTAAGCCGCTTTGTTCGCTAGGCTGCATCAAATTGTAGAGACGCTGATCACCTAGAGTTTCGAGATCAGAGAGTTTTAGGGTGAAAGCATTGCCAGGGCCACCAGCATACCCACCGCGACCAGATGTTCCAGATGATCGACCACCTCCTTCTCTGGCCACAACCGTCTTCGCCAGCAAACAAGCGTTCTTATCAGTCATCTTTGTTGGGTCGTCACAAGAGGCTGAGTAGTCGACAACGCCCCGAAACGGAATAGCTCCGTTTGTAGGTGTAGGATCCGCTAGGGCTTCTTTGACGCTAGCCTGAAGGATCTCTGCAGAACTGGAAGAGGTGATCTGCGCGCCATGCAATGTAGCGGCATCGAATGCGGACGAGCCAGATATCGTCCCAGAGGTCATGGCGCCGACGATGCCAGGAGTGGTGGGTGGTTTTAGAGGGGGAATAGGAAGGAATAGGAAACTGCATCTACTTGTCCAACCTCTAGCTCTAGCCTTGTTCTACTTCTAGTGCCACCTAGACCTAGTGCCTAAATCCAATATTCTCCTCATTCTTCGTCCGCTACTTCCTCTGGCCAACTCGATACCCTCTAACAGGCTCATGGGTTTCAACTCCTTCGTCAGCAGAGCGCGCATTGTCACTGCATCTGGTAAGCAGAACATGGAGGAAAAGATTAGCTGCTCGAACTCCTTCTGCATTGAGACGTGAAGCAATCGAAACTTTGGCGGATGTGACGCGAAGGCAGCTGTGATCGAGTCGGAGAGGGTATGAACCAAGGTGCATTTTCTTGTTATCATGATTGGTTAATTAAATATTTTTGGGGAGATGATCCGATTCCGAAAAATGACTAATTAATCCGTCTAACTTCATCTAGTACAAAGCATCATCTTCATCGGTATTTGTGAGATAGATCAGACTCCACTCCATAAACTTCCTTTTGTTCCGCAGTGCAGGCTGCCAAGGTCGTTGACCGAGATGTCTCACACGAATAATCCGGCAGCGGAGCTCCCATACTGATCGACAGAACTCTTGAGGAGGACTGATCGTTCTCGTTCTCCTTCGATGCCAATGCCCTTCTCAATGCCCTCAAAGCATCCGGTCCCGGCTTGTTGCCCATCTTTCCGCTGTTTAGACGATAAAGCTCCGCCTGTAGGTTTCCGAAGTCGACGCAAGCTGGACAGACGTCTTCAAAGCTCTTGACACTCGCGAGGGTGGGTGCGGCTCCTGCGGAAGTTGTGCGTCCATCTGCTCCAACCGTCGACGCCAAGTGATGCGACAACATGATGCCTCCAACGCAATGGTCGCCATCAATCGCGACGTTGCAGGCGCACACGTCCTCAGGCTCGTCTCCACAGTCTGGCTCCTTCAAAGCTGTGAGGTTGAAGGAGCCTGCTTGGCCAAGGTAGCTAGTGGAGTTCGCCGCATTGATCAGATGGTTGATTGCAAGTTGCCGTTCGTGCAGAGAGGGGAACCTGAGGAAGAAAAGGTGCGATTGGCATTCAGATCGATTCTTGCTCTAGAATTCTTTTTTGTGACGAAGGAGTTCTAGAAGTTGTAGTCGACGCAAGAAGCATGAAGGTGGAGTCCACCTGGTGGACAAGGGAAAGTATCTATAAGAAGGTAGAAAGATCATGTTCATGGTTCTGGTCGTTTATGACGTCGTATGTTTCTTGAAGATGTTGTGACGACACCTATGTTGTATGTGCAAGCAAACGCCTACGTGCGTGGATCATTATAGAACAAAAATAGTACTTCCTCTTCTCCAATTTCGTAACCTCTGCTCTCAATTCTCGTCTTCGTTGTCTCAAGGCTTCTTTCTCCCTTCGAATGTCGGACACAATCACTGCTGCATCTCCAGATAACAATTTCCTCGTCGATCGCTTGAGTTTTCGCAAAGCTACTAGCCGTTCTGCTCTCAAAGCCCTCAGCCTCGAAGACGACGCCCCACCTCCAGTTGCTCCTCCCGACAACGATGCTGACATCGCCATCCGCTCGTATTCGTCTACGATGGCCGCATGACACTGTTGCTTCCGCTCCATGCAAGGACACGCATCTAGCATCTCACGTCCCGCATTGCCAACGCAGAGGTTTTCAATCTCCTCTTGATTTGTCGTTGGGTTCATCTTCAACTGCAAACAGCCGCATTCGTCTAAACATCCGGGACCGGGTGTTTCGCTATCCAAATTCAGAAACAAAACTGAATTCTCAGTCATGAAGCCGTCTGATGTGAAAGGTAGAAGTTTTTCGCCAGCTGGCAGCATCCTACAGGCCTCTGGGCTGTCTGTGACACTTGTGAGCTTCTTCTCAAAGAAGGATTCCACAGATTGGGTTCTAGCAACAGGGTTGGTCACGAAAAATGTCCCGTCCGTGCGTTTAGCGAGACCCTCGATCGGTTTGGAAAATGAAGCGTCGTGCTGGAGTGGGGTTGATGTAGTTGATGATCCACTGCCACTACCACCACTTCCAGAACCAGAACCTCCAGATGAGCCGCTACTTGTCCCATCATCCTGTTCTTCGACTTAGAGCTTACTAATATACATAATATATTTATCTTGACAAGAAGCATAGGCATCTTTGACTCCTTTTCCAAGGGGAAAAGGAGGCAAAGATCATCATGCTTCGACTTGAGATGGATTCCCGTTGTAAGCCTTAATCAACACACCAGTTCGGATCTCCACTCAACTTCTTGAGACGGGAGTCTACGTTGCGGTGCAAAAGTTTCTCTACAGCTGTAGGACTCGTTGCAGCAAAGAACTGACACCCTGTCATGATCGGCATGAGCTCAACTTCTTCTCCGGTTGAACTGGAGGTCACAGTACCCAGGATGTCCTCAAGGCGATCACCGGAAGCGTCAGCGTCATAGAGTTGGTCAGTAAGCAAAGTCGCTGTAGCACCGAAGATGTTGTCGGAAGCAGAGGACTGTGGGATTGTTGCTGGTAGGCTGGCAGTTGAAGAAGATCCGGAAGAAGATGTTGTCCCGCTGCTAGTGCCACTACTCGAGGAACTGTGCATCGCCAGAGCCCTCACAACTCTCCTCACGCGTCTGTCCACCAATGCCGCCATGTCCTTTTGCTCGGCTGCAGCATCAGCCAATACCGCATCGACCTCTGCTTGCGACTTGCCGAAATACCTTTTCAAGCAGTAGGAAACCTCAGGAGCTGTAAGGATCTGATCGTCAGCGTGATCGGACAGGTGGCGGAGAGCAGATTGCAGATGGGAGATGCTGGGAGATGCTGTAACAGCATGAAGAAGTTCGTAATCCTGTTCTACTCTCTCATGGCTCATCTCATTCACGCTGTGTGCATTGCTCAAAGCGTCCATGACGTGTTGAAGACGAACTTGCTTGTTGTTTTGCTGATCCAATCGACGAAAATGCTTTGATTTTGCTTGCGTTGGTTTACTCGTCTTGGACGTAAATCTACCAAGTTCCTTCATCAATTCTTGTTCTTCCCTACGGCTCATGATCTGGCGTCCAAGGACGTCGTAGTTCGGATCCGCGACGGTACTGGTCACAGAAGTGACCGTCATCTTATCGGCTTTATCCTTCTTAAAGGTCAGCAGTCAGTGGTCACTGATTCTGAAAGAAAAGGGCCCCATGCCTCTCCCTTTGTTTTCCCTTAGCTTTCATCACCTGTTCTCTCCATGGGTCTCCTCTTCGATCTCAGTGACCAATCTAAATGGTGACCAATGAAAGTTGAGCCTTAATATCTCCAGTAAAAGCCGGTTCCTGTGGTGACAATCTCCTTTCCCGCAACATCTGTCTCGCTCTTCGCAATAAGATCACTCTCGCACGCCTCAGCCGCGCACTTACACGGCCCAGCAGTGACGGCACCTCTGACATGGTCCTACCATCGAAGTTGCAGGCCCACTGAGGCGTTACCAAAGCGCCGCCTGTCGCTAGCTCCAAAGCGGTTTCAGCGTGTGCGTCAGCACTATGCTCCTCCAGTTGCGACTGCAAGTCTGCTGCTGCGTCCACAGGCATGGCAAGAAAGGCTCGAGTCAGTGCTAAATCGCGAACAGTAGTGGGCTGTGGGCCCGTGTCGACAGGAGGAGGCGTTGTGGTTGCCACGAGGTTCAACTGGTGCTGAGCTAGATCACGCTTGGAGCTATCTGTTGAGGATGATGTGTCAGTCATGCTAAGCCGTCTTCTCAACATTCGCCTTCTGCGCACAGTTTTCAAAGTGTCACGCGAGAGAAGAAAATCCACATCATGATGCTCTTGTTCTTGAGCATGCTCATGGTCTCGATCATCTTGTTGAGCAGAGATTATAATTTTTTCCCTCAACATCCTCACTTCTGGCGGACACTCATGTTTGGCCCGTTCCACCATGTCTTGCACGTCGAGCAGAAAGCTTGAAAATCCTTCTCGCTCTACGCCTTGCTCTGCTGCAGAGGCTGCGAGACTCTCCAATTCTTGATCAGAGAGCACAGCGAAGTCTGCTTCTGCCTTCATCATGGTCACGAACTCAGACACGTCGGCTTGTGCATCGTCACCAGGCACAAACATGGAGGTTGCGAGAGAACGGCGGATTGAGTTCTTTGAGAAGGTTGTTCGAGGAGACACTTTATTGTTAGATGAAGATGAAGAAGATGTTGTTGTTGTACTTATGCTTCTGGTACTACCTGTGTTGACATCATTGTAGCTGATTTCCTCTCCGATTTCTTTCAACTTCCTGCGGCGATCTGCTACCAATTTCCGCATACGCAGACGCCGTTTTTCCAGCCAAGAAGTGTATAAAGAAGTGGTCTGAAAAGAAGCAGTTGCTGTACTAGAGGAAGACGAGGAGGTAGAAGAAGAAGAGGCAGATGATGATGCACCAACTACGCTGAGACCCCTCAAACTCACTCGCTTTCGTTCCCTCAATCTGCGTTCTGCATGAAGGAGCTGGCGTTCTCGCCGTAGACGTCGAGGTCCGTGCACTAGAGTTTCCTGTAAACGTCGAACCGTACATCCCGCAGAGTGTTCTCTGGAACGCAAGCTTTCCTCCAATGGTGCCAAAAACTCTGCTTTCTCCAGACAGCCATTGCCATCAACGTCTTTGAGCAGGTATAGAGCGGAACAGCCATCTGCTCCGGTTGTGCCGGGAATTAGAGGACTGGAGATCACATGCGTTATAGCATGTAAGTAAATGTGTCATGTGGATGTGTCTGCTACGCGTATTCAAGGTGAAGATCTAGCCAGGCAACTCAAATCACTCTCACTGACGTTGTGCTCTTGTTCTTCATAACAAAAGTTCTCCTTTCCGTGCACAAAAGTCCGCTTCCGTGATACAACCATCTTCACAGTCACCGGAAGCAGCAAGACAAGTTCGTTCGAATTCTTCTCCTTCCGCCTGTCCCGGCGCCGATAGGCACTCCTCTTTCGTCACCTTGTCATCGTTGTTGCGGTTCAGCTGCGGGAAGTTAGAGACATCGACTACTTACCTCTTTTGTAGAAGAGAAGACACTCATGCAAGATAAATAAATATCTGTTTAAAAAAGTCGTGCATTGAAGTTGTACTATAGTTAATTTGGGATCTGAATGGTACGAAAGAATAGATCAAATTCTTGTAGAACCTCTTGGTGTGCCCTATCTATGGCAAAGGGATATATTCACAGGGTGACTCACTTCCGAGTCCTACCCCCGTTTTCAGTTTTTCCGAGCACTATTCTGGCGAACTGAGTGTGAGTTTCCTTGTTCAGGCGGAAGTGGCGTGGCCGCGACCTTGCGTCGGGTTTGTGCGCCAGGATGCTAGTGCCGTCGCGAAGTCCTTCACTTCGAGTGAGGTTCCGGTTCCGCAGGAGTCGGAGGCTGAGATTGTCGACTTCTGCGATCACAGCGTGCTGCGCTGGTCCAGATGGGTTGAAGAAGCCCCCGTGATCCCGAAACAAGTAGCCCAAGAGGAAGGTTCCGGGCCGTGAGAGGCTGCTCTCCGTCTGGTGAGAGCGGTACTGGTCCTTCCTGCGCTACATTGTTCGATCTCACAATTCGCATCTCCTTCTGTATTACCTCGGTAAGAACCTACAAGAGCCCTCATCTGAAGCTTATTAAAACCACCCTCATAAAGATAAACTTCATGCTCTGTACCCCCGTTTTGAGCTTTTCCGAGCACTAGTCTTCAGCCCCTTATCGTTTCGCTCCTCTCTGTGCTTAAATGTGGCGCGGCCGCGACCTTGAGCCGGCTTGAAGCTAACCCAGGGCATATACGCCCGCACTGTTCTCTATCTCTACTCCGGAGGCACTCGAGACAGACTCTCTGCATCATGTCTCACACCAACACCCTGGTGCGTGCAGGATAGAGGCGAATGCCATGGCTGCAGCTCAGCTGGTGCAGGCTGGTCCAGATGGGTGGGTAGAGCCACCCCGTGATCCCGAAGCAAGTAGCCCCTGTGGAAGTGGCGCCGGCTCGTAAGAGGCTGCTCTCCGTCTGGCGAGAGCGGTACTGGCTGCCTCCCAGCGCCACATGATTTTCGCGCTGGATGGCCTACTACACTGCAAAGCCTATGTTGCTGGATGGCCTACTATACTGAAAAGCCTAGGCTAGATGGGGGGCTACACTGCAAGAACATTACTAGGAGGTAGCGTGAGTCCCTGGACAAGTAGACTCCCTTCTCGAGTCGAACCCCGACCCTTACCCCCGTTTTCTATTTTTTCGTACTCTTTTCTTCTGTAACCCGAAATCTGGGTGACCCGTTCTCTCAGAGTGGCGTGGCTGCGATCTCGTGTCGGACTTTTACAACGTAAAATACCTCCGGGAACGATCCCCTCACCTATCCCTCACGGGAGAAATGCCTTCACGGGACTCCTCGGCAAGAGAGTCCCAGGCCAGTGATAACAGTGATATATCCCGGGGCAGATGCCGCGCGCATCTCGCCCGTAACCGGGAAAAAGACCCGTCTTGCGATGTGGTCTGAAAGTCAAAGCCTGAGAAGCGCCGTCAGGGTGCCGGCTGGAAGGTCCCGATGAGCTCTAGGAGCTCCAGCGGCCCCGTCCGAGTAGCCCAAATAGCGGGGATGTCCTGGGTCGTGAGAGGCTGCCCTTGCGGGTGGTACTGGGACACTCTGACGCCACACCTATTTGTGTGGAGCAGGTAAGAAACTACACGATCACTCACACTAACTGAACTCCATGTCTTCTAATAGATACTATTATACTCATTGGAGATTCTTCAAGTTGAACTCCATGTCTAATACTAATTCAACTCCATCAAGTCTCATCCTAAACGCGCTGTGGTCCAAGGCAACTTACTCTTCTTACTCTTCCTAACCTAGAAGAAGCATTAACCACTGCTGGGTGTCGTGTAAGCGCATTCGATAAACTGAAATAGCCGAGAAACTATTGAAAATAAGCGGGCACAAACTGAAAACAAGGAAGAGTAAGCCTGTCAAAGCTACCTCCCATATTTCAGTCAGTAACTGGGTTATTTTGAGTTTTCGACCGTATGCCTAAGCCAAAATCTTCTCTGTCTAGGACTAGTCTACTTCAAAAATAGAGGCCTGAAACAAAATCTTCTCTGTCTAGGACTAGTCTACTTCAAAAATAGAGCCCTGAAACAAAATCTTCTCTGTCTAGGACTGGTCTACTTCAATAGAGTCTTCTCTTGGACTAGGACTACTTCCACATAACAAACAGTGCCACTCTTGCGCCTGGCGTATTCGTTTGTCCCGGTTTGACGCTGATCTCTTCTGGTGAATTAATGTAATCCACAGCAAAAAAGGGGCACTCCCTAGCAACGCCACTGGTAAGCGGACGTAGAGCCTTTGTATTCTGGATGTTTTCCACGGTTGGGAAGAGGTTAGAGAGTATCATCCAATTTTAAGTATCACTATGACAGTCCAGGGAAACAGTGTGAGTTTCACTATGACAACGACATCTTCGACGTAGCGAGACGAGCTCATCAGAGAAACAACTTACAGGATCAGGATGGAAACACTGATCAGGATGTTCAGCGTGATTTGCTGATGCCTGTCTTGTGACTGTGACCGCGAAGATGCTTGTTGAAATATTCAACTACAACCCAGTTGCAGTTATTCAATCTGCCATACCCAACCCTTTCACTACGTCCACGAACTCGGAGATGCTTAATATTAAAAATATTCAACTACATTGTAGTTACTACAACCCAGTTATTCAATCTGCCATACCCAACCCTTTCACTACGTCCACGAACTCCTCTTCGCTGATGAAGCCTGTGCTGTCCTTGTCCATCTCTAAAATCTTCCGTTTCACGACCCTCTTGCTCTCCTCATCCGCAGTCAAAGCTGCAAACATGTTCCGCTTCGACATCTCTGCCAGGAGGACGTCGACATGGATTTCACGGGTGGCGGATTAGAAGCAGCTTCGGTAAAGAACATGGGCTTCACGGGTGGGGGGATTTTTAGTCAGGCACCTTTTATTGTTGTGCTAATAGTTGTACCAAGTAGTTAGCCGGAACCTAAGTAGAAGGGGTGGAAGGGCACCTTTTATGTTTGTACTATAAGTAGAAGATGACTTCTTCTTCTACTAGAAGTTAGCCCTCGAGAAGGATCTTTTGTACAAAAGCAGATCCACAAGAATAAGAATCGACTTTGATAATTCCTTGCTACTCTGTTCTACACCTGCAGCCTTAATACAAAGGATTCGTCGCATTCAGCAGATTCTGAGCTTGCTCCAAAGACGAAATCGAAGAGCCTCCACTGCCACCAGACGCCCCATCGACGTAGTCGAATTCGGCCATTTTCGCTTTGCCAGGAAAGTCGGCAATGCTCTTCGCCAAGACGTATTGGAAGCACAGGCCGCGCAACTCCAGTTCCCTACGTGTGATAACCCCATTTCCATCGCAATCGTGACGCGAAAACCAGGCATTTACGGCTCCTCGTTGGGCGGCAGTAAGGGCTGTTGGTATTAGAAAAGGATTGCGAAGACGGCCCTATCAAGGTTGTTAAGAAGAATAACATAGCCGTAGGGTATTGATTTCCATTGCTTCATTGATGTGCATCTGTATAAACAACCGTGACTAGTACATCTACTAAATTCTCGGTTGATCATAGTGTCGTGAGGAGTAGTTGTACTAAATCGTGGTTAAAAATGTCATGAGGAGTACTAGATGTTGAGAATTCATATTTCTTAGGACAACAATCAAATAACTCAACCTAGAAATCCAGTTGTTCACGACAGCATAACTCCAACGGCGGATACTGAGGCGCTGTGAGAAAGGCTGTGCTGACCGGTGGTGGCGTCACCTCTGCAGTGATACTTTGGACGTCGTCAGTTTTTAGAGGAAGAACAACAGATATTAATATTTCGGGGGGGGATCAATGGGAATAGCTACCGTCGTTTGGGCTTCAGGCAAGAATCTCTATGACACTCAAAGTAGCCGTAAATCGAAGATCAGGAACGGAATGAGATTTTGTTTCGTGCATGCTCTATGTTGACCCGAGAAAGCGTTTCGTCCGATGTCCTGCAAGCCTCCTACGGTGGTCGCGTCTGTAGGGTTCTGATCCCTCAAGTAGCCATCTGGATTACAGAAGTCTTCGATTCTATGCATCTTCTTTCCCAAAGGTGGCTGATCCAATGATTCTGCTTGAAACGTGATCTTGTACTCGGTTCTCAAACATCGCCCGGTTGTCGCAGTACAACTAGCATTATTAGAGCTCACCCTTATCCATCTTGAGAGGCATCCTGGATCCCTTTTCCCCTTGAAAAGCCTCTTCGGGATGCCTTAGAAGATGGATAAGGGTAAGGCCTAACATTAGCAGCTTGGAGCATGCGCTGGCCGTGGGAGAGCATGCGACCGGCAACCATCTCCGGAGGCACGATTCGTTCGCAGATGCCGCAAGGGTAGCGAAATGAAAGGACGAGAGGAGTTTAAAAAGCGAATTAAAAGTTTAAGTTTATGATCTCTGTCGTGGTCCCGTAAACACAATTCCAAGCTCGATTCCGTCAACAAGGTCGTAGGAGTCGCTGTGACAGTTACTGTTCGTGGCACCTCCAGTGCGGTCGTGGTTGTTGTTTCGCTGCTCACGACCAAACTAGCCCCGGTGAAATCGTAAAGACCCAGACTTCCAGGTATTGTCCTACCGACAACAGTGCTGGAAGGATCGGTAATTTGTACCGCTGGTGCGAAGGTGTGAGGTATGAAAGGAGTCTCCTCTAAGGAGAAGATGTAGATGAAAAAAAAAAATATGTCTTTTTCCGGTCTCCAGGTAACACGTCGACCTACACCTATCAGTAGAACAACTAAAAGCGAAAGCCTACCTACTTGTTCTAGTTCTAGGTCTGCCAGCCATAAAGTTAAAAACCATTTCATTCCCACCACTCCCTTGAAATCGCACTAACCTCGAAAACATCTCTTCTTCTAGCTGCACTTCTATGATGTTGCGGATGCCGCTAGGGCCTTGCAGCGTTGGCACTATGATGCTCTCGACATTCTGCAGCTCGACCTCTGACATCTTCTCCACACAGTCCAAGACTTGCGTGTACCCTTTGCAAGTCTTCACTGCTTTATTAGAGCTGTCCGCAATTCATCTTTCAAGTGCATCCTTGAAAAGTATGGGGGAGTATTCGCTTAGGATACTCCTCCATACGTAGTTCCAAGGATACGTCCAAAGATGTATTAGGTACAGCCTTAACTTTAGCTACTTGGATCCTCCCACCCCCACGTAGGTCTTCCAGTTCGCCAGCTGCTACAACGGTATTAGGATCGGTCACCTCAGCCTCAGCTTCGAATTGGAGGGCACGCAGTTGTCGCCGTTTGAGGTCTACGAGTGATGTTGTTCTTGTTGGCTCCGCTTGAAGTTGCCTTGTTCCAATTGTTATTGATCTCCGATCTTCATACTCGTCAAAACCTGACCCAGCATCTGTATGCTGTCGTGGGTTCTCTTCCATCTCCGCAAGCTCATCTGCCAGTAATTGCCTTCTCGCTCTAGAATTTCCGGACTTTGGCTTCACGTCCTTCGTAAATTCGTTAGCCATAAAGGAGGAAGCGAAGGAGGTTCCAACCATTAGAACGACAATGCCGATAGCGAGGTAGACCTGTTTTTAAAGAAGGTTCCAACCATTAGAACGACAATACCGATAGCGAGGTAGACCTGTTTTTATGAATGTAAAGAGAGCTCCAACTTGAAACCCCTGATCTTGATCGCAGATGAATTTTATTCATTGTTGTTGTGAATGGGGGAGGAGGGTTCCTTCTGTTAGAGTTTTTAGTCCACTTTAGTTTAGGGTGAAAACAAATATGGATAAACGTCGTGATTCAGATTCTTGGTATGACCACAGAGAAGAGAGAACGCAAAACAACAAGATACTTGTTTGGTCAGGAGGAGCAGGCAGAAGATCATGAAGAACAAGCTAAGTAATTAAAAATTTAAAATAAAAGTCCTTTAGAGACTAGATCCAAATCCATTTTTCAAACTCAAAGTATTTCAAATTAGGGTTAGCACCGCTTGTTTCAGGAACTTGGTCTCCCTCTGCATTTTTTTCTGTGCTTCTGCCGCTAGAGCCAATTCCGAAACACTCACTGTCCCTGATTCATCTCCATCCCACATTTTCATTACCGCTTTCACGCTATCCGGAAAGTTGCTGTAATCTAAGTCTGCAGAGTTGTTTTTTGCGGCAATCTTCATCTCCGCTAGCCTTTGGAGAATCTCTTCCAGCTCTTCGCGTTCCAACCCATCCCCGTCTTGATCGAGCTTGCTCAAAGCGTCCTTCATCCATTCCGGAGCGCGAAGCTCCGAAATATTCACTGCTCCGAGAGACATCTTGTTCGGTAATCGTGATTGATGTGCTTGTACTTCTAGTACCTAAAAAGTACGGGTGGTACAACAACAACAGTTACACCGAGTGCTCCCTCGTATAAACCTAAAAAAACCAGAAACTGTCCTGGCAAGATCCTTGGAAGATGTACTTGTTGTACTTGTATCTCGTGTTTGATGATAGAGAATGAAGTTGTAGTTGCTGTTGGATTCGATTTTTTTTCCGCATCCAGCTGCTGTAGGTTTTGGACGGCACTACGACGATCTGCGCGTGGCTAGCCGAAGGCACCTGGCGGAGAGCCTCCGCTCGTGCCAGAGGACATGGCTTCATCATCCATGATTGAGATTGAGAGTCGTGTGTATTCAAGATGAAATTATGGTCCTGTCCTATTTCATCATGTTGAAGCTAATTCCCGTGGTCTCTCTTTGTCTCCCTCTAGTCCTCCTTCTACTCTCAGGCTAACCGCATTATCCGTTGCGTTTTCCTTTTACGCTCCTGTTTCAGACAGAATCATTGAGAAGCTATAGGTATAGAGTGACTCATCAGGGTGACCGAGGGTTGTTTGAGATAGAAGCTGTTGACTTTGTAATAGAAGCAGTCGGAGGACCTCCTGGAGTGTGAATGCAAATCCTGGGCATAGTGCGAGTCCTCGAGTCTTGGAACCACAGACTTTCATTCTAAAGTCAGGTTCTATTTTTTGTTCTCTTTCTAAATCTCCAGTCCGATCCTGACGGCATCTTTCATCAGGCAAGCCACTAAGTCAAGCCAATTTCTCCTGACCCAGAAGTCCTGATCTTGCCACCAGTAAGTTTGTTTCTGGTCCTGGCGTCATCTTTCGCGATGACCGGAGAACCACTTCTACGCAGTGACTACTACTAGTTTGCACCAGCCCCCCCAATGATGGGGCAGTAGCTCCCGAGCTGACCTATAGAAGCGCTGAAGCCTGCTACTGTGTCTCCCTGCGCTGGCAAATTTTGCAACTTGTTGAGTCTGGGATCAATATCTATGGCTGGAGACGAACAAAGCAAATAATGAGTGTACTGCATGAAAGAAATGTGATCAGACTAGAGAGAAAGCAAACAACAAGAGAGCAGTCGAATTTACACTTTAGCATGGTAGGGCTTGAAGGTGCAGGCGTGGGAGTTTTGTACTAGCTGCAATAGTTCAAAGAAAATGAAGAAGGTTATAGATGTAGTTTTCTCCCGTCGACGATGATCACCAGGACCATTGTGGAAATGGGAAAAATGTCATTTAATCACTCAGATGGTCCTCCCGCGATATCGTCTGGCCTTTTATCTGAAAAAGTTGGCATGATTACTCTCCCCACCTACTTCGTGATCTTGTAATAGCAATACGACATCAACCTGTGTCGCAAGTCATCTTTACGCAAGCGAAAAAGAGCCCCGTCGCAGTTATACTTCAGCATGGTATGGCTTGAAGATGCAGGCGTAGGGGTTTTGTACTAGCTGCAATAGTTCAAAGAAAATGAAGAAGATTATGGATGTAGTTTTCTCCCGTCGACGATGATCACCAGGACCATTGTGGAAATGGGAAAAATGTCATTTAATCACTCAGATGGCCCTCCCGCGATATCGTCTGGCCTTTTATCTGAAAAAGTTGGCATGATTACTCTCCCCACCTACTTCGTGATCTTGTAATAGCAATACGACATCAACCTGTGGCGCAAGTCATCTTTACGCAAGCGAAAAAGAGCCCCGTCGCAGTTATACTTCAGCATGGTATGGCTTGAAGATGCAGGCGTAGGGGTTTTGTACTAGCTGCAATAGTTCAAAGAAAATGGCGAAGGTTATGGATGTAGTTTTCTCCCGTCGACGATGATCACCAGGACAATTGTGGAAATGGGAAAAATGTCACTTAATCACTCAGGTGGCCCTGCTCCCGCGGTATCATTTGGCTTTTTATCTGAAAAAATTGACACTACCTAGCTACTACCACCATCTACTTCATGATCTTGCAAAAGTGACACGACACCAACCTGCGAGGCAAGTCATCTTTACACAAGCGAAGAAAAGCAAAAGCCCCGTCGAAGTTATACTTCAGCACGATATAGCCTGAAGATGCAGGCGTAGGGGTTTTGTACTGGCTGCAATAGTTCAAAGAAAATGAGGAAGGTTATGGACGTAGTTTTCTCCCGTCGACGATGATCACCAGGACCATTGTGGAAATGGGAAAAATGTCATTTAATCACTCAGATGGCCCTCCCGCGATATCATCTGGCTCTTTATCTGAAAAAATTGACACTACCTAGCTATTACCACCATCTACTTCATGATCTTGCAAAAGTGATACGACACCAACCTGCGAGGCAAGTCATCTTTACACAAGCGAAGAAAAGCCCCGTCGAAGTTATACTTCAGCACGATATAGCTTGAAGATGCAGGCGTAGGGGTTTTGTACTGGCTGCAATAGTTCAAAGAAAATGAGGAAGATTATGGATGTAGTTTTCTCCCGTCGACGATGATCACCAGGACCATTGTGGAAATGGGAAAAATGTCATTTAATCACTCAGATGGCCCTCTCGCGATATCATCTGGCTTTTTATCTGAAATAATTCAATTGGCATTACTGCTCTCCCCAGCTACTTCGTGGTCTGGTAATAGCAATACGACGTCAACAACCTGTGACGCAAGTCATCTTTACGCAAGCGAAAAAGAGCCCCGTCGAAGTTATACTTCAGCACGATATAGCTTGAAGATTCAGGCGTAGGGGTTTTGTGCTACTAGCTGCACTAGTACAAAGAAAATGAAGAAGATTATGGATCGCTAATGAAGACTGAGAGTAGTGCTAGCCACAAACGTTCTTGCTTGCCTCCGTGAACCTGAATAATTATGACTACTCGCATTACTTTCTTCTGGTGGATGTGGTCGCGATTGTAATAACTGTGGCCACGACTGGACTTACTGTATCTTCTGGCATGATCTTCACAAGAGCATAAGCATATGCATGGAAAAAGACTTCCTGGGAAAACAAAACTGGAGCTGAAATGGGGTATTTTGATTTTCTTCATCTTGTCTGTCATAAAAAATGGCCGCTGGTATGTTCTTGTTCCTATCGAAAATTCTGGCAGTTTGTTTTCGTGTTGGTTGTAGTAGTTGTCAATATAATAAGATGGACCTAGGACTTTCTAAGATCAGTATTTCGAAGGAGTAAGAATGTAAAGGCGACTTCAGTCAAGTCCCTGAGTCAGCAGGCGGTTGGCGGTATCGTCATGTTGTTGTTGTTGTTGTTGTTGTTGTAGTGGGTGATGTTGGCACCTGTTGTTGTTGTTGTTGTTGTACCTTCTAAGGGTGAGAGTTTGGATGTGGGTTATTTTGATAAAATTAAGTCAGTAGGAAGTATGAAGAGGCACCAGTAAGATCTAGATCAGACTTAACGACGACACAATATAATATACTTTTTTTCCAAAATGGTGGCGATGTTCATCTAGCAGACCTAAGATCAAATCTGGCCTCAATTTTCAATCCTACAAATAAAAGCGCCCTCAAGGCTACTCCGGCTGTACTAGGTCGTCAATCGCGCTTTTAATATCGGGCTTGAGTTCGTCGGCTGTCACTGTCTCCCCGTCTAATCCTTCGCGGAAACTCAGAAAAGTGCTCCAGATGATACGGCCAAATTTGCTAGGCAAACAAGTTAGATCATGCTCACACCTCAAGCAAAACCAATTTTGGAGTGCATCCTGGACCATTTTCGTCGCTTTTGAAAACGGTCTCAGCATGCTTCTCAAAATTGCACACTTGTGGAAGCCTTAGAGCAAACAGAGAAAGAAAAACGGCCGGCGAAGCCTGGTTGTTCATCTCCTGCTGAACTGTCGGCCTAATCACTTGATTGAGCGATATCCCCACTGCATCGAAGAGCATCTCACGTGACCACCTTAACCTGAAGAGGTGATTGGTTACAAGGAGGCGTTCTCATGTGAAGTAAGAGAAAACAAAATGACAAATTTGCTCTTGTTGTTATCGTTCACAAAAAGCGCAAAAGTACGTCCGAGAAGCACGTAAATATAGCAGAACAAGTAGCGCCTCTGTGTGTACTGCCCCCCCTCCATTTTGTTGACGCTGATTACCGCTTCCAGAGTGACGCTCTTGAGATTCTTACTGTTGAGTATCAGCTTTGCCTCTTCTTCCGTTCCATCGTAGTCGTATCTTTCTTCATCTCTGGTTAGAAATGCGTCCGCCACGTAGTGCACCAAATATTTGCAAAACAGATTTACCAAGACACTCGAAGCCGTCACCTAGATGATGACGAGAATCAATGTAAAAGATTGAGTATGCGTTAGATGAGTTTGCGTTTGTGTTTGAAAAGTACGGTTATGAAAGTTGTAGCACTGTTGCCCGAGTCAGTAATCATAGGAAGGAGAATAAGTCAATCTTCGATTTTGTCGCTAGTAGCTGCATGGCTGAGTGCTAGTACAAGCAAAATTACTCTTACTTACTCTTACCGGTTTTCTGAGTAAGGAAGTACTTATAAACAGAACAAAATCGATTTGAAAGACTGTGCGCACTTTTTAAACACGTCACCATGACGACAAAATCAAAACGTAAGTTTTAACCGTTTCTTTTTCGTTTCGCTGTGTGTACTTGTAACCCTGCACCTCCATCTCATTGTCATACCCAATGTCATACTTGTCCGATATTACTCTCTTCGCCATGCTCTCCGTCTTCTTCCTGTTCAAGCGCAACATCTTGTCTTGAAGCTTTTCCTCCGCTTCTTGTTTGTATTCTCCCAGTCTCCAAAAGGTCAGTACCTTCGTCGGATATTCTGTTTCCCTTCGTGGGTCCTGAGCATTGTTGGGCGAGGGTTCTCCGCGTACAAACTGGGAGGAGAAGATGGAGTCTGCTTTTTGCAGCAAGGAATAAGACTTCAGCGAGGAAAGTGAAAGGGTGACAAAACTTCTATTGTCAAAATAAATCTTCTTTATCTGCACACCTAAGCTCCAATCTGGCCTCAATTTTCAATCCTACAAGAAAAGAATGCTCTCAAGGTAACTATACTAGGGCGTCATTGATCGCGCTTTTGATGTCGGGCGTGAGTGCATCGGTTTGCTCCATCTTCCCCATCGATTCGCGCGTCATCAGAAAATCGCTCCACGAGATGCCTCCACTTTCGCCCCGCAAAGTTAGATCATGCTAACACCACAAGGAAAATCAATTTGGAATGCATCCTGGACCATTTTCATCCCTCTTGAAAACGGTCTCAGTATGATTCTCAAAGCCGCACACTTGTGGAAGCCTTAGAGCAAACAGAGAAAGGAAACCGGTCAGGGAAGCCTGGTTCATCTGCTGCTCAACTATCGGCATAATCAGTTGATTGAGCGCCACTCCCACTACATCGGCGGCCTTTTTGCTGAAGAGGTGATTGGTTACAAGACGACGTCCTCACGTGAAGTAAGAGAAAACAAAATGAGAAGCTTGCTCTTGTTGTTATCGTTGCGAAAAGCTCAAAAGCACACACGAGAAGCACGTAAATAAGCCAGAACAAGTAGTACTGGTGCTTTTGCACGAACTCGTCTCGCCTCAGCGCTGCCAGCATGAGGTTCTGGAGATTCTTATTGTTGAGTCTCAGCTTTGCCCTTTCTTCCGTTCCACAATAGTCGTACCTTTGGTCATCTCTCTCCATAATTGCGTCCGCCACGGATGCCACTAAATTGTGGTTAAACTCACGCAGCAAGGGCACCGGAGCCGTCATCTAGACGATAATGAGAATCAATGTCAAAGATTGAGTATGCGTTGGGTGAGTTTGTGTTTGTGTTTGAGATATACGACTATGAAAGTTGTAGCTCTGTTGCCCGAGTGATCATAGGAAGGAGAGTAAGTCAATCTTCGATTTTGTAGCTAGTAGCTGCATGGTTGCCGAGAGGTACGAGCACAAGTACAATTACTATCACTTACTGGCTTTCTCAATACTTAAACTTAAACAGAACAAGATCGATTTGAAAGACTTTACGCGCTTCAACTTATCACCATGACGACAAAACGCCGTCACCAGTTTAAATTTTATACTTTTCCGTTTTGCTTTGTGTAACCCTCCACCTCGTCGCCCTCGGAGACTCTGCTCTTCAAGTTCCAGGCCATTGCATCAAGCGCGTCTTTTGTTTTGCTTTGGCATACCTCCAATCGTTCAGCCTTGGCGGAGGGTCCTCGGCGTACAACCTGGGAGGAGAAGATCGAAGATGGAGTCTGCTTTTTGCAGCAAGCAAGAAGACTTCGGCGAGGAAAGTAGTGAAAGGGTGATATATAAAACTTCTATTGTCAAAAATTCTTTGTTTCATCTACTTAGCAGACCTGTTGGAGAAGTATGGTTAGAAGAGTTATAGTCCTGTAGCTGTATGGTTGAGTATCAACAGAATACTGCGACTACATACAACTACAACGAGATATATATTCTATTGGCGCTAAGTCAACTAAGAACTGCACAAAAACGGTCTTTATTGCCGCCTCCTCGTCCTGGAAGTGCTCCGCTTAGCGGCTTTTGCCACTTGCTTCCTCTTGGTTTTTCTGTCTTTTGGTTTCGTTTCATGTGGTTTCCCGCGCCCCTCCAGAGTCCACCGCACCAGCCTGCAAATGTGTGCTGGGGGATTCTGGAGGGGCGCGGGGATTTGGAGGGTGCCCGGGGTTCTTGGCTCGCAACTGGGTGAGGGTTTTCCAGAAGGGAGCGCAGTAGGCGGCGAGTATTCTGCGGATCCGCGTCATGCCCTGAAAGATTGAATTTTGTCCGGGTTTTTGCAGTCCTTAGTTGAATTTTCTCCATTCAGACCCCACTTGTCTGTGGTCAGATTTTTCACCATAATCGGAGAGGTTTGAGGCAGTCCGCCCGAGGTTCTTCGTTCTTGGGTCTTTTCATGTTGTTAAGTGTTGGACTTTTGACCACTCGGCGCCCCGAGGCTCTCGCGCCGGGTGGGATTAGTTAC